CAAAAATATTCAAAGCTGTGAATTTAATTTTTACAATTTAAATAAATAAATTAAAGCACTAAAATTTCTCACAAAATATCCGGAAAATATTTTCGATTAAGTTGAATTCCAATTCAAAATTTAAGTCACTGTTCCAATAACCAATGAACTTTTTCTTAATATTCACAAGAGGATTTTGAGAACGATCCATTCTGTTTACTGGCTTTGTTAACAATGTTACCTACTTGTTTGAAAGATTGTACAAAATATTAATTGGAATTTCTTTTTTTTCAAATGTTTCATTTCATAATTTAAATTCACTGTCAATAAAGAGGATGATATTTTGCTGTCAGATGATTAAAGAAACAATCGTCGCTGACAGGAATCCTGTCACAGGATGTCAGCCACTTCTATGTACTTCATGAAAAAAAAACTTTACATATTTTATGAAAACATTTGATCGTAAAGATCATAGTTCAAATGTTTAAAAAATTGATTTCAGAAATCAAAGCTTCACGATTATCGATAGGAAAATGATTTATTAAATTAACTTTAACATCATGAAAAAAAATGAAAGTTTTAAATATTTTATGTAATCAGGTAACATAAAGCGAAAAGGGCATAGATCATAGTTTGGATGGTTGAATTCAAATTGATTTCAGAAATCAAAGTTTCACGGGTATCGATACGAAAATAGTTTTTAAATTTAATTGATCAAAATCTAGTAAAGTTTTTAAGCAACTCAACTGGTCAAAAAACAAATTTGGCTGTCATATTTCCTGTTCCCAGATCTCCGTAACACGAGCTCTGAATAACTGATTTTTGGAAATCATCTAAAAACGAACCGCACATTTTCTTTCTCATTAACATGATTGTGATTCACATTTAATTAATTTATTTTGACCCCGAAAGATTCTCCCTCGAAATTGGAGTAGCGTAATAAAAAAAGAAATCGGTGACCTTTTCCCCGTCTCTTGTCTTCTTCTCTAACCAAAAAGTTTTCACAAATCATCGAGCAATGTTTAAGTTGAAATTAGGAGAATTATGGTTTACGTCGAAAATTTTCTTCTGATAACGAAAATAACAAGAAAACGGAGTGTGAAAAGAAGAACCAAAATTAATCGAAGTCGTGTAAATTTTCCCGCATTAATTTATTTAGATCAGGTTTCGGTTCTTAAAACTTCAAAACTGACTTCAATATTTAATTAAAATGAAAATGTTTTGATAAGCAACGTCAGATATTTGCAGACATTGACGATGTTTTCGGTCATTTTTAGATTTTTCGCTTCATTTACCTCATGAGTCTAATGAAACCAAAAAATGCAAACTTCATGCCTTCCTTTCATCAAAATTAATTAGCTTAATCAATAATCCTAATGATATTTTAGTTAAATGAACAAGTTAATTTATTTGTTTATCCCTTGAAAGTCTTTTTCTTTCTTAACTCATTTCCCTGTCATTTTCTTGCCTTGGCGATAATTAAAATAACAAACACATTTATTTTCATTATACAATGAACGTTTGTCAATTTAGCGTCACGATGAAACAAAAAGCTTTCATTCATTTCGAGACATAATGTGACTACAAAGAAGATGAAGATGATTTGTGTACTATCAAGAAAGTTTGTCTAACTCCTTCTCTATGTTGACTTCCGAAACATTTTTTTGTATAAAGAAAAGTTGAGAATGAGACATTGTTGAAGTGAGGTTGTGACTGTGCGAATAAAGTCGAGAAGTTTTACATCCTTCAGGCCACATTTGCGGAATCCCATTTAAATACTATCTTGTTATAATTTCAATGTTTTCCACTGTACACAATGTAAATTCCAAAACTTACAACTTAATATCATTCGCAGTTTTCTTATTAGGTACGAAGAACATTTCTTGCTGGGTTGTCAAATAAAAGAGTTCTCGTTTACATTTTATTACATTTTTGACAACTTATACTTTAACAGTTAACAGCAAAACCAAGCGTATCCTTAATATAAAAGCACGTGTTTGCCTGACTTTATATCATGAGAAACTTTTTTTTTCACCAATCTTTCCTCTTAAATGCTATAAAAACTCATAATCCTAATGATTTATTGTAGAAAACGAAGAGCATGAAGATGTGGAAACTTCTCAAATATTTGTAAAGTTTAGGTTTATGGCTGATGGCTTTTAAAATGAAGAATCTTTTGAAATTAATGCGACTAAAAAGATGAAGAAGAAAAAAAGTTTGTGATACAACAAGATTCATCACTTTGTAAGACAAAGCTTCGTAATCTCATATTTTATTTGTTGAGTTTTATTTGGAGATTTTCTGCCTGAAAATAAAATAAAAGAATTTATCTTGATGGTTTCCCATGCAGTTCACGTAAGGTAATTAAAAGCTCAAGTTGATATTATGAAGCTTAAAAAGAACGGCACGGCAGTTGAGACTTATTAAATATTTATCCTTATGAGCTTTTGAATATTATGTGGAAACCACACTGGTAAAAGTTGAAAGTTATTTTAAAATTAATTCAGCATTTCATTTTCTACTTTTTTAGTTTTAAACTCGCTTTACCGCTTTTTAAATTTTTTCACAACTGTTTCTATGTTTTCTGGTAAAAAATGTTTCAGAAATTTGGTGTTGTTGAGTTGAACTCAATGGACCAGAATGATAGAAAGCTAAAAATTTGGGATTGTTGCTGCTGTCAGGGTTACTTCGAAAATATTTTGCTTCTGAGTTTTGCAATATAGATGAAAATTATTAATTCCTTCCCAGAAGAAGTTATTATAATTTTAATATGTAATACATTTCTTGTAAAAGCTTTTATTTGTTAAAATGTATGTTCTGTTTGAAATCAATTTCAAGGAAAACAAATTGTATGAATTTTGAATTCATTCCATATCAAATTCCAGAGTAAACTTTGACTTCATTTTCAACGACATATTTGATATCGTAAAAACAAGCAACTTCAAAGCCTATGGAAAGGGATTCTGTTGTGTGATATGAAAACTTTTTAATCTCATAAAGGAACAATGATCAGGCAAAAAATAAAACACATTAGAATTGTATTTCCTTCCTCCTCAAAAACTATAAAAATAAATTTTTATTAGTTTAATAGAATTTTTTTCTCGCTTTCCATTTCACTTGTTATAAAAATTTCAATGCGCAGTTGTAAGAAGCAAATGGATAAATTTGGCAGACTTGAAACTCGATTTATATTAAATTCAATTTTATAAATAATGGAATTAAAGTAGGGAAAAGTTATGACGAGAAATTACAAATTTTAGATGTAAAATGATGTTTAACATTGATTTGAATTGAAGGCAATTAAAGAGAGAAACTTCATGATTATGTAGGATTCACACAGATGATTTTCAAACAAGCCTTTTCCAATTAAAAGTTAACCACGCTCATCTATTTTACTCTCTGACCTCAGAACAATCAAAAGCTGCACTTGTTACAATTTTTTTGTTCATCATAAAGCTACAGTACAATGGCATGTAAAGTTTGAAGTGGATAAAAAGCATTTTTTATGATGATTAATGGAAATAAAAGCTTGTTCACTTTCCAAATTTATGTATCATTATTTTAAACATAGCAATGAAATTGTCTTTACATCACTCACAATTTTATAAAAAGCGCACTTTTTGTATTTAAATAACAGTGGAAAGTAATTGAATTACACAAAGTGTAATTTCGGGATTAATCAACAATTTCAATGTTCAACAAAAGCTTAAAATCTACTCAACAACAAGCGTAGTGAAATAATTTATACAGTCTTTGTCTCTTGAAATCACTGATTGTCTCTATTCAATTTAAGGTCAAATAAACAATTAATGGTTTCCATTTTGTTTTGATTGAACAAAATTTCAATTCAATAATAAATCAATCGGCAGGGAATCGTGCCAATTTCATGATTGAGTAGATTTAGATTGAATTTTATATGTAGGTACTTAAATCCATTACCTTTTTTTATATTAGCTCTTAACACGAAATTAAACTGACAAATCAATTATTTGAAGATGAGAGATGAACAATTTAAAGATGAACAATTTTTGAAGCTTATTTAGTCCTTAGAAATTCAAATACTCTGATAAACACAAAGAAAGCTTCTAGAAAAACCCTCAAAACATGAAAGCTGTTAAAAAGGAACAATGCCGATAATATTTCTCCATCTCTAAATTGCCTAAACATGCATAAATTCGCAAGAATTCTCTCTTTTTTACGGCCGGACGATCTTTTATCGTCGCACAGACAAAAAAAATGTGTCGGATCCGAGTAACAAATGCTTTGGGTATCACCACAGTTATCCGCATGTATCCAATAATCCTCTCATGGTAATGTTGTATCCCCAATCCTTGATGGCCTGAGTTATTATTCGAACGATTTATTGAACGGCACGTTTTCGAAGTCTATCAGACGAACATCCAAATATTATTCTTCAATTCTGTTAGGAACGTCGTTGTCTTGTAACTTGCTTTATAAGTGGGACGTTTGTGTGTTTGTATATGAGTATATTTACCAGTGATTGGCAGTCAAATCACTTGAAGATAGTTAAGCTCTAATGAGATGATTAGACAATCAGAACCAGTCTAGATTATTGTAAAGACTAATGTTCAATTGATCGACATTTAGACAAATATTTTGAAATCATCAGTTTACTTTGTGTTCTCTTATCGCATCTTTTCTCTTCTCCCTTTCTTCTTTCAACTCATTGCTATTATTTCTTTGACATTTTAACAGCCATTAGATATACCGAACCCTCGTCAATTATTTCATCCCGATAACGTTCGTTTTGGACACCAAAAACTGTGCTTTTTGTCGCAACAAGAGGAACAAAATTGGATTTAATCAAAGTTTTTAATTAGTTTCGAAACTATTTTTTAGCACCAGCTATTCATCCATCCTTGAGTTTTTAATGTTAATTTTTCTTCCCGAAGGCGAGAGGAAGATTAGAAATGAGCCCTTTTGTTCATAAACTTCTCTTCTTCTTGAAGTATCATCAAAATGGTCTTTTGTATTGTAAAATGTATCTTTACTCTTCCCTTCATATCTTAAGATTGCTTTGCAAACATTTTCTCCTGTTGTACATTTCACTTTTCTTCTTCCTCCTACATTTTCTGAACATTTAATTACGTTCAACAAAAGTTCATCAATGAGATTGGCAAACAATAGAAAATAAAATGGGAATAAAAAGATTCTTGTGCTTGTGTTAGATTAGATGAAAAACATCACTTTAATATTTAAGATACTCAACAAATCTTTAAAACAATTAAATTTTCTGATAAAGTCATGAATTTGATATGATTATGTCTACAAATTTTAATTTTCTGGATGAATCGAAGGAGTATAAATATTTGTACATTTTTCATTTTGAAATCATGATACGAATCGACGATTATGTTTGTTTATCTCATCAAGGTATTTGTTAGTAAGTCAACAAAACAAAAAAGAAACAACAGGAAAAGCACACACCTTGTTCCTAACAAACACATATAATCAAAGGAGGTGGAGACGATAATCAGGCTTAAAAATTTAATGAACCATCGCGTTGTTATATCTTTGACATGTTGTTTACTTTGAAGAAATTTAGAGGAAGAAAATTTGTTAATACATTTAACTCCCGCTGCTTACGTGATTACAGACATACCCATTTTTATCACCTGGCAATAAAAACAAATAAATTAAGTTATTTATTATGAGAATATAACCGGAAAAAGTCGTAATGAAAAGCTACGGTTCAAGTATTTCATTGTTTACTTTCAAAAGGAGTGCTGTTGCAATAAAAAATTATTTTCATGGTTGAAAGGAAGCTTTCAATGCATTCAAACTATCAGAAAATTTTCAGTTATTGGAATTATTTTCATTTATGAACACATAATTAGATTTCAATAAATATATTTGCTTATTGGTAGATACTTAAATACTTAGTTCTGATTCTGATACCAAAGCGACATATTATGATGAAATTATTGTCAACTTCAGTTTGAAATTAAAACTTTTATGAGGTAAAACATTTTTTATGTAGCTTAAAAGAAAATTCCTTTCTTGGAATTTTTCACTAAACTTCAAACGAAGAAAATTATTGAAGATTTAAAAAGAGCTTATAATGAAAGTTTTATGACTCAATGTGATAGGTTGTCAAAGATACCTGAAATGTGTCAACCGTGAAAAGTCTATGTTTAGAAGTTGAGCTTGAATCTGTCTAGGAATTTGTTGCTAAATCTTAAAAAACATATAAATTCCAAAATTCCAATCCTTGATAATAAATTGTTATTAAATTTCTTTAAAATAAAAAGAAGTTTTTGCTTCATTCATACTTTTAAATGACATTCCAAAAATGTGAAAATTAGTTTTCCAACTTGATCAAATTAGAAAATGATGCTTGAAGTTTTCGACAAACACTCTAAAATTTTGATATCTAAATTAAAGACTTAAAATGTTTTCACTTCAGAAATATTAAATTAGCAAAATTGCTTTAAGAAAATCTTTCTACGAAATCTGCTCTAAATTCTATTTAAATGTAAGGCGAAGTCTGAATACCGATAAGATAGCTTAAAATGTTATTTTGGAATATTCGAATATCTACTTAATAAATATTTAAGATTTCTGAGGAAATTCATTTCACAAATTCAAATGTTTCATATTGAATTTAAGTTCATAATGAATATTTAGAGATAAATTTAAAACGTTGAGAACAAGATTTTTCTTTTTCCTTAGAGATTTTTCTTAGATCTTCATAATTTAAGAAATATTCTGAAAAGTCAGAATCTTAAAGTTCGATTCAGTAACAAACAAGTGTCATTATTGTCGAAGAAGTGATAGAAATTGAATCATGTGGAAAGTTTGTGTCTATTCATGATTTCTTTTCTCAATTTTGTGTTCACTTCAGAATTTGATCTCTTTAATTTAGAGTTGCAAACTTTTCAATAAAATGATTTGTTTGTCGTTTAAAGAAATTTTCCAGATGATTATTCACTATGAATTCTAATATAAATCGTAATTAGTATCAAATTTTACTTTTTGACTCTTCAGCATGATCTGAAATTATTTTCTTCGATTTGATTTCAAAAGTTTTGCGATAAATAGATAAATTTATCTTTTGAACTATAAAGTTTTTGCTATCGATAACATTTTGTAATTCTTCAACAATTCGTGTCAATACATCGATGAATAAAACATCACTCAACTTATTCTGAAAAAGTCAAAGAAAGCTGCAACATTCGAATCATGAATAAAAATTTCATAAAATAATATTTTAAATGCATTTATTTTGGATTTTATTTTCACTTGTTATCCGGTTTAATAAAATGTATTTTATTACAACAGAATTCATTCCCAGACAAATAATTGAAGAAAATGAGTGTTCTCACTTTTTATTTTAATATTTACATTTTACAATTTATGAGACAAACAAAAGCAGCTTTCAACTTTGTCTCGTTTGTTTGTTATCAAAGTTTTCGTACATTCAGCAATACAAAAGGAGAAAGAAAAAAAGTTGCATTCGTGATGTGAGCAATATATAAGTTTAGCCTTAACTGCTTGGGGGTGTGGGGGGCTGTGCTTTAATTGCGTCACTTGAAAATTCCTGTTTCATCCATAATTTTGTTCGACATCCAAAAAATAGCACGTTAAAAGTTAAAGATTTTCTTCTTTTTTAACTACGAACGTGACGTAACTTTCACACATTCCATTTTTTAAAAGCATACATTAAGTTTGCACACAAATAAAATGCATTTCCCCAAGCAATTATATATCACAATTTTTAATAATCTTTTTAAATTAATTGTTAGTTTATCATTCATTCTTTCACTCTTTCTTCTCCGTCTGTTTTCTTGACATAACACGCTTTCTTAAAAAAACTATTCATGAAGATAAATTTGATCATTTACACTGTTGAGATAGAACAATTGCGCTAATTAAAAAAGATAGGAAAGGATATTGCAAAAGTCATGACTAAAATGTGTTTATTCTGTTGAAAAAGTTTAAAATATTTTAAGAGATTTCTCCCTGATTAATTAAAATTATCAGATTTTTCTTTAGTCTGCGTTTGAGGATCATATTTGCATATTTTTCATTTCCTCGGCAACCAAAATGAGTTAGACTTTATTAATAAAACATAAGAAGGAAAAGCCACAATAAACTTCCATTTAAAATTAATCATCGCTTTCATAAATTCGGCTAATTACCTTCGTTTATTCATCCACACAGCATACGACACAATCAACTCACACATACATCAGATGGCGGGTCAACATCTTCCGCATTAATAATTAATTACATTATAATTAATCATAATTATATGCGAATGAAATGAAAAGTTCTCTCTCGCTTCATATTCCGTAACAATGGACGTGAGAGAAAGCTAGAAAATTTGTTCAAGAACATTTTGTAGTTGAAAGTAATAATATCTTTATCCTCAATCTTATAAATTATCTGGATGTTGACTTTGTTTACGTTTGGACTTATTTGTATCCTTTGGATTTAGGTCTATCGATGGTCTTCTGGGATTTCCCAATGTCACCAAAGCACTTGCTACTGCTAAACCTGCTGCTTGACCTGCAGGCGAATGGGACAAACCACCTGTTATAAAAAAGAAGATGAAACATTACATAATTAATATTTGTATGAGACTTTCTTATTCAGCCAGTCAATATAAATAATTAAAATTCATATTCAGATACGAGCATATTTTTAAACGAAGGCTTAGTATATTTTTCCATTGTTAATTTCCGGGAAAATCAAGTTTTCAATTAAATAAGCTTAAGCTTTAAAGCGTTTTATATTCATTTACGGTCTTAATTTCTACGTATGATACGTTACGTATGTTACGTAAAATTTTTACGTTACTTTGATTACACCAAAGATTCTCAAAGCTTTTTTGATAGTTATGAGCGAGCGGTAGGAAAATTAATGAAATAATTTTTAGGATTGACGATTTCGATTATGACTCTGTTAATAAATTAATCAATAACACTTGAACGGAAATATATTTGACACTCACCAGTTGGCATCCGCACAAGAAGCGATAAAACTGCTGCTTTATTTCCAACACAAGGCTCCAAAGCTATCGGACTAGGCGAATCTTTCTTTCGTTTTTTCGCCGCATTAGAATTATCAGTTGCTGGAGTAATCTCATTATATTCACGGTCTTTGCTATCGATCTCAACAAGAACCTTTTGAAAAGATATAAATTGAGTTGGATGAAAAAAAATTGATGGCAAATTTTTAAGAAAAGTAAAAATGAGAAATTGGATCAATTTTCTTCACGTTATCTTATACCTGAGAAAATGGTCTAGAAGCCATTTGTTCCATCTCAACAAATAATCGTTGACGACGCCGAAACATATCATATTTCTGTTTTATTTTCCAAAGAATTGCTGCCATAAGAAGAAGCAGTAGGAAGCATCTGTAAAGCGACAAATAAAAGAAATAAAATTCATTTGAAATGAAAGCATTAAAGACAAAGAAGGAAAGCAAACATTTTCCTTTCTTATTGTCATTATTGACTCACGTTGAAAATGTGATGAAAAATTGCTGTAGATTCAATTTCGGATATTGTGAGAATGCGATTTGAATCCAAAGCGGTGGCTGAAAATCATACACATAAACATAAAAAGTTGTTATCGTCACATTGTTATCGCTATTGTATCCAAATTGATGATCGCCTTTAGAGAATCGTTGACGGAATGTTGTGCAATTGATATTACTGAAAAGTATTTTCTCTTGTGACTGATTTAATGTTCTTATTGTGATATTCATTTTAGCTGGCACGCTGCAAGTGATTGTGAAATCTGCATCGATGTCAGCTTTAACTGGCGAATTACGAAAATTAATTTGTGTGTAATGACGATCTTCCTTCTTCGATAAATTAAATGTAAATTGATAATCAATTGTTAAATCATAATAACATGAATCTTTCTTCGGATCACCATGATAATGATTTGTGGCGTCACACTTCTCACAATGATCGCCAGCAAGTCCTTTTGTACTGCAAAAACATTTTCCCGTTTCCGAGTTACAATTTGTTGCTTGATTATTGCATTCACATTTTTGACACGATCCACCATTCACTGGACTTCCCCAATAACCTGGCTTACATTTGTCACAATTAGGACCATAAATGTGACCATCACACGGACCACAAGTCGATCCATCATCACACACACTGTGACCATTGCATTGACAACTCGGACAATGTGTGAAATGCCAATGATTTGCTGGACATTCCATTTGATCTAACGGACCCGAATCACCTCCATCAAGACATTTCCCCAATCCTGTCTTCGATCCATCATCACACCAGCCACACGCCGGATCATCGCGACATAGCGAACAAGTTTTATAAAATGAACACTGAGAAAGTCCCGTCGATGGCGCACGACATTTATTTGTTAGTGTCGTCCACTCTCGACACTGTCCATAGGGAAAACTCGCTGTGTATGCATTCTTATCAACACAACGCTCTTCATTCTGACACCAAATGCAATCCTCTTGCGTACAATTAGCGCAGCTTGTTAATGTTGAACACGACGGTGGACATGGCAAAGTTTCATCATTCGAACGATTCCCAATGAACATACATTTATTATGTTCAACGCTCCAAAAGCAAACAGAATTTGACATACACGCTTGACAATTGTGTAATTGAGCGCACAACGGTTCATCATCTTTTGGGCATTTTTCGATTTGTCGAAGTGGTGAAAGAGAAATTTGAGATCTTTGTTTGACGCCTGTTGGATCGGAACATTTCTCTAAAACACATGATCCACGTCGAATAATTGGATTAATGCAATAACCGCATGACGATGATGTGGATACACAAGCATGACATGAGTGTTGATCTAAACAATGCTGCTCTTTAGCTATATGCTGTTGTGTCATTTCCATTCGTCCACGTTTTGCACATTTTTGAATATATTCATCACCCCTTTGAAATAAAAGATTCTTTGGAACATCATACGACGCTTTACATTTCGATTCTTGATGATCCCAAATACACTTAACACCCGGTTGTGAATTTAAACACAAATCAGCACGTTCGAAATGATGACATGTTCCCGGCGTGTAACGTAACATATCTGTTAACATTTGTCCATCAAATCCACCATAAATCCACAATTTATTCTCAAACATCTGAGATGAATGACCAAATCGAGCTAAATCAGCTTGTAAATCATTTGGCATTGTGTGATGACTCCAACTGTCACATATTACATCGTATGTAAGTAAATCCATGCTGTAACATTTGGCACCGAAACTATGCGATGTATCATTGTGAGTATTACCGCCAAACACCATCATGAGGCCATTTGAAATGAAATTTGCTGTGTGAAGGTAACGTGCAGATGAACTTGATGTTAACATAATCCAAGTGTGACTTTTCGGATCGTAACTGTAGAGTTTGTTGCTTAAAAGTTGTTGGGATTCTGATTCACTGATGATGCCACCATAAACATACATTTTCTCAGTCATTTCATCATAACTTGCGCTGTGACCGTAGCCACCTTTCACTGGAAAACCATTCGTTGTCACAATTCGCCATTCGCGTGTACCAAAATTATATTCTTGGACAGTATTAAGAAATCCGTAAACTGGAGAATGTCCAAATATTACAACCATTACGTATTGCGCTTTTGTACCATCATTTATGGGCACAATGTTTGATGTATGTCCAGCAGATTCCAGAGGCAATGGACACATAACAGATGAAGAATTACACGATTCCGACTTTACTGTGATGTTTTCCCAATTTCTTGCTGACACATCAAATGCCCAAAGTTCACCAGTTATTCCAGCACCTTCCACAACACCACCGTACATGAATATTTTGTCACCGTATCGAACAGTGCTTGCCCCATAACGCATCGATGGTGAATTGTTCTTTTCAACGTGAACTGTTTCCCAAACTTTCCCATTGAAATCGTAAGCGTACAACAATTCACCGCGATGATAACTTTCGCCACCAATAATGAACATTGTGTCGCCGTAAATTGCGGAACCATGCGAAGCTGATCCTGGTGGTGTGAAATCTTTTGAAGTGTCAATCGTCTCCCAAAATCCAAACTTGGAAACTTGTCGACAATCTGAACCAGCAAAACCTTTCTCGCATATGCATCGATGGCGTTCAGGACTGCATTTGCCATTGGGAAATGAACAATCATTTGGACACTTTGGGATGTGACAAGCTGAACCTTTGTAGGCTGAATCACATGTACACGTTCCTTCACCAACACATGCACCGTGACCTGAACAGATTAAAGCTGAGAAAAAGAAAGAAAAAGATTAATTACTTGTTATCACTTTCTTAAATATTTATGGCGACTTACATGAGTCTGTTGTTGGACATGAATCAAAGCGATAAGAAATATTAAAGCCTGACATGTTATAAGCATCGTCGCTGAAAAAATGAAGTAATGTTGCTCCTGAATGTGCAACAACTTCCGGAATGCGACGAATTGAAAAATTACTTTTGTACATTAAACCGCTGTGAAGGAAGAAAAGAAGAAAACAAAAATTTGATAAGCAAACTAAATACGTATTGGAATCATAGGTCAAGGTCAGCAATTTGGTTTTATTAATGAAAGTAATTATGTAGAAATTAGTCAGTAATGAGATTAAACTCCCGCTGACGACATCGTTTGGTAAAGAAAAAGAAAATTTGTGTGAAAAGTGTTTGTTTATTTGCAAGTTAACAACTCACCTAAATACAGCTAAAAGAGGACTCTGCACGCTGTCACCATCATAGATATACAAATGATCCCAGGAACATTCTGTTGCAAATTCTTCTAAATGTAATCTTATCAGTTTCGGTTTCTTTTTGCCAGACTTTGTGGCGTTTGATGAAGGCTGGTAAGGATCGCGTGCATCAATAAGCCATGAACACTTAACACCAATTGAATAATTTCCAAGTCCATCATGAATAAAACCTTTTGGTTCTGTTAATCTGAAATGAAAAGAAGAGACAATTACAACAACAATAATAATGCAAAATAAACACAACGGGAAGAGAATCTGGATCATCGAACTCATTTTCAATCGAACACTTTATAGATTTATCTCCCACACATTATAACACATTTTTAACACGGTTTTGTTGTAATTTATTACAAATTTTTTAAGTTGTTGATGAGTCAAAGGTGGAAATGTTTAAAATATGTGATATTTTTCATTCAACATAAAAACATCATTTTACCTTATTTTCCCTGCACAGAATTCACAATCTTTCCCCTGCCACCCTTCTTCACATTTTTTTGTTGCATTTACTTCACCATTGCACCTTTTTATTACTGTGATTATTGAAAAAACTAGCAGAAATCGATGGAAAAGCATATTTCATTTTAATTTTTATTGTTTCAAAGCTTCGTGTCCCTTGTGTAAGAGGCAAGCCTCTCAGAGAGAATATTTTGGGGGTGCATAACTTTCATCTGCAAACAAAACAAAAGAAATTTTCATGACATGAACGAAATGGAATATTTTGCTTAGTTAAAGTTAGTTCAAGGACTTAAAACAAAGGTTAGAGTGAAAAAAGTCAAGTTACGTAAAAGTTAAAATAAATTTGATTCAAGAATGTTTTGATGTTCAAAGTGAAATTGACAAAAAATCAGATTTTGTAAAAAAATATAATTTTTGTTTGTTTATTCAGTTTAATTTATAAATAAAAGTGAAGAAATTAAAAATGTCGAGTCTTAAAGTTGCTGTGCGATGCAGACCATTTAATAACAGGTATAATCTGATAAATCTGTAGCACTAATATAAAAATTAAGAAATTTTTTGCTAATGGCTGATGAATCATTTCCTTGGTCAGCTGTTGACGACCTTCTTATCTCTTCTAATTCTCTTTTATTTTATTTGCTTTCAAAAACTTCAAACTACAGGGAAAATGAACTCGGCGCGAATCTTATCGTTGAAATGGACGGGAAGAAAACGAGACTTTTAAAACCTTCAAAGCAATCAATTCGAGAGCACTTCCATGATTTTACTTTTGATTATTCTTATTGGTCATTAGACGACAAAGATGACCATTTCACGAGTCAAGAACAAGTGTTTTGTGATCTTGGAACAGATGTCGTTGATTGTGCTTTCGAAGGCTACAACGCTTGTGTGTTCGCTTATGGTCAAACGGGATCTGGGAAAACATTCACAATGATGGGAGAAGCACACGACAGAGATAAAGAAGGCCTTGTCCCTCGCATCTGTAAATCACTCTTCAGCAGAATGAAGGTTGGTCAAGAAGAAGGAACTGGATATAAAACTCAAGTCAGTTATCTCGAGATTTACAACGAACGTGTCCGAGACTTGCTGGGAGCAAAAAATGTCGGACATGCTCTTCGAGTGCGAGAACATAGACTCCATGGGCCTTATGTTGAGAATCTCTCACAGCATTCCGTATGTGATTTTGATGAAATCCACAATTGCATGTTGAGAGGAAATCAGGAAAGAACAACAGCGTCGACAAACATGAACGATACATCGTCACGTTCACATGCAATATTCACAATAACATTTGTTCAAGCTGGATTCTGCAACAACATGCCGAGTGAGACCGTTTCGAAAATTCATCTTGTGGATTTGGCTGGATCGGAACGAGCCAACGCAACAGGAGCGACTGGACAGCGATTGAAAGAAGGCGCACACATAAATAAATCACTTGTGACGCTTGGAAGCGTTATCAGTTCTTTAGCAGAAATGGCGAATCCAGCTGGAAGCAAAAAATTTTATATTCCTTACAGAGACTCGACACTTACATGGTTGCTTAAAGATAGTTTAGGTGGAAATTCAAAGACAATTATGATAGCTGCAATATCACCAGCTGATGTCAATTACAGCGAGACTTTGTCAACACTTCGCTATGCAAATCGAGCCAAGAACATCATCAATAAACCAACAATAAATGAAGATCCAAATGTTAAACTAATTCGCGAACTTCGTGAAGAAATTTCAGCACTTCAAGCGATGTTAGCAACTGGAAATGTCACTCTAACTGAACCACAGTTAAAAGTGTTGGAAAATCTTCAAAAGAAAGAAGCTCAAGAGAAAGTTTTGATTGAAGAATGGTCGGAGAAATGGCGAGAAGTGCAATCAATTCTAAGGGAAGAGAAATCACTTGGATTGAAAAAATCTGGCATTGGCATAACTTTAGATTCGGAGAAAGCGCATTTGATTGGAATCAATGATGAAGCGACTGGTGTTACGTTATTTACACTTAAAGAAGGGGAAACTTTAATCGGAACAAAAGACGCCAGTCGTAAGCAAGATATTGTAGTGACAGGCGAAGCTATTTGTGACGAGCATTGTCGGATAGTTGTTGAAAATGGATCAGCAACAATTCATCCAGTTGGAAATTCAAAAAGTTGGCTAAATGCTAACTTAATTTCAGGGCCAACTCCAATAACTCAAGGAGATATTTTACTACTTGGCAGTACCAACATGTTTCGTTATAACAATCCTGATGAAGCAGCTGAATTACGTAAATCATCGACACGCTCATCTAGAATGGATTTCTCGAGATTGTCTTTGTTAGCAGCATCAAAGGAAAATCTTTGCAACATTTTAGTAACGGATGACGATGGTTTAACAAACTCCAACAATAACTCTTCTCCTTACAAAGCTCGCTTTAAAAAGCAATTTTTAATGAATGAACAATTTTTACGTGATAATCAAGAAATCCAAGACGAGCATAAAAAGATTCTTGAAACGATAGAAAGTGCACTTAAGCAACTTAATCTCGAACGAGTGAAAATGCATGAACACTTTTCTAATAAAGTCAAACGTTGTTCATCAGAAGTAGCAAAGAATCATCCCGATAAACTAGTTGCTATTGACTTTAGAATCGAAGAGACGCTTGCGAAGCAAGAGATGGTGTTGTGGGAGAAGAACAATGAAAAGACTCAAGTGAGTTAAATTTTATTAAATTTATCAATTCCTTCCTTAACTGTTGTTAATTAATGTGGTGTAGAAAATTAGTTTATTGATTTAATTACGTTTATAAATTGTCTTTGTTGTTATTAATTGGTTTCTGTTTTGTAAAATTTTGTTGAATGCAGGTTGAGATTTTGATGCGTCAGATAAATGCCCTGTTGACACAACTCGATGCAAAGAAGCGTGAACATTACGAATTTGTTGCAAAAGAGTTGCAAGAACTACAAGATTGTGGCAAATTGAATGAGGTTTTTATTTCTTTCTTTTATTATTTTGTTTCTTTTTGTTTTTTTGCGATTAAATTTGAAATTTGAATTTTGTGTGTATTTTTGAAGTCCTTAAGTTGGATGAAGTAGAAGAAGCCAGCGGAAAGAAGTCATTAAGTGATTTTATAAATTTATTCAAGTCACTTTTTTCCGCTTCCATTCATTGAACTCCATCAAGTGTCTTGATGAAATAGTTTCAATTTCTGTCATTGTCAGGAACAAACTGAAATTCTTCAAAATGCTCCGGTGCAAGAAGATTACTCAGAAATACTTTTGGGAGTCGCTGAAACGCTCAACAATTATTCAAGTCAATATCTGAAGGAAAATATCAAGAAGAACGTAAGTAAAGTTTTATGAAATTTCTCATTTGTTTATCTTATCAAATCAAATTCAATTTAATTCAACACAAACATAGCGAGAAGAAATTACGAGATATGAAAACGAGTTGTTTGCTAAAGATAATCTGCTAGCAGAATGTCACAAAAAGATTGAAGAAATGGATCAGAAGTTGAAAGATTTAGAGGCTGAGAATCGAACGCTGTTAACTCAGAAGAGTCAAGAAGAACTTGAAAAGATTCAAATGAAAAAACAGTCAATGACATTAAGCTTGAGAAATACGACAATGACAAATGACGTTCAGACAGACACAAAAGGATTGACGTCTGATGGTTCGAGAACAACTGAAACTGAAACATGTGACACTTTTCATACCGCAAACTCTGATTGTTCATTTGCATCCGCACTTCCATCTCCATTTCCTCCAAAGGGAAATTTTAATCAAAAAGCGAGTGAAGAAACTGAAGCAACGACATCAAGTGAAATTTGTAACCATCAGGGAAAAGCGATAATGAGCGACAGTGGTGTATGCTTAGATACAAAAATTAATGAAGCAACAGCAGCAATAGCAACATCAACAATCACCACAAAACAAAACTTCGATAGAGAAGATTTATCATCAATCTACATTAAACATCTTCAATCACAAATGGAAAAACTTCAAGTAGAAATTATTGCAAAAAAAGCTCAAATCATGAAGATTCTTGAAACAGGCGGTGAGAAGTCATCGCTTAATGATTTAATTAATGAGTTGCAAGAACTTCAAAAGGATTATGTGAAGAAAGAAATGCGACTGGAGAATTCGAATGGTAAGCTAAAGTTTAATACATTTTCATTGAGAATTTAATTTTTCTTTTCCTTTGTTTAGATGGTTGCACATCCGATGATGAAATATCATCAGAACTACGTGGTGTAGCTGGAAGTACAACTGATAGCGATGAATTGCCAAGACGCAATCCACTCACGATGTCAACGATGTCAACCAGAAATAATAGCCTTACAGCAAGTTTATTTGCCCATAACATCATGACAAGGTCATTGCCCAGCATCGAGGGATCATTTCAATCTCAGCAACGTAAGTAACAAAAAGAAATTTAAGAATTTCCATTCATTTCTCCAGCCCTGCTTTTGATTAATGGACGATGAAACTTTCATCACTTTTGATTGTTTTCTTACAGAACCGGAACATTCAATTAACATCCCGAGTTACATTATGCGTGGTGCTGGAAAGCAAACGCATGTTGAATATGAAATAAGAATTTTCCTTCCTGATGATCGATGGCTTTTGCTTCGACGATTCAGTCGCTTTCGTGAGCTTCATCTTAGTATGAAAGGGCTCTATGGTGACAAGGTAAGTTTGATGTTAATTATGATAATCTCAAATCTGACAAACATTCATCACTTCATGAAAGATTGGAAAGATTTCCTTCCCAAAGCGACAATTGTTTGCATCAAACAGTGAAAGTGTCGCAAAATCACGTCGACGTCAACTGGAAACTTATCTTCGAAGATTAATTGTCGCTTGCTCAAGAATTCCTTCAAGTCCAATCTACGATGGTGATGGTGGACAAGGACTTACAAAGAAGTCTCTCATCGAGTTCTCGAGCTTCTTTAAGAAAGGTTTGTTTGAAAGTGGAAAGCATGGAACGGGTTAGAATAACGAATAAGTGAGAAGAAAACTTATTTATGGGAAAAGCTAAAAGAAAATAATTATGGGAAAAATTGCTTTTATGAACTTTTTAATTTCGCTGTTGAATAAGAAGAAAAAATATCGTTTAATGTCTTGTTGAATCCCTTTGTTGAAGATGGTAATATACTTGAGAAGGAAAGTAAGAAGAACAGAAAACTTAATTTATTCTAAATATTCTGACTTTTTAATCTTTTTTCCCGCCCTTAATTTTAGAGCTGAGATCTAATTTTTGTTTTGCGAAAATTCTTAGACATTCATTGAAAATAATTTTTAACTTCTTGAACGCTTTTTTTTAAGAAAATAATTTTTCCACATTGTAATCAGATTATTATATTTTCACATTATAAATTTGCAACTTCTTTTATATTTTTTCTTAAAAGAAATATTTGCGCGGGAGTGATAAGCGAAAGATGGATAAAAATAACTGTGATTTCAATAAGATAAAGAAAAAAACTGAAGATGGAAATTGAAAATCAATTTTTGATCGAATTTCATTTCGATAAATGCGAGAAAGAAAAAATAAAAGACTTTTCAAAAGATTTGAACAGATGATGATTATGACGATTATTGTTGTGCAATGAATAAATAGAAGAAAGATGAAAATTTAAATAAATATTTTAAATATGCAATCGAAACATTTTAGCAATTTGAGATGCTGTTATGAAAGTAAATAAATAAATAAGTTAATGCCGTCTATCTTCCATTCACAACAATTTAATCATCGATCTGAAATTGATAACAAAATCCAAATGCAATTCATTCAAAATTTGATAAAAAACTAAAAATGTGGAACAGATAAAATTAAAACTAAAAACTTTCATTAAATCCATTTTTGTGCCTCTTAAGAATATTTAAAGAAAATTAAAACTTTTTATTTGAATATGTGTCGGTATTTAAGTTTTTGTAAAATAAATAAATTGTGCAATGATTATCGTGTTTTTAAGATAAAACTTTCAAAGTAAAATATTTTTTCCCCCGGATATATGAAATTGTCTTCTTATTTTCATTTTGAAACATAAACTTTGAAAGTTAAATTACTTTCCTAGGACGACATTTGTCAATTAGGAATCCAAAGAGAAAAGTTATATAAAATAGAGATAAAAGCGAACAAATACAGTTCGATGCAATTCGGACAAACATTGTTATAGTTTATGGTTTCCTTAGCCACTAGAATCTCAAATATGTATACAAAACGAGTTTATTTGTTAGAAAATGTATGAAAGAGAATTGAAACATGACGAAAATTTCTCTTTATCAACAGTGATGAAAGTCGAATCATCATTGTAGAAACATTTGTACCTCCTAGACTAATAAATTTATTCATCAACCTCCTATAGTTTCTCATAACTTTTATCATAATTGCCAGTATAGAAATATAAGATAAATCAACACAGAATTATTTAGTTAAATTATATTTACTAGATGTCAAACTTTATTATGCAACTCGATGATAATTTAATGATTATGAAGCATCTATCTAGATCTTTGGCAGATTAACAAATTTCATGTAAACAATCACAGAAAGACAAAAAGGAAAATTTGATCTGAATTTTTATTTCTTTTATATTTAAGCATAAACTTAACTTAGTAAATACAGAATATTTGCCCTTGACAACAGTTGATAATAAAATGACACTTATGTTTAATGTTTAAGAGATGGAAGGGAAAGAAATGTTTTTTATGTTTTATTTCCGCGAAACGATTCCTCCAAGACAATAACAATAAACACTTGAAAGAGAATTTACATGTTAAAAGTATTATCTATCTACAGAAATATTCGAAAAGAAAGAAAAGAAAATAAAGCAGCACTTAGGAAAACAATGGAAAATCTGTAAGCATCCTTAACTGAAACAGGAAAATCGAGAAATACTTAACTAATAAAGAAAACTCAAACGAAATCCAACGAAGCATTTGTTTTCATTGCAATTACCATTTCCAACATTGAAATTTTCGCAGAGAAATATTTTATTTATTTATTTCAGTAATTCAATTATGTGAAGCTGTAGGAATGAGTGAAACCACAAAGAAATTGTTAATTGGAAAATTGATTTGATTTGGTAAATCCTTTATCTGCTATTATTATGAAAGCATGTTATAAGATATCAAGGTGAAGGTTGTAAAGGAAATTCTGATTAAATTTTCGTCTGAATATCATGCAATTTATCGTGTCATGACACAGAACCATCTCAAATTCTAGTTCATCATTTCAGCTTTCATCATCTGATTGTTAACATTCTATTTAAGTTTCAGTTGTAGAGAACCACAAAACTTTTATAATAAACTTACCTTCATCAATACTCAAGAAGAAGAAAAATATCAACCAATAAAGTTGGAAGAAAATTTCTAACTTTTAACACAAAATTTCTTATCTTGATTCATCAAGAAACTATTTCTATGTGTAGAATAAACTTGAAAGATTAAAGCAGAACAAAAAAAGAATTTTCTATGGTTTAAAATATTCATTGATGATTTTCAAAGTAATAAAATTAAATCATTCTTATCTAAGGAGTTTGAGAAAGTTAAAGAAAATTTTTAAAACAAAAAAGGGATAAATTGATGAATCGAATTTATTTCAATTGCTGTTGAAGGTTGATATCTGAATGAATAAAATAAGATAACAGATGAGAGAAATAGAAGTCATCAAGGTCAACTTGACCCACTACTTAGATCCTTTAAAGTTTAAATATCTTTGACATGATGACATATTCAACTAGAATAAAGAAACATTGATTTAAACTTTGGGTGAATTCTTTGAACCTTTATTTATGACACATACCCTGGTCACTTGAAAACAAATCGGTGAAGATGAAAACTTCAAATATTTTCCAATGAATTTTCATTTTAATTTCCTAAATATTTTTTAATCGAATCTGTAACAATGTTTCTGATAGTTCTGATATGAGAACATGCAACATTGAGTGAACTAACTAATTTAAAAAGTTTTATTAAATAACTTTATTTCTTGTTTAATATTTGTTTGCTTTAAAGGATGGAAAAATCTGATTCTTTGAGTTTCGTGAAAGAGATTTTCATTCATTTGTTGTAGTCATGGCATTGAATTTGAAAGGAAGCGAAACAATGTTGAATAGTAAAGCAAAATCTTGTATCGAAATTAGTAAACTTCCGATTCCTATCTCTGTTATAAATTTCCAAGCTGAAGATTCGGAAATCTACACGCCAATTATTTGATTCTGAGCAAACCTTTTGATGTCTGAACAACTTCCTAATATTTCGTGTATATTCATAAAGATTTTTTGAATGAAAATTGAGGATTTTCCTATTCCATCAGAGTAACGATAAACATTTCTTACCGTGCTTTTTGAGAACTTGATCCCTTTGTTGTGACACTGTAACAAGAGGAAAACTCGGAAAACAAACTTGTTGAAACAACAATCACTTAACTGATTTTCAATGGCACTTTAAAACAACATTTTTGCGGTTTTCTTCCTTATTTCCCTCGATGTAATATTTACAAAGCCGCAAACTCACAAAATAAATGCTCGAAAAAAATTAAATTGATAAAGTGGAAGTAAGAAAATAGGATCAACAAAGCAATAGAAACAAATTTAATTAAAAAAAGATTAAGTAGATATTTGAAATCGTAGAGACAAGGTAAAATGTTCTCTGAGGAGTCTAAAGAAACTTCATGAAAGTAAATTCAGTTTTATTAAGCCTCGAGATATTTTTTTATATTTGAAAGAGTTTTTTATTTAGAAAATGTTTTACAAGTTAATTTCATGGAAAAAGGATGTTGCCTAAAGATCGCTTTAAGAGTTTTTGAAATTAATTGAGGCGAACAAATGTACTGAAATGTTTTTACCGGATGAATTAAGTTACTGTGGAAGTAATTGAAATGTCCTTAATGGACAACACATGACAACTTATGGATGAGATAACTGAAGATGGTTGGACGTTGTCCATTCACCTCAACATATTTGAGGCACTCAATAAATATTTCAGCTTTAATATTCGTCAATCATGTTAGTAATGCAGTGATTGCATGTTTCATTGATTACATCGAGTCATTTTGTTAACGTTAAAGTAAGCCATGAAAATGTTGATCGAACACAATCCTCATACTTTGTATTCAAATTTCTTTGAAGTTATGCTGATAGTTGCAATCGGACTGTTGAGAATGCAAAGGATTGAAACTGTTTTCATCTTGTTATTGAGTATTATCATGGTGAGAATAAACATATTCGCTTTCCTGCTGTTGTTGCTGCTGATTCTGCTGTGGGTCGACGTAGTTCTCGTAATTTTGTTGAGTTGAATCATAAGAATATTGTGCATTATCATAGATAGCATTATTTGTTTGCACGTCGCTAGCATCATATTGGTTTTCAAACTGCTGCACCTGACCAAACTCACCTTGATTCTGATACGCTTGCAAAGTTGACGTGTAATCGTTTTCTGTAGTCAAAGCATCGTCATAAGCTTGCGATGGAATAAAATTCTGCTGATTTTCATCTGCAACAAAGTTTTCATAATTGTAATCTGCTTTGGAAGTTTCTTGGGATTTGATTTCATTTCCATTCGAAGCTTCTGGCCATTCATTTTCATCAGTCTCGTAAATATTATTTTCAATCGAGACTGGCCTTTGAATGTTCTCATGAAAAGTTTCGAGTTGTTGAATATTCTGAGGTGAATTGACTTTTGCTTCGTCATTTCTGATATCAGGCGAGTCATTTATTGATAAAGTTTCAATTCTTGCAGAATCATTCAATGATGACGACGACATTCTACGCTCACTGATCTCAATTATTTTACCTTTCCCATCATAATAATCGCCTTCGATTTTCTCAATCTTCCGGTAAATTTCATTGATTTTATCATTTAACGACACTGCTGATGCTTCGTTGCCATTGTTTATCGCTTTCGTTCCTTCCTCACTGCCTACAATGTCGTCTGAAGAGCCTTCAGCCATTGAGTTATTGGTTTTTATTTCGGATTCATATGTCATGATTCGGGTTGCCGCATCTTCTTTATCTGTGATTTGAATTCTATCGAAATCACGCAATTCATGTTCAACACTCGATGTTGGATGTTGTTGATGATGACGATTCTCACTGCGATACTTCTGTTGCTCATCAGAGAACGGTTGTTTGTCATTATGATAAATGGTTAATCCAGTCTGCTCTAATGGTGAATTATTGTTCACTTTTGATTCCTGCTGTGGCTGAAGCGATAAAGATTCATTCTGTTGATCATCCTTTGAATGATTTAATAACTTTTCAGGTGTGTCTCCATCCTGTTTTTCATAAAAATCTCCTTGATGTTCATTCATGGTTTGCTTCAACAGCATTTTGGGTGCTGCTGTTGTTAAATCAATTTGCGTTTCAACGATGATTTTCGGTATCACAAAATTTGATGAATTTTGTGCATCGACTGGTGACGCTTCAATTATCTTCTCCCATATTTGATGCATGTTTTCGTTCCCAATCGTTTCATTAACATCATCTAAATTTTGGAATTCATTTATCTTGATGCCAGTGTTTATATCGCTGAGCTTTTGATGGCTTCCAATGTTGACCTTTCCTTCATCACCTTGTTGTTGATGATGCATCATTCCACTTGCTATGAGATCATTTCGTCGAATGTTACGCTTTCCAGCATTTCTCTTCTCACCATCACTTTCCGTCTCTTCATCACCATCACTCATGTGAACATTTGTTGTGCTGTTTTGCATATTCTCTGGATGACTTTTTAATAAAATTTCATCTGAGGGCGCCGATAACATTCCTCGTGTTGATTTCGGCGACAATTGCGTAACGAGCAAAGCTGACGATGCTGCTGGTAATATTAATGGCGTGTCATAAAATGGTTTTGACAGCTTCAAGCTCTCTTGGCTATAATTACAAGATTGTAGAGGCTGATTATTTTGTTGTTGATAAATCGGATGCAATGCTTTCGTCGATGATTTCTCATCGAACATAGTGAAGGGTTGTTGACTATAAATTGGATTAATTGTTTGTGAATTCAAATATTCATTACTGATATCTTTGCCATCGTGATCGAAGGGTTTCCTTTCAGCCGATATTTGTTGATATCCCGAGGCTTGTGTAAAATCATCATGTCGCACTTGAAGCATATTCGGATAAGGAAATTTTTGTTGAATATCACCAACACCTGTTGTTTGATAATTGCTCGTCTTAATTGAATTATCTGCTGGTGATGGTACTTCACGTAAATATGATTGATTGTGATGATAGTTCATTGAGGGTGGAATTACATTTATGTAAGGTGACGATGATTGGAATGTTGGATTATCGAAGCTATGATACTTTGATTCAACATAAGGTGATTGCTGAGTCATAAATCGGTCATATTTTGAAGCACCGTGATAAGTCATCTGTCGTTTTCGATTCCATAAGCTCAATAAATATTTCTCGTATTGTTTCTAAAGAAATCCAAAGAAGTGGAAAACGAGAAAACAATAAAAGAAAAAGAAATTTTTTTTGAAAGTCAATAAATAAGATACAAAAGTAGTTTGTTAATATTTCATGGAGAACATTCCAACCTTGAGTGCTTTCAAACGTTCTGTTTTCGCAGCTAACGCTGTTGCCTGTGAATCTATTCGTTCAAGCGTTCGTAAAATATTTTCATTTCTTTCCGCTCGTTGTCGTTTCTCGTCCATAGATTGCTTCTGTTGATTTTGCAGTGTTTTAATTATTGATTTTTCACTGTAAAATAAGAAATAAAATTTAGTTTTGTGAAAAGAAAAAGAAAATCAATTGGGAAAATTGAAGGCGAAGAGAGATTTGGATACAGTAGATGGAAACAAAGGAAAAGAAAAAAGGAAACTGAAAGTGAAGTAAAATCAGGCAACATGTTCCTTAATTTATCGACCATAAAAAAATCGCTAGCATATAAATTGTGTGGTTTTTGCTTACCATTCCGACTTCTCCTGATACATCTTCTGCAATTTATGGTCGAGTTCTTGGCGTTTATTTTCGCTGCATGTAAAGAGAAAAGAAATATTTATAGAAATCCATGAGAGAAGTCACCAGCAAGCAACAGAACCGAAAACTGCAAAAAAGTATTCAGTCATCGATACTTAGAGAAACGATTTACAGATTTTAATAAATCACAAAATGTTGTTAGATTTTCTGCTGATATTTACACTCCCCCACTGCATTTGATTAAAACTTAAGGGCGGTATATGTAATTCCAAGATTACTATGCTTTAGGAGTGGAAACATGTGGAGACGAAAGGAGCTTAACATCTGTTTCCTAGGTCAAATTGAGCTAAACGATTTACAACAAAGAATTTTTCTCCCGAATTGCTTAAAAATCGCTTTCTCCCCCTTTTCTTCATTTTATTTATTGAATCGAAATTCTTATTCGCCTTCACATATATTTCCCTTTTACCAGCACACACATTCACCGATTTACCTTCTCTTTATGTGCTCTAGTGATGCTTCACACATTGCTCTGTAACTGTTATAATCCATTACTAATATTTTTTAGTATCAACCATAAGCCCCCGTTGGTAGAGAAATGATTGTTTCAATGAAAGCTCAACAAACACTGAGCTTTTATCCGATAAATGAAAAGGTTAAATTTCTTTCTCTCTCTTTCTGCTTCGTACTTCCAACTGTCGGTGTAGTTTCACAAAAAGTAATTTTCCTTCCTTTTCTTTTTCTTTTTTCTTACTTTTTATTTTATTTTATTATTTTACGTCAACCTCATACTTAATGTATTCCCTTTCAACAGCAAAAGACGATGGCAATTGTAGAAGAGCGAGCTTTTGTTTCTCAAAACAAAATATATTTCTTTTCTCTTGTTGTCTTCTCCTTTCATATTTCGCAAGCTGAACAATAATAGAAATGGAATCCTCCTGTCACCAACGTCGCCAGCAAACAAACAAAATTCTTTTTTTTTGCTTGCTTCTTTTTTAGTTTCTTTCGTTCTTTCTTTTATTAATGTCGTTATTATGGTAGTCAGCAAGCGGGTCGCATGTAAAAAAGTTTCGTTGAATGAAAATCACTCTAGATACACAATAACACGATTTTCATAAAAATGCTGCTCTTCTGCTTGCTTTATTGATGAATTCACAACGCTCAAGGTCAATCGATGAAATTATTTTTCGTTTTTCCTTGGTTGACTCTTGTAGAGTTTATTTTGACGTGGGTGGTTAACAAATAAGCTTTTCTTATTTTACTTTGCAATTCTCTGTGAAATCAATAAAATTGTTTATGCCACACAAATCACAGTGAAACGCATAATAAATACAGAATAGTATCAATTTTTTAAGTTAAATGGACGCTTTTACGTCTTTTTGTTGCGAAAGATTTTTATTATTATTTTTTCCATCCGACCCGACCTCACATAAAAGTGAATGAAAACTGAACCGTTCGTTTGTTGTTGCCGTTCAGAAAAGCAATTTTTGCGTTTGTTTCATGAACAATATTTATGACAGGTGACTTGAAATTGTTGTTACAATATTTTTAAGGGTGAGTTTGAGCTACTCAAACTGATGACTCAACGTCATATGGTGTAAAATTGTGTCAATTTGTTTTTTAATGCACCATAACTTTTAAAAATTAGATCAATACATTCAGCTATGGAAATCAAATTACAATTGAAACATAAAATAACCAACAACTTTTAAAATGTGTAGGTAAAGGTTGGTTGGTAACATTTCGAGACTAAAAATACAAGCAGGGAATTTGAAGTCATGGCAACAAACAAATAAATTTAGTTGAGTGAAATGTTTACGAACAAAAGTTGAAGTTTTAATCGCCTTTAGGTTGTTTCCAATGGAAATGATCTTGGAACTTTTCCTACGATCTACATTCAATGATTGACTTCTTACCAACACGAAACATTTTATAAATCCACTAAGTGATTTCAAGAATTTATTCATAAATAGCGATTGAAAGCTTTTCGTTAGATTCTCTAATCCAAAATCTTGTACAGATAACCTTGTGAAATGTTTCGTAATGTCAATGATTGATTTTCAATTCAAGTGAAATGCTGAATCTAATTTATTCAAAGCATGTAAATATCTCGTTCCAAGCTGCTTTTGTTTACTTTGAATTTTGATATCAGTTTGATGCAGTTCGAGATTAATCTTCAAAGACATATCAACAACACAAACAGATGCATCGTTGTTAGAATTCAAGTTTCTACTTGAAAATATGAAATTCCTTTCAGCTTTAGTTTTACAGTGGAACTTCGATAAACAGTTATTTCAATAAACAGATAAACCTTGACAACAGACATTTTTCTCCCCCTTGAATCGAATTTGTATGAAAGATTACCTCGATTAATTGATAACCTTAATAAACTGATCCCCCTTGAGCAAATCTGTTTATCTTAGTTCCACTGTATCTTGGAAATTAAACACAAAATTTATTTTGAAAGTTGAACTCAAATTTAACTTTAATCATCTCTCCTGGCGTTTTGCTTCACGGGATTATGCGATAAAAAGGCTTCAATTTGAATATTTCCTCAATTTTAATACTTTTTTTGATTTCCTATGAAGATGTGTTAAGTTTCAAATTGCCGACAAATTGTTTCCTGTCGAGAAACTGTAATCGAATGGAAAAAGCTTTTGCAATTTAAAAACTCAGCAGTAGATTTTTGTTTGGCTTTCTACCTTCAAACTTTAGTAAATAATGAGTTCAACATGGTTTCATGCTCTGATAATTTTGAATGCAGTTATAATGTTGCTTAGACTTAATTTATTTCATATTTTCAGTTGAATATTTGAGATAATATTGTAAAAGCTGCATCCAAGGCATTTTTAATTACATAAATTCAGTTGGATAATTTCAAGAAATTTAAAAAAAATGTGAAAAAGTTCCAACTTACTGATTTAATTACATTTTGTAGTCATGAAAAAGATGTTGCTTTGTGAATATCAATTAAGTAGATTCAAAACTACACAATTTAAGTAGCACCTGAACTTTCATTACCTAAAGTTTGATTTTATGATTGAAGTTGATCTTGATGATGGATGACTGAGTTTTCATGCTACAGAAGAGCTTAAAAAGTTTCAACAAGAGCTTCGAATGAGACAATGGATAATTAAAATCACATTTTGACTAAACTAAAATTTTATAGTTCTGAATGCTCATAATTTTAATGATCTTAAAAGTGTGCAGTTGTTGGCTGATGAAGTTTTTATTTTGAAACTCTTGTGGCATTCATTTCTCGGTTGCAAACAACAATCATTTGCTTGTAAATAATTACATTTCATTATTTAGTGAAAAAGTTTCTCCTGCAGTTTATGTTTATTTTTTAAAATCACGGAAATGGAAGGAAAAAGAAGAAAATTTAATGACGGGTTTCATTTTCGAATCTTTCATCTCATTGTTCTCTAAATTGTGTGTAGTGGGAAAAAGAAACATTGGATTGGGCATTGGAGTGAAAAAGAAAGACGCGTCGTTAGTGGAAGGAATTTAGGCATTAACCTTTTCTTTCCTCCTTTGCTGTCTTGAGATTAGATTGAATTGCCATGAGGAAAGGTCTTGGAGATCAATTACAGTTTTGCTGTCTTTCACAACACATTAATTATATTGAAAAAGTTTGAAGGGAAAGCCATGAACGGAAGCGAAAAAGGTTTCGTTCTTTTTACCATCCAGCTATATCTACACATAAATCAGCATTTTAATGTGAAAATGGCTTAACTCTCTGTGCGTCAGTCACTTCACCGAAAGCAAGAAAATGAATTTTGGCAAAGTCATTCACGCTAACATAGAAGTCAAAGTGATTTTTCCATTACAAAGTCAAGGTCTAAGAGATTTTCAAACCCAAAAGGTTATTCTTTTCTTCTTACATTTAATAAGATTTGAAATATGAAAAAAAAACAATTTTTATTGCTTTCTTGAAGAGAAGAAAAATTATCATGAAGCGTGATAAGTTGACAGTTTATATCCTTTAAGTTAAATGTGTGTTGCTTTTTTCCCCTCAAGAAATTATTTCCATCACTTCACATGTGTTACATATTTAATCGATTGACAAATGCCAAGTGACTTCTATAAAAACATGTCAGATTTTTCCCGTTCAAGAATCGGGAATAAGAAGATTTTATATTTGTTTAACTTATTTTTTATTTAAACCTACACATTTCGTCACTCACACGGTAATTGCAATGTTTCCGCTTTTCCCTTTTTTTGTTCTAACGTCGTGAAGTTTGAGAAATCAATTCAACAAGATCTTAATATTTGTTTTTATGATTTGACGTTTCATCTCTTTTTATGAAGTGTTGATTTCTGTTTTCAATAGCGACATGTGTGCAGTGGTTGATGACGAAGTGATTTTGACTTCTTTCTGCCAGTTATTCCAATGAACATAACATTGTACCAGATTTTGTCATTTAAATGAAACATGTCACTTTTAAAAAGCAATATTCTCATGAAGATTGTCGAGACAAAGTAAAAGAGCTGTAAAATGAAAGGTGGTGAAGTTGAATTTGTGACGATGATTATGAGGGTTTCTCAGCAACATTTTCTGTTGTGTTCAAGCAGTATCCAGCATGAATATTTATTTCTTTGTTATTATGACTACATCATAAATGAAAGAATTCCTAGAAATTTCTAACATTATTTCCTAGCATTAAAAATTTAGATGTTTTGTCATGCTTTCATTCATTCGTCAGTTTGTGCTTGAGAAAACAAGAACATTTTATTTCTCTCATAATTTCATAACAGTCAAAATTTATTATCATTTATTTTATGTTAAATTTTCGAAGTCTGAAACAAAAGCCCGTATAAAACTGAAACAATAAAGTTTTCTTCAAATTAAATTAGAATTGTTGTTGATGTTGTTGGGTCGTAACGTAAAGTAGAATGAATAAATGATTTATTTAGTAGAACTCGAAGGATCGATAAAACAGCCTTTCAACCCTAATAACTTCAATTATTGTTAGATCGAAAATCTCGAAACTAAATCCAAATTCATCAAAATCAATTTGCTTTTCTCTGTTTGTTCGCGATCACGAATCAGAATGAAACTTACACACCAAACAAGATTTTTACATTAATTTAATCTGTTTCGCAAATTACTTCTCGCTACGAAGAAATGAAATTTTCTTTCGACAAGGCGAGGAAGTAAAAAAGCGTTAAGGAAGGCGAATAATTCCCTTCATTAATAACTAAAATTTAATTTGCCTTTATCAATATCCTTCGCTTGTGATTATTATGAATGAGTGTACATTCCGAGAAATGTTTAATGTAACTACTGGGCATTTACGATTAGAAATTAAAAAATTCAATACTTCTCTAAAATGAATGCAATTTCAGAATGATTAAATTTTAATTCCCGGGTGAGTTAAGAAAATGGAAACTAAAAGCATCGTAAGCTCAACTTTCATTACATCAACAAGCTTTTTGGGTCAGAAAGCTTTAATTAATTAATTTTATGGCTATGGATCTACAAATGAAGATCTTATATATTTAATTTAATTACTCGAAGATTAAGTTGTGAATAAAAATAATGTCACATAAAATCAATTCAATTCACTTCCATTTGTAAGCATAAATAAAAATCATTCTTCATGCTGGTTGGTATTCATCCTAATCTTAGGACTAACAACATTCAGAATTCGGATATTCTAACAAAGAAACCGAAACTCTGACGCCGACTGTCGTAAAATATATTTTATGGGCTTTAGTCGATCTTAATTTAATATTTTTAAAGGGAAATCAACACAACATAGAAAATCCCTACACACATATTAAAATCTTCTGCTGCTTAATCCCCTCAACAATTCATCGCATTTTGAATAATGTATGATAATTATTCGCTGGGTTTGCTCTCTCATACTACAAATCATACTTTCATCGTCTCACTTACCCTTTATTTTCTTCAATTTTCTAATCCACTCGAATTCAAGCCAAGCATGAATTTATGAATTTTCATTGAGAAGAAAAATCTTTTTTCGGTTTTTCTTGTTATCGCTCTTTTCCATTGTTGTGTTTCGAACATTCGAATAAGACGATAGAAGGTTGAAGTTAACGAAATTTCCAAGGGACCGCCAGCAAAAAAAGCTCAAAATATATTTATTTCATGGATTTAAAATTTTTATGATTAAGCTAATGCTCGGGAGAGAAGTAAGAAAAGGAAAAAAGAAGTCGAGAATCTACTTTCAAGTCGCTTTATGAACCTGTTATTTTTCGATTACTTTATTTCACTTTCCTCCACAATAAACATTTGTTGGTTGCTCTGTTGGGCTCCTTGAATAATAAATAAACAGAAAAATATCTTTATAAATACTATAAAGTCTCAAAGAAAAATATTTTCGTTTCTTTTGTTCGGTAAGCTTCTCATTTATTATTAAAGGAAGTTGCACAACTTTTAAATGTCCCTCGCTGTTTTTCTGCTGCTGATGCTTTCAAATCTTACATTTGTGATAAATATTGCGAATTCTCAGATTCGTTTGTCATCTTTTTGCGTGTAAATAAACCTAACGTTGACACCGAAACCCTTTTGTTCCCTTCCGTGCCCACCAATAAAACAAATTATTTATTTCATACATATCTTGCTGATTTTTATTAGTTCTCCTGTTACAAACCTTCGTGAGATTTTGAAGATAAATGAAAACAACTGGAAATGCGGATGGCAGCTGCCAACTTGCTTGCTTCAGGCTCGTAAAAAAAAACAGAAAAAAGGTATAAAAATTATTACACCGTTTCACGTAATTTAATGTGCTTTATCCACTGCCCTTTTGTTCATTGACCGACTACAAAGTCTTTCATTAAAAGCTTCTCCACAAATAACTTGAAAAAGCCCATTTTAAATTGAATTCTACTTTTTTTTACTACATTTTATTTTTATTTTTTGGGTTTCAAAAACCACAAACTTCTCACCAAAGGAGATCACGATTTTCTATCAAAACTCGCCCTTTCCTTTCTCTGTTCTGACTTCGACCCTAGAAAAATGTTACATAGGATGAAAATTAAACATATTTTGTGAGTTATTTTCAGTTAATGGCATTTGGCATGGAGAGGAATTTGCTGAAATGAAAAATTATTTTTTTCCTTCTTCCACTCATCTTTTTTTTTTGTTCTTGTTTTTTCATCCTGATTTGGTCAATTGAAAGCGTCGTAGATGAAACTGAGCCATCATGGCTTCGTGCCAAACAAAAGAATCCACGGAATTTTTTCTGCTCCTTTTTTTGTGTCGTTCGATCGGGATTTGCATATTTTTCTGTTAAGGATTTACACCATTGAAAGAATTTTTATTATTCATTGTCGTCATCGTAGATTGATACAAGGATCACAATGTGACGCCTTTCTCTAAGGCTTTTTTTAACACTGCCGGATGACTGACAATGAAGTCTATTAAACTTATGTTTTCATTTGTAAAACAAAATCTCTATAACAGCAAACCTTTTTATTTGGAAATGAAGCTTTAGTAATTTTGTAAAATTGACATCGATTAGTTATTAGGATTCATAGCAAAGGTATTGTTACGCTCACCATGATGATGTTGATACATCGACTTCTATTTTTTTACTCTATACAAAAAGTCTCTCAATCATCATAAAAAAAGACTGACAAACCTTGGACGAGAAACCCTAAAGTCATAAAAATTCGCATTAAGCATTATCGTAAAATGTTGACATTGCTTAGCATTAACCTTTAACAAAGTTGAATCCAAAACAGATTCTTTGTTACATTTTCTAATCAAAAATATTTTTAAATTTGGGAAATAAAAACATGAAGGATTTCTACGTAACGATAAGTTTTCAGCGTGACGTCAAGCTGGCTGGAGTCATGGAGCTAAGACCTGTGACTAAAGTAGAAATATGAAACAACAAGGAACAACAGAATTATCAGGAAATCAGAACCTGATATTTTTCACGTCAATCTCATTACATCAAATCAATTCTCAGTTTTTGATTCCCCACTCAAATGCCTTTTGCTTTAAGTCTTCTAATTAATTTATTGCTTCCATCATCACATAAATTATTAGGTTTTTATTAATTTGTTTTATAAATGAAGTAGGTAATGACAGAATCATTCATAAACCTCATTAAAATCAAAACATTCAAGGAATATAAAATCAATTAGAAATTGCTGACCTTTCATGCCTTTTGAAATTTAAAATTGTACTTGATTGCTTCTCAATTTATCAGTTTGTGAAAGAATTTAAATAGAAATAAATAAAAATAATCAAATTAAATGTAAAAAGAATCTGAAAACACTTCAAAAGGAAAATTCCCTTTCAAGAAGGAATTTTCTTTATAAACCATGAAAAGAATCTTTTCTTCTGATCTTATAATCTCCATCAATCGACAGAATGTTGTAAGGCAAGAGTGATTGTGTGCGTGAACGAGAAACAACGTTGTTTGCTTTCAACTCGCACACCTTTGGTTTTGTCATTTACAGAATTTATTAAAGGAAATTCGAGAACATTGAACAATATAATATGATTTTGAGCTTTCTGCCTTTTGTTTTATACCTCAAATCTCGTGACGAAAGAAAGAAAAGGACAGAAAGGCGAGACGATAAAGAGAGGAGGAAAAAAAATGTTGGATATCGTTCGAGAAACACGATGGTGTTAAACAAATTGAGGTGATGAATATAAATTCACAAAAGCCAATTGGATTTTTTTCTCTTTCCTTCATTCTCCGTTACTGCCTTTTATTTTATGTGTTATGTACGATTTCGACTACAACACAGCATGAACAACTCGCTTTTGGTCTCGTTCGCTCCGTTTCAGTTGAAAAACTCAACGTCCTTTTGAATTAATTTGTCGACGATCTCCTATTGTTTTAAAAACTGAATATGAAGCATTCTAGCATTCTCCAGGCATTCTGAATGAGGCAAAGGCTATGTTTAAGCAGATAAAGGGAATTTATGTGACCATAGAATTTCGTCAACTTCTTCACCAAAATTTAACACACTCTTCTCCGCAAAATCCCATTAAATACATTTTTGATTGAATTTGTTTTTAATCTTTTTCATCCGTTTAACTGTTTTACAAACGAATTACCACCTACGCTTACTCATATGCTTACTCTTTTGTCAGATTGTAAATTACAAAAGATTTTTTTTATTTGATAACAAGCTGAAATTTATCGAGGGAGAAGGAATGAAAAATTGAAATGCCAGACGGTAAAGAAGTCAATTGTTAGTAAAACACACAACTCCTAATTGATATTTAATTATTCTCCTTTGTTTTCATTCTTATTTAAAATTCTTTTATTCGGAATCAAATAATGTTAAACGTCAGCTAACACTAAATAAAAAAAGTATTGAATTACATATAGAGAATATGTCGTAACATCCACCATGAGGTAGCCTTGAATCCCATAAATAGTTCATCAACCTTGTTCTTTGAACAAAAATATGTTTAAAACAAATATCGAGAAACCTTCAACTAAAACATCACAAACTGAGACAGCAAGGATAGTTCAGATCATAAATCTACTCTTGTTTAATATCGAATGGAAATCGAGAAATATTTTATGATTTCTCTGCTATTTTTTCAATAAATTTCTGTGCCATATGTCAGTGAGTGAATTAACAAGGGTAGGAGCATTGCATTAAAATGTCAATGTGCGTGCTTCAGGGGCTACAATTTGCTACATATTTCCATGAAAACTGCGGTCAACAATGTTTAAGCCAGTGAGTTCAGACTATTTTCATGGTATATCATCCTTCCATAAAAATAATTAATTTTATTTAAATACAATGGTTGCAGTCAATGGTAATGTGTAATAGAAACTGCACCGTAATAGTCACGGTCATATTTTTTTCAAGCTGTGATGGGAGGGTAAACGATGAGGGTCATGCAATTTCTTTGTTTCTAACAAGAATATTTTACGATGAAATTTATTTCATAGCTTTTTTTTGTTTTGTTCCTGGCTTTGTAAAGGGAAATGAATTGACTTTGGTAAACAAATCAATGACTGCAGAAATCCCAACAAAGGATGTTTCGAAATTTATTGTTATTGCTTTAATGTTTCAATGTTTTAAGGCTTGAAAACATTCAACACTTGCGCGTTGCATTGAAGGAACTATGAAAATGATGTTCGCTCATTATTTGAATGTTTTAGAGATGATCCAATGTGTGACTGTGAATAGTGAGAATGTTCACGCAATTTTCAGTCTCTTCCCGCAATCGGTGTTGTTAAGACGCTTTCTTCGCGATGCACGCTTATTATCGGTTAAAAGTTGAAAAGTTTTAAATATGTTGAAGTTGATATTTGAAAGTTTCACAGATCAAAGATAAAGGATTTTAATTATCTTACTCAATAATGGTGTGTATTGTGATGTTTAAAATGTTTATAAAATATTGCGAAAAGTTTGCAATTTTGATGTAGTTGGGATTTCCTTCATTACTTTTATTAAAACAAAAGTGTTTCAAAAAATGTTATTTCGGTGAGAAATGAAGAAAAGTAAAGTGAGGGAAAATGAAAATTCGAGTAGATGTGCTGATGATTTCCAACCATTCACACTCTCCACTTATTATATTAATGCTCAATATAATCAACGTTCTTGAATCCTTCAAGTGGGAATCAAATCAGATTTGGGAGCTCCTTCCCTCGAGGGAAATATGATCATTCTTTTTGGAGAAAGCTGCTATTAATTTCGTCGGTTTCGGTCTCGGTCATGGCACAAATGTGATTTCAAATTTCGCTCTGGAAAACCAATACAAAGCGAGATATCATCTTAAATTGATTTGAACTCACCATTGGTTTTTTAATGTTCTATTATGTGGATTGCTAATTTATGTGCAAGCAAACAAAAGGATTAATGAGTTTTCAATTGCCCTTCGCCTCGAGAGATGCTGCAAAGAAAAAATAAATAATAGCTTGGCATTAAAGTGAAAAACAGAAAAAAAACTGAGTTGAGGGAAATGTGTGTGTTTATGCGAAACATGTTCAGGCGATGATTATTTTTAGCCCGAGAAAAAAAGAGAGAAAAGTTTGTTGTAGGAAAAATATAAAAATGAGTGATGGCAAAAAATGATAATTGATTTTCAAGCTGAACAGATTCATTGAGTACAAGCTCTTGATTGGAAAATTATGTGATGATGTACTCACATGCCAATTAGAAAACTTCCAAATACAAATGCTTTATCAAAGTTTGTTTGATTACACTTTATTAAATCAGTAAAACGTACCACACTAATTATACTTAATGATAACTGAATTTAAAGATAGCATAATAAAATATTAAACTTTTCATATTTATTATGCTCGAAAATTGAAAAACCACACAGATGCAGAATCAGATCACACAAAAAACACTTAACAAACTTTTTTTTTTCGCCTACATTAAGATTTTATGTTGTGGGTGGGAGGGTTAAAAAAGTTGGAAGAAATCCATAATATAATGTTCTCAATGTTTATGTTTCAAGTTTAATTTACATAAGTGCAAATACTGTTGAGTAAATAATTTCATTTCTTTTGAGAATGTAGAAGGTTGTTAATGATACAAGTTGTACTCATATCTATGTTTAATTAAAATACCTGCATGTACATATTCAAGTTTGATTGTAAAAGTTTCCAGCATCCTTTGGAAAATACTTTTATGAGACGTGTAGTAATGACGAGCAATATCATAAAGGTTCATGTTAGCACAAAAGCATACAGAAGCGTTATGTAAATTTGCGATAAATAGATAAACATTCAATTAACATAAACATTCTCATTCATGCAAGTCGAATAATTTTTTTTCCTAAACATTCACAGCAAACTCAATCGAAAATGATTAAAAGTGCGGAGTGAACTTTATGGTGCGTGTTGGGTGGTAGTAAAGTAGAATATCTTTTTATATGCTAATTGCCACTCGCATACTCATAACTCATTAAATATTTCTTGATGATTTCAGAATAATTTTCTCTTCTTATATTCATTCATTGCGTAAAAAACACACAAAATTGCAAATATTTTAATTATGCTGTGCTTTTATAGGAAATTATTTGAAAATTGCTTTTTTTGCAAAAATGAAATGAAAGGAAAGAGGGTTGCGAGGGTGTGACAAGCTTTTTAATAAAATTTTCACAAAATTTTATTTGTGTGCTCTGAGCACTCAACAGATTTCCGCTTATTTGTGGGAAACGATGAAGGTTTGGAATGGGAATGAATGAAAATTAAAACTTTGGGTTTATACTTGAGGAAATAATTCTTTACGAGAATTTGACAGGTTTTCGGAAGTGTGGGGTTGACACAGCTGAAGTTTCATGGATGGAATGACTCAAGGAAATTCTTGGCAGACGTTTAAGGATGAAGTTTTAAAGTGTTTTCTATTAATTTCCCATCATTTTGATGTTATATTTTATCACAGTTTCCCTTAAAAGTTCTAATGGTTTTCGGTTTTCTTTTGTGTTTGCTCGCTTCAAATATACCAAAAGAACAAACTTCAATCGATGTTCTGCAACCAAACTACAAGTTAAAAACATTAAGAAAAAAATAATCTTTGCAAGCATCAGTCAACGACACTTTTCCGAAAAATTTCCACACAACTTATTGTGAGTGTCATAGTGAGATATTACTGTTCATTTTTCTCAGAAAATTCTCATTGATTCTTACTGATATGAATCATCATCATTTTAGTTGGCAAGGGAATATTTTCTTTAAAGAAATGATTGTTTAAAGGAAAACGATGTACTAACATATCAAGTACGTCTTTCTTCAAACGTAATAAAGTTTTCTTACTTATGTAATAAATCCTCATTGCATTGCGATAGATGCTCTAATTACGAGAAGACACACGTAAGAATTTCATTTGCTACCGTAGTTACATGACAAGATAACAAACATTCGTCTTAAATGGAAATAAATCAACATTTGTTTGAGACTATTAAAGTATTGTTTGTAAATTCACTGAATTGTCACACGAAAATTTGATTTAATTTTCTGAAATCTGAACTCATTTTAAGATGAATTTTAAAAATCATTTTTAAATTAATCAATGTCGCCTTGAGAAAGATCCAAAAGATATAACTTGCGATGGGACAAAGAAAAAATATTCTCGACTGGTTGTCAATAATCATAGCGTAGATGAATAATTTCTTCGCTTTTCATGAAGAAGTCTATTAAATATTCCTTGGAAACACAATTTGTTATTCATTTGAGAGTGAAACAAAAAAGAACTTTTTCAATAATATTTTCCGCTGCTCCCTTTATTAGTCACAGTAGTGTTTTCATATCATTGCTATGATGATTCGTCATTCACCAAACGTTTTCGTTTTCTCCATTCATCCATAAAAATGAATTCTAAATTATCGACAAGAAAAATATGATTTATAATGGTTTTTGTATGTTTTCTGCCGTAAATAATATTCAAATGAACAGCGATATTTTCACGAACACTTTGTGGAAAAGCGAAAACCGATTTAGATATTTATTTCGTCTTTTCTGTTTGTATGTACAATAATAAAAATCAGGAGAATCATTATTTTAATGATGAACATTTATTTGGACTTCTTTTTTCATTTCTTGTGCTTTTTCTGCTGCTTTCTTGTTTTTTTGGTAAGAGCGTCAAAACAACAAATACTTCACAGAAGACCTACTTCAACCATCTCAAGTCTCAGTTAAGATGAGAAATATGGAAAACAAATAACAAGAAAAAAAGCTTAGAAAAAAAGACATAAAACTCGTATAAATTTGCCTTCAATCAGATATGCTTTTTTATGTTTTGAAAAAGAAGGAAAAAATATTTATTTCCAATGCTAATGCGGAATATTTTTTTTCCTTAAGATTCTTGTTTTCTTTGATAAAAGAACTTCTCAATTTATTTCATTTTTACTAAGAGAAATCGTTTTGTTTACTTCATTTGATTGAAGTATTTGTACAAGTTCTCCGGCATGATATTATTTTGTATCAATTTCATCACTTGAACTATGAAATCGGAGAATAATAATTTTGTAAATTTATCTTTCATTTGTTGCAATTAAATTGTGAAAGTTTCTTTCTTTTATTCTCATTTACCTTTCACTCCCCAACCACAAAGTATCGATTGCAAATCTCTAACATTTTTCTTCTTATGCTACTTAAATATTTCATCAATAACAGTAAAAGCGAGAAAAATCAAACATTCGCACATAACAATATCCTTCATGATAAAGCATTCGATTAAGTATGATGAGATACATAATAGATTGATACAGTTGAGCATAAACAAACATAACATTTATTAAAACGATGGAAAATGTTTTTGTATGTTTCCACAGTCGATTGACGATACAATGTAGAGTGGAAGTAGCATACCCAGCATGTTACATTCAAGAAGCAGAAAGAAACTAAGCTGCTGATGGGATTTGATAAGAAATGAATAGTTTCTGATGTCATATCGCCTCAAATTATGTTTTCATTTTGATGCCTACATATTTATCCTCGACGCTGCTTTTTATTCATGACAGAAACTCCCATCATCCCATCACAGCTTCAATTTTCTTTTTTTAGCTCATCCTGAAAGGCTTTTAATCTGTTTTTGCTCCTTCATGAACATGTGTGCGTGCTAAATGATTCTCTTGATCCCCGTCGGATAGCCTCATTTGTGCGGCTGTAATGACAAACTTTTTTTTTTGTTTTTTTTGTCCACCCTTCGTCGTCATCAGATGTGGGATAAATTTTTCTCCTTTATAACAAAATATTTCATGGAATGATAAAACACATTTTTATGCTTTACAAACATTTTTTTTGCCAATCTTAGCTTCAAGAGAAACGAAACCAAAAAGAGAGAATCTGTGTCAAACAATGATAAACTTTTATAATGTTTTCTTTCTTTTTGTTTTTATTTATTTTTGTTGTTCAAAATTCGAATGGTGGTAAAATTATTTGGAAAAATATTTTCAAAGGCTCACTTTTTAGTATTGAAAGAAGAAGGAAGAAAAACAACAAAACAAATGAATTTTTAAAGTTTCTCTTCGAAAAATAGAAATGATACAAATTTCTCGTTCGTTCTCATTCTGCTTGCCGCATGTGCACATGTCAAGTTTAAATACAAAATTCATATATCTCATACTTTACCATTTCAACTCTCGTTTGATGTTCTTTTTCGAAATGATTCAAATTAGATCGTTTATCTTTTTACGATGGTGCCGATGGAGCTCTTTGCGATATGCAGTCATAAATTACCTTTTTTAAGATTAAATTCGTCTGTCAGTTGAATAAATGGTCCGGTATTTCCTCTATTTCCATCATTCCGCAGGTTAAAATTCATTCCATTTAAGATCTGATGTGCTCTAATGATCCAATAAATATTTATTAGAATTTTAGATGAGGAAATTCTAGAGAAGCATCAAAATTGCTTTTTAAACAGTTTATCATACAAATAATTTTGTTTTGAGTTATGATGTTTGCCTTCGTCGCGCTATCTTCTCAAACGAAAAACTTTCCCAATTTTGGATTCTCTAGAAGCATCATTCCCAACCATAAAACGTAGAGACATTAATATTTTAATATCTTTTAGCGATATATACGTTTAAATATATTTACCTCAAAAAAGTGGTGCTGTTTTCGGCTATTCAAAATTATGAGCAAACATGCTCGCATCTATTTCGCGTGCTTCTTTAAAAGGTTAAAATGGGAAAAATATTTCCACATCCATAAACCACGTTACCTTTTAACTTAACGTTAAACCAAACGAATGTTTGTGCGCGGAGATATTTATGATCTTCAAAATATGAGAAAATAAAATTGAATATGAAAATGATGTGATGTTTCAAGAAAGAAATATAGCGAAAAGAATTTTTATTTATAGACGTAGAGAAACATAAACGAAACCAAGTTTCATCATGCGAAAGAGAAGTGAAAATAAGAATATTCCCTTGGGTTAAGCATTAACAAAAATCTCAGTTTTCAAACTCGAATATGAAGGAAAGTTTTATGTTAAGAATAATATTTCTCTGTTGCTGTGGTTTTGCAACATGAAACTTTATCCACCAGTGTAGCGTTTGTTTCGTTTTTCTTGGACTTGCTAATTTTTCCGATGTGTAAACCTCAACATTGAAATCAAATCAGAAAAGTTTGCTTCAGAGAAATTTAAAATCCAATTTAATATCTTCACTCTCTTGATGCATAACCGAAAACTTACTATCTGTGATGTCAAAAAACTTAAATAAGTTCAACAACTTTATTTTATTTCCCAGCTGTGCACTATTGGCTGGATTGGAATGAGAAGTGTAAACAATTTTTTCCCTTTTTCCTATGTTGATAGTTTCTTCAATGAAAATTACTAAAAAAAAGAATTAACTTCTTCTTTCTCGTATCACTTCTTCCTTTGAGTTAATATTCCCATCATTAATACCATAAAAAAGAGAAACTTAATGATTATCCAAACAGAGAACTAAGAGGAAGATTAAATAAATGAAGGGAATCTTGTCACGTGCATTTCATTAGAAGAAGATTTTTTTCCCATTCTCTGAAGTTTCTTATGTCATAGTTAGTTAGGGTTATTAAAAATTTGTAAACATAATTACTGCCTTCAACAGAAATTCCATTCCGCTAACAGAATTTGAATTTAAACAATTTTTATAAATTTATTTCTTTTTTGTTTGAAACAGAATATTTCATGAATCATAACTGAGTGTGGAGAGTTAACCGAAGAGATGAAAGGAAAAATAAAATTCAAAAAGCAAGAAAAAAAATTAAATCATTTTATTTGAGCATCCGTTCTCGTTCGTTACTTTCCTCCGTTTAGATTCGATGAGTCAAGCGAACGACTTTCCATGATAATTATTTTAATGTAATGAAGAGTTTACAGAATTTATTTGTTTACTTACTTAAAAGCTAAAAAGTTCAATTGACGGAGATATGCAATTTATGTGAATTTATGTTGTTCATAATTCTAATGTAAACATATTGTGCATAAAATTTATGCTATGAAAGAAAGCATAAATATTCTGAAATGTTTTTCAATGCACGTCCAGTTGTTAGCAAATTGATAGTCTCACAATGTGTTTATGTATAATAAAATTATGTAAATTTTTCAACAAACTAAATCTGGGAATAATAAAATAGTTGAGATACTTCCAAGAATTCCTAAAATTTGTTCATATTTTCTTGGAAATCAATTTAATTAAATCGATAATCTAATAAATTATCACATTGTAGGCTTAATCAAATATCAAAATAAAATTTTATTACATTAAACAACAAAGAAATTGCAAACGTTGGCAAATACTTTGAATACCAATTTCAATTTGATTTTAAAGCCACGTCATCAGATATGCATGAAAGTTCATTTCTAAATTTAAGATTAAAAAATCGTAAATTTCCCCAGACGGTTGACATTGCAATGTCTTCAGTTAAATGCTTGATTTTTTTTTTGCATAGCAGAATTTCTGCTTCTTAAGTTTCATTTCATCTTCACAACAGTATTTCCCCAAAAAATGAAACACATCACGATGAAAATATTTACTCAGTGTGGGTGGGTTATGAAGTAAAAAGAAGAAAGAAAATCAAGAATTTAAAGGAGTTTTCCTCTCTCGCGAGAGCTTATCTTGAAGTAGCGAGAAAACGAAGAAAATGTTTGTTAGATAAAGAAAAGAAGAGGAAAGAAGCAAAAAACAACATCAAAGTTTTGCGTGTCACATGTAAAGATAAAAAATTGTTTTGAATAGCTTCTGTGAATTTGAGGGAATGTCTCCACGTATTTTTCGCTTCTTACTCAAAAAATGTTTTAATTTCATTTCTCATTTTCCTTTCTTTGTGATTGTTTAAAAAAGAAATGAAAAAGGCGAAATAAATTTCAAGTCACTTTGATTCAAAGGAGTGAATACAAAACTCATTTTTTTGCTCTTTTAAGATGTCAAAACAAATAGAATCAAGCCCGAGACGTCAGCACATATGTCAGGGGGGAAAAAGTTGTTATGAAGAAGAGTTGAAGAAAAGTTTGAAGGATAATTAATATTCACATGCTGTTCTACTTCACCAATGATGCTCCTTTGTTTGCCTTCTCCATAAAAACATGAATCGCGAGTCAAAGAACGGAAAGAAATCACTTTAAAATTATTTAACAACATGTAACTTATGCGACTACGTTCTTCATTAAAATTCATGGCACTCTATAATAGAAAGTTGAATGTATGCGTCAGAGACCGAGGGAGTTTTTAATGACTTGGGTAACGATCATTAAAGTTAACACCTTAAAAGGGTTTTTATTCTCGGTGAAAAGCCGAAGCAATTTACATTTCAGCGACTATAGAAGGAAAGGAAATTTTCTTTTCTCATTTAAGCCATTAAGAAACCGAACTAACAAAGTATTCATTTCAAGATATATTACATGCTCTCGTTAATGGCTTTCTACATTTTCTTTCTCGAATTTTCGACCATCACGTTGCGTATGAAATCGGAGGTGGGGATTAAATTAAAGTACATCAACTGAGAACGAAAGCCTGATAATTGAATCGGGTTTCAATGAACACATACGTATATGTCTTTTAGCAACGAATTTTCTTATTCCAACTCACTTAACTTGACCTCAAACCCTTCCCGCTCCATCACGTTCTTCCCGATTTCTATTTTGTGTTTTTATTTTGAGAAATATTGAACAGTTTCTTTCTTGTCTGTAAATGAATGAAACTTAAGACAATGAAGAAAAAATAAATAAAGAAGAAATAAAAAGAATGTTTTGATTTTCTAAATGGATTTTTCTTTTTCTTCATTATAGTGAATCCGGACCAGAGTAATAAATTCCCTTACTACCTTCTCAAAGTAGAAGAAGAAGAAGAAACGGCGCTGTTTCCGAGAGAGAATTAATTGAATGTGCTGTAACCTTTAAGAATTTCACCCATCTTTCCTGGTGAAAGCAAGTAAGTCAAGAAAAACAGAAGATGGAAAGGAGAGTCTTGTGGAAGGTGGAAAAGTATTAATTAAACTTTTAGTGCTTCAATATAACTTTTACTCACAGATGGATTTGATGTTTTGTGCAAGATTTGAAGAAGAAAATTAAGTGATAAAACATATCAGATGAGAAAAAAAATTATTTACTTCTAATGAGAGAAAATTATCTATCGTTGTAAGAAGTGTGAAGATAAAATTAATGTAAGAAAATTAAAGAAACAATGTTCTATTATATCCAGTGATTATCAGTGTTTAATCTACTCAATTCATCCACTCATTTGAAAATAAAATAAAATCATAAGCAGCTGTCGAATGAATGGAAAAAATGTAAATGTTTATATAAGAAAAACGAAAAAATTTAGTATGAAGAAATAAACAGCAGTAGCAGTGATTTTGATTTCTTATCGTCAAATGAAGAAAAATGTTGTTAATGAAAATGAACAAATTCTTTGAGATGGGAAATTCCTCAGCGAAATAAAATTTTGTGTGTTTAAATAATTATCGTAAACTGAATCGTGACAAGGCCAGGCCAGGAAGAAAAAGTGTAGAGAAAATCTAACAATAATAAAGATTAAATCAAGCGTAAAAAATGGATTATACTAATTTAGGATTTCAAACAATCGACTTACAACACCAGCACCACAAATGTAAAAGTCATAAGAGAACGTTATTTAGCAATAAAGAAATTTTGCTTGTGTTTGCTTTAATTGGCGCTCTAAGCATACCCAGAACCGGATGCGATGATACGGAAAACTTTCAGAAAAACAGTGAGTACTTACTTCTATTTTTATCTCAAGAGTGATAATCATCTGCTTTCCCGTCTTGTTGCCATTCTCTCACTTTGTAAGTGACGTCAATTCATATTATTTAAATCTGACATTTATTTGTTTTCGGCCGTAAGCTAAAAGCTTCGAGAGTTTGTTGAAAGCAATTTCGTGACTGTTGCAAACAACAATTTCTGTCGACCGACTTCGATGGGCTCGTAAAAAAACGACGCTCCCTACAACTCTCGGCGATGAAACGATGGGAAAACAAACTTTTATTTTCGCCTAATTATTTATCGACTTGATGTTGAGGGTGTTTATTACTCTTAGTTAACTGTAAAAAAAGAAAACTTTTTCAGCTTCTTTACAGTAGCAATATCAGTTTCATTTTCATTAAGATGTTATGCAAGTTATGAGATGAAAAACTTCGTTTTTATTTCATCCTTATGATGATACTTCTTTTGAGCTCAAGTAAGCTCACAATACGAAAAGGGATTAAAATGTTAATTATTAAAATCTTGTTTACGAAAGAAGGAAAAGTTTCATTTCTTTTCGTTCTTCTTCTTCTTTAGGCATTCTCTGTTGTCTTGTTGAAGGTCCAAGTATGAATGGTACGAATTAGTTTTAATGATAAGCCTTTTGCGGAAGCATAATCCAAAGAGGGTTCACGAGTGAGCTCAATTTAAGTACCTGAAAATGTATTATCTCATCTTCTTCTTCTTCTTGTCTTCAATTCAAGCAGTCAGGCAACAGGTTCTTTCTTTCTTTTCAATGCCACCCCTCGACGTTTATTATACTTTACATAACAACAGAGTCACAACACAAAAGACGAAGAAAAATGACTTATTGATTCGACCTTCAGCAGTTTATCAAAATGACATCAGCGAAGGAGAAAATCTTTAGGAAAATCTTATTTTCATCTTTTGTCGGAAACCAAACCGACATTGTATTCGTGAGGAAATGGTAGCGATAACATTATTTTTCTTCACTGCTCGCGTCGTTATATTAATATTTAATTTCAAAACATCAAGTGAATGTGAAGTGAACGATATGTTTACATTTACATTAAATATTTAGAGACTCAATGTGTGTATAGCGAGTGATGAATGTTTTTGATGCGAGTTTATTTATTTACTCATTATTATTATTTTTAGATAATTCATTAAAAAATATTCATCTTGATGGAAAATTATTTTTCAATTCATAAAAAAGTGTTCTTGATCTTTAAGAACTTCGCTTTATTTCAATTATGGGATGGAAATCAGATGCAAATATGCTTCATTTAATTTTCAAGAAAGCAAAGTTGTTTGCATAAAATATAATCAGATGACTTTTAAAGAGTTCTCCAATGGAAATTTCTTTAAACTTTGAGAAGTTTTATTAAGCATGAAGGTTTTCCCAAGATGAAATTCTAACAGTGAAGATTCTCACGCTCTGTTAGCGACTAATGAGCGTTTAAAAGTCTCTCAACACATAAAACTCTTGTCTTCATTCTTTTTCTCAAAGCTGCATGTTCAGCTAAGCCGAAATTTCATACAGAAACTTAAATGAAAGCAAAATTTAATGTTTAATCATGGAAAATTTATTATCTATTCATTCATCATGTTTATTTGAGTTTCATCCTGACAAACAATAAATTAAAGCCAATCGAGTTCCACATTTGTATGAATGATATACAAATTTACGACATGAAACATACGCTTAGATAAATAATTTTTCTTTCGTTCTTTTTCCGGAAGGGTAGGGAGCGAAGTCGTGAGACATGAACGAGTATTAAACAAGTCAAAGTCATGAATAGATATTCTCATGGATTATCTATGTGGTAAATGTATGAAAATAAAGCAAAGAAATCAATATTTCTTCACTCCATTCGACAAATGCTTGAGGGAATTCTACGAATTGAGCTAAAGTCGAGTGCTTACTTACTTTCTTTATGCCTGTAGAGTTCGTAATCTATAAATCCATAAATACAAATAGCATTCCCACTAGAGACTTTCTTTAACGCAGATAAACTCTCTCGAAAGTGGATTTGAACAGGAAAGACGAGAAAGTCGTAAATTATCATCAAATTTTGCTGCCTCTTTCGCATTAAAATTATTTTCTTCTCTCTCGTTTGCTTCCGTTCTCATCAGGTTTCATCTGGGAAGCTGTAGGCGGGAAGGTTACGTTGTTAGCAGATTTTAGAGGCTTTCTATCGTTCGTCTTAAGTCCTATACACAGATGAATGTTTTAGAAAAAGCAGAGGTTGGGGGCAATTTATATTCATTCAAAAGGGATGATTGTCTGTTTTTACTATTTTTTCATCCACCGCTTTATTTCGCTCATCACAACAGAGCCCGAAAATAAAGGATAGCGAGCCTAAAGAATATCTTTACATTTTCCTCATTTTCCTCATTTTCTTCATTTTTCTTTTGTTTCATTTGCGCATTTCGTTTCTGCTAAAAAGAATTTTTATTATTCATGAAGGAATGAGAAGAAAAATCTTTTCTTTAGATCAGTTATGTTTCATCTGGTTGAAAACTATTGCAACTTCTTCCAACTTACTTAATTCACGTAGCGGAAATCTATTCTGCTGATTTTTCCCACAATTTCTCTTCTTTTTCGTCTATAAAACTTTTCTCTTGAAGAAAAAGCTGAAAGACAAGCTCGAAGAGTGTGTTTTACGATTGAAATAACTTCAAAGTGAGTTTGTGGAGACTTCCTTGGAGATATTACTCGAGTTTTCCCTCCTTGAAAGCGTTTGAGTTATTGAATTTTCCTCAATGCCTGCAGACATTTCTTTTTTTTCAATTTCTTTCTAAGGCTGTGTGTTGAGTGAAATTAATAAGATTGTTATCGAGATTGCAGAACATGAAGCGACAGCAATGAAGAACTTTTGAACTCGAAAACAAGAAAAATCAGAGGGAAATTCATAAAAGAAAGAAAATGTCCAAACTCGGGTGCTGGTCTTGAAATCGTTGCAAGTCAGTTGCTTTATCTGCTGTGTAACATCTTTCAATGTTGCTTTTTCTCTTCCGTACCATTTCACTGCTAAAACAGTTTCTAATCAATTGAAAAAAGAAGAAGAATGGAAATCAATATCGGAAATGGAGCAAAACTTTCTTTTTTTGGCAATAAAACAATTTTAGGAAAAAGAGACGAGAAAAAGGCGCATGAAAGGGAAAACTTTCCAAATTTACTTTTTTCCTTCTTATTGAATTGTTTGTGAGATGTTTGAAGCTAATGATGACAAAACATGTCAATGAATCCTTCCTACAATGTCAGTTTTCTTCACTGTTGAGAAATGAGCTTCAACTCACTTTTCATGTCACAATACGAAGCCTGCTTAGCCTAGCAAAACTTTGCACAATCGTTCGGAAATAAAAAGGAATCGAAAATTGATGAGTTTCACGACAAAACATTGCGTCTTCATACTTCGAATTGACAATGAAAGGAAGAAGGAAAAAAAATCAGGAAAGAAAGAGTCGAAAGACAAATTTCGTCACTCACAAATTATGAGAAGCACTCGCTAACATAAATGTAATTGAATAATTTTCTCAAAAAATATTGAATTCAGCAGTTCATTTCCTCTGCTTGTCATCATTTGAAATATGAGCCCAAGTGACAAGGTTGACATCGGATCATACGCTGTGAATGGAGTCATATTTTTGTTTATTTTTCTCTCTTTTTTCGACATTATTTCGTTGTTTGTTGTGTTCAGAAATAGATCAATTAGGGGGAAACATTTTAAAACATAATCTTTGTGTTGTAATTTCTTTATAAGTAGCAAGTATTTGGGGGGAAAATATGCAATTTATCTCGTTGACGCTTTTGTAAACCGAGTAATTATAATAGGATAAAATAGTTGTTATACTACCATGCTACAACAACAATTATGTCTAATACCTAAATAATGATTTGGTGCTCTAAGCGCTTTAATTAGGGGAAATATTTAAATCCTCTTATTTTGTTTCTTTACTTTCATAGCTTGTTAATATGTAAATAAAGCTTTGACAGCTAGTTTCGCGTTCTTATTGCTTATAATCGACTTAGAAAGCAATAAGTAATGAATATGATCTTGTAAATAAATATTGAACGTTGCAAGAAGCCCTACGGTTAACCCTTTCTTGGAAGGCTAAACCTGAAACTTTTTTGGGTTGTTTTTCTATAACTTTTTTGATTCTTTTATCTAAGAAAATTGAAGCCATCGAAAGTCATGACACTGTCATGAAGAAAACATTGTTTAATTAATTTTCGTTTTAGAACCGACAAACGACAGCACAACAATTTTTCTAAAGTCGGGATCGTGACTATTAATTATTCAATTTTTCTACCACTTCTTTCTTTATCCATTTTTTTTATTATTTGGATAACATTTAATCATAAATATTGCTTGTTGTTCTCATGTTTGAAACTTTTTCAATAAAAACTCATCATCAATCCTAATTAAAAATGATTTATTACCGACTAATACGATGAGAAATTATGAATAATCCGATGCTGTTTCCTCAAGAAACGAGAGTCAAACATCTCCATAAATAAATTACAAGTTGAGTTCATTATAATTAAGAAATTTGTTTGATATCGCTAGCATGTATAATAAAATGTAATATTATGAAGTATCAGACAATTAAGGGGACTCTTGAGTCCTATCGATTACCGTTCAGACATTAAACTGCAGTCAAGACTCTTGGAAGAAAAAAGAGATTCGTAGCTCAATTGAAATGAAAATTTACGGCACCAGTGCGAGAATATCTTCTTCCTGTCTGCTTGTTTGCTTGTCATCATCAACAGAAATGAGAAAATTATTTCTTCCCGTGTTAGGAATGTATAAAACAAAGAACAGACGAAAATGAAATCTATAAAACAATCATTAGTTATGTAATTTTCCTACCCGCATTCCATTCACACCAGAGAAGTTTTCTTCATCACCAATTTGACTGCTGAGTTTCAGCAACATCCAACGTTTGTTAAGTCGTTATGGAAAGTTAACCCGGGCCTATTTTAAACATTTTAATTTCATTCACTTACACCCGAGTGTGTAATAAAGACAGTTAACAATCCAAAGCGCAGAAGAATTCTTTTTCGTCTTTTTAAACTCATTTCTCAGGAAATTACTGTGACAACGTTTTGTGTTTTTATGCTTTTGGGTTTTGCTTGGGTTTAGCACAGAAAAAATTATAGAATAATATTTTATATTCTTGATTACATATTTCTAACGGCCATTATGCGCATTAATATTTAACATTTATATTCGTTGGTTTACATTTCAGCCTGGGGACAGACAGTTTCTTTCCCTTAAAATCTCATTCCAGATTTTCCATCTCAGAAATGAATTGCAATGCGAATTTTTCGCGGGGATTTAAAAGACAGAAAAAACTTGAACGAAGTAAAAGGCAGAGAGAAATATAAATAACTAATTTTAAAGGCATTTCACAAGGACAAAAACTTCTGTGAAGCTGACAATCTAAAGAGAAGATGTGACATTTTTTAAAGCAGATTTTACACGGCACATTGTGAACGAGACTCTTGTGGCTGTCGTAAAAATATATTCCAGACATAATCTACTGTTCTGGCACTACGCAAATCTCATTTTCACTCTCGTCGAATCGTTGCTACAGGAATGTTTGACTCTCAAGTCTGCACCACGGAAAACTCTTGAAACATTTTTTCGTCTGCTGCTTCTTCATCGTCGCGTGATAAGGAAGAACGAATAAATAATTTAAAAATAAATCTCCTTTATAATTCAATTAAGCTTGTGGGAGAAAGAGATGGCAATTTATTTTTAAATTTGATAGTCTCATGGGACGAATCAATACAAATTACATCGAATTAAATTTTAATAAATCCCTTCTTGCTTAGTTTTCGACACAACAAACATTGACGAACTTGTTGAATCACTTTTCTTTTAAGTTTGTTAAGGAAAAACCTCACGCACTGTAATATCGTTTTTATTCGAGTGAGTAGACACGCAAGCGAGCATTCAGCGTAGGACGAATTTAATTATTATTCATATCAGTCAAGTACCAGTTTTGCAAGCAAATTAAAAGTTTTATTCCGGGTAATAATGGAAGGAAAATATTTCCATTTTCACGAAAATGCCAACATCTGGTGCCGGAAACAATGAAAATCATTTCGATCGAACTTTAATTGGCAATGGCTTTGTTTTATTGTTGACTATTATTTGGCCTTCAGACAACATAAAATTGTATTTCGTTTTGATGCTTTAAATAATGAAATGAAAATGGCAGAAGAATTTATCTCTTCTTCTTCTTTGTTAGATCTTCGCTTTTCCGGATTTATCTTGTTGTTTATTAAGCGGCATAAAAGGATTATACTCACGGAAACGTAAAATGGAAATAAAACCTGCCTACATTAAACATAAAGTTCTAAAGAAATGGATTTGTATTTGGAGAAAAAACGAAACCTTTATCCGTGCTCATTTGGTTTAGAGCTGGAATTTTCCTTTCGTTTTCCGCTTCACCATAAAGCTTCTAAATAATCATACCAATTGCTCTGTAAAAGAGAGAGAAAAAAGTTACTGTCGCGGAAACAACGACAAACATATTTCAAAAGCAAATTCCCAGCATTAATGAGATGTAAAATTCTCATCTTCCTCTTCACTAATTAAAGAGTTAAGTTTATCGTCGAAAAGATGAGCGAAAAAAAATTAATTCTGTGCTTTTGTGTAAATGAGAACTTTTTTCTGTTGATACATATTATTTAATTAAGGAAAAAAATATGCTTAGTCATGTGCATCTTGTTTTAATCCAATTTAACGTGAGATCATCATTTCTTGCATGTGAGTACGCTGTTGAAAGTTTGATGGTGAACATTCCTTCCATGAAGACGTTCACAACATAACGAGATTGACTGTGTCTGACAACAACATTTTTTACAAGCAATCAAAGTCACAAAAAATGCTTTAAATGAAATCACAAAAGTTTTAATAGAACATCAGACATTGAATGAGTAAAGTGCAACCCGCATTTGGTAGTTCAGATGAAAATCAAAGAGTTTACAACACTTATGTGCTTAAACATTCTGTGTATGTGCTGATGTGGAATGGAATGAAATCATCTGGTTATAAAATAAATTAAAATGAGCTCTTTCCTTTCTGTTGTCTCACAGAGATCACAATATTTACCTCATGAAAGGTACAAGGCTTCATCATATCAAAAGCTATTTAAATAAATGAGGGAAAAATTTTAAAACATCTCATCTTACCCATTCTAATCTTCAATTTTCTTCTCTTCCACCCACAAGCAGTTAATTTTCGTTCAGAAAAACAACATTTTCATGTGCTTACTTTTTTGTGTTTCTCCTTCTCCTTCCTCTTTTCATATCGTTTGCAGTAATCTTTCTTCAAAAGAGAAACAACGAGTGCTAGAGATGAGCATAATGAGCAGCAACAAATCCTTAATGTGCTATCTTTCGTAATTCCGTCTACAATTTTTTAATTATTATCGCTTGTAATAAAGAGAAATGTTTCTTCAACGATGAAAAGAAAAGCGAGCAAAACGATTCTTCACTTCAAACAATAAATCCTTTTTCAGATTCCTTCAGATGAGCTTTATGTTGAACAGCAAATTGTGCCTGAGATAGCGGTTAATGTTGAACATAGTCTTTGTTCTCAAGCAAATAATTCATATAATATGATTGTCTAGTTTAGCATTAATATGAGTTATAACAGCACTGTAATCAACTCAATCGACATTTAAATAAGTCACGAAGAATCCTTAAAGAAATCTTATCACAGAAACTCTTTTAAATATACTTAAACTCACGATATTAGTTCATCTATCTGTATGACATTCTCAGTAGAAACATAATAATGATCCGAGAACTTTAACGGTTGTTAAGCGGAAGATCTAAAACATTAACCATATTTCAGAAGAAAAGTATTTGGAAATCCTGGTTTTCTCCTTTTTCATTCTCAGCATCATACCGAGAAGAAGAGATTAAAGTAATTAATCCGAGAAATTTTAGCTCACTTCCACATTTCGTAAATAATAATCGTTATAATCACGTAGCGTAATTTCACTTGTTTGCTTCAATTCATCGTTGTTGAATGTAAGGAGCGGAGCGTGTGTATGATTATTAAGGTGGGTACGCGTAGTTGAGATTGGCAGAGTGAAAAAGGGAGCAAAGCCTCATAAACCATATCACTGTTATGGCAATTGAGGCATGGAAGGAAGGCACACGAACGAACGAACGAGTGAGTGAGTGTATTAACAGCAAAATTTATTATTTCTTCATGTTTTATATGTTGAAGTTATACACCTTATGAGGCTCAGGGGAAATTTTATTGGATGGAATATTAGATAGAACGCTTACGATTCATCGCGAGTCTTACGAACCAGCCCAGAGTGTGTGGATGAATGATTTTGCATCAATTTTTACCTCTCATTTATCATTTGATTTTACGTTTTCCCTCGACTCGAATGTTTTTCTTTCTTTTTTTTTGGTGTTGCTTTAAATAGAAAAAACAGAGTAAGAAGTGAATAAAAAAAAGAAGACAGAAAATTGAATTTTATTGCAATTTGATGCATTCCTGAGCTTGTTTGGATCGTATTCGTATCATATCGTTGAACATCTAACATTTTACGAACCTGAAAAATTTAAATTAAGATAAACATTCATTTCTCCCCAGCTCGATTCCAAAATGAAATGTGGAATTTTTCTGTTATTTTTTTCTCTTTCATCCAGTATTCGGAAAACATAGATTCCAATATAAATCTCTCGATAAAATTTGATGCAAACACAAAACAGCAGCGCAGTACACAAAAATAACAGTTCGACAAATAAAAATGCATTTTCAAATGTTTTATACAAACTTCTCCATGAGTGAGATTCGTTTGGCATTCCTTTGAATGACTTTCGAGAGAAAAATGATACAAAGCAAATTGAATGACGATTAGTCGTTGTCAATATACATTGTAAATTTTTTATTTCAAATCTTGTTCTATTTGTGACTTCAAAACTTTGAGTTATTTTGTAATGTAAACTTTGGAGTTGATTTTTCTGTTCAAATTAAGATGAAAGTTTCATTAAATTATGGTTTGAGCCATGAAACATTTTAAAATAATTCCAACTTTGAGTGCCGCCATTAATTCAATTTAAAATTCCAAAGTTCCAAGACTAAGACGTAGAAGTTTAGTGACTACGCCACAAGAGTATCATCAACTGAAAAATAACATTTTTAGGCAAGTTAATACGAAAATATATCATGTTTGTCGTATGTAAAATGGGAGCAAGTTAAAAATAAGAAAAAAGAATGCTCGCGATGAGTTGCCTAAACAAGAAGCACACGGCACGTGTGAATATTTATATTCTTAGTAAATTATTGTGAAATATTCGATATGGAGATTTTAGAATCATATTCATGTGGGTTTGACTTTACTGACAAGTCGAAATCTAAGCGCGGATAACTTTTGTTGCTTTCTACCCAGAAATTGATTTAAACACTTACACACTTTATTGCTTCCCTGAGTTCTCAAGAATAAGTTGTGGGGGAAACGTTGTAAGCGTGCTTAAGTTGAGTATTTTTGATTCTTCTTCGGAAATCTCAAAACATGGATAAAGTTTGAAGTTCAAAATAAATTTTCCATAAAGAAAATTGCCAGTGGGAGATTAGGTGAAATCTTCCATACTTTCCATGAAAAACCTATCGAATTGTCTTCCTTCAAGCAATGCTCGACAAGTCTCAAGAAGATCACGTTTCTATTTGCTTTCCAATTGTGCGAGCAAGCACAATAATATTCCACTGTTTACTCTTGAAAAACTGTAAGACGCACGCAACAATGGAAGAGACTTGGAACACATTTTTCTTGTCCTATAAATAACTGCTGAACCTTTCAGTTGCCCCCACATTTTGGATACACAAAGATGGAGAAAAAAAAAGTTTATCTTCGTCCAATCTTTTCAAAACAAACATCAGTCTTGCTTCGGTATCTTTCTTATTGCTTAACTTGCTTTTCCAATATATTTATTTTGAAGAATGCTTCTTCAAACCAACAAAACATGAAAAATTGAAGGCAAAAACCTAACAATATCAGACTTGAAATCCACTAGGAATTTACCTTTTCTCCCTCATACATTAATCTTATTATTAAACCTTTTTTCCTTCTCATCTCAATTTGACCTCACGCATCTCTGCTTCACGACTCTCAACAAATGTGAGCCGAAATAAATTCCGTCAAATCGACCTAAGAACCTTTTCTTGGCTGTTCAACATTTGATCGCGTTGAGAAGGCTTTTCGTTTACAATTTGGTGCTCTGCGTAGTACTAAAGGAACATGAGAAACGATAGAATCGGTCACAATGTGTTTGTTTTATTGAAGAACATTGCTTCGATTTCCAGAAGCGAAAACCCGTCTGAATGAAGTCACGAGTTACCAATAAAAATTTTATTGAGTTTTCTTGCGTTTTCCCTCATTTCACGAGAATAATTTATAATCTTACATTTATGTACGAGAAAACTTCCTTCTTCTCCTTCAGTTTTAAACTGAATTTACATTAAAAACTGTCAAGTTGCAGTAGCAGCAACAGTAACAACAGGAAATGAAAATCCGCAAACATGCACACGAAGATGATTCTTCCCATCACATCACATCACTCACTAGTGGACGTCAAATAAAAGCGAAATTTAATTATAACACAGCATTAATCTACTTAATGCACTGCTTCGCTTCAACCATCACTCTCATCTGTGACATTTTATTTTAAGAACATGAGAATAGGGAACACGACAAATAAGTATGCTTTCTGCATTTCGAAATTCTTTTCGTAACATAAGGAATGATGAACATTTTTTCCATCTTGCGTTCATTCGCTTGTTTTTCAATGTTTTAAGAGGATGAGTGAGAAAATAAATGCTAAGTCGAAGCACACTCGTAAATTCTTTGCTTTTTTTCCTCTCTCTCTGACATCTTTGTCGTTTGTTTTTGTCGTGAATTAATGCAATGAGAAGATCAAAATAAATTTTTCAACAATCTCATCGAAAGCCATTTAGGAGGATTCTAAAGAGGTCGTCGTCGCATTTCTCCCCAGGTACAAAAAAAAAATACTTTACTAAGATGTTTATTGTCATGAAGCTGTAGCTATAAAAAGCTTAAAAGAGATGATAAAAATTATTTAACTTAAAAGAATGCGATAGAGTTTGTTAGCAAATGAAAATAATTGTGAAATATTTTCATCAATTTTGGAAGAAAAAAAATTCCTTTTGACCATTGAAGCGACTAGAATAGGAAAATTCTTGTGAAATGTCGTGGGAGTTTTATTGAGTCTTAAAATTTATTTTTTTGGGTTTCTAGGTTGTTGAAGGTCACACAATAACAACATCAACGGTTTGTCATATTATTCGTTTGTCGTTAACAGCGATGTTACATATCATTCGTTATTCAGCAGACACAATAACAATTTCCCTTTCCGAAAGTGAGTGTGTTTGTCTTATCATCGTATATACTTCAAAGAGCTTGTCTCGTGTTGATGAAGTTAAAAGAGGGAAAACTGGCAAGTGGTTATGTGCTTAAATGTTCTTTGTGAGCAATAAAATATGTTCTTTGATCAGGGAGCTTTTCTTCTTTGCTTTTCGTAGCGTAATATCGCTTTCCTTTGAGCTTTTATCAAACCAACAGGAGAAGAAGAAGAAAAAAGAGTTCGGATGCTGGCTATGACAGTGATACAGCATCATACAGTCATAAAAATCATGATGAACATTCAGTTTTAAACGTTGAAGTGATCATAAATTTGAAAGTATTAACAGTCTGGTTGAGTAGAATGCTGAAAAGCTTTTAAATCGAGCGGCTCAGTTGCGAGAAATTGCAGACATGATAGAAAAATTGCGGAATGAATTTAAAGTAAGAAAAAAAGAAAACATAAACTCGTCGTTGATAAGCTATGACTTTATTGAATAAATTTTATATTCTTTTCTTTCTTCGTTGTCTTAATTATGCAAGCGATGAAAATCTATAACAGCACAGCTGTAAAACTTTTCACTTAATATGCTGCCTCGCAAAGTGCCATCTCATGAACATTAAGACTAATGCGTAGAGATTCAATTTTCAATGTAATCAGCATAAATCATGACATTATCTCTAACTTCATTACCATACATGTCGCACAGCAAGAAAAAAGGGAGAAAAAGATTCAAGGATAACAGAAGTAGAAAGTTGGCTTGTTAAGTTAAATAATTGAGTGACGTGGGCGGCTTTTGCTTCTCAAGCTAATTTTCTGAGCCTTTTTAGGCATATCGCTTTTATTAAGAAATAAAGCGAAGCATGATGGGAAAGAACATTCAATGAAACAATTTTTTTTCATGGATTTTCACGATGCTTTCTGTGTTAGAACTGGACAAAGGCATCACGTCCATCTATTGATTTCTTTTTCTCATAATATCATGTTTTCTTATATTTCCTTCGATTACCTACGAAATAATCCCTAAAATTAATACTTGAAAGCAGAGATGGAAATTTCATTCCGAATTAGAACTTGAAATGATGTTTACTTGTAAAACTTTTGGTAGAACTTGATATAATCAACAAAATTAAAAGAACTACTTAGAGTAGAACTTGATGACAAGTTAAATTAAAATAATCTCTTGAGTGAATTTAATTAAAATTGTTAAGAAGTTTCAATTAATTTCAGTCCCTGATTATAAGATTTTTATTAAGGTAAATACTTGAACTGTTGAACAATTATGGAACGTGAACCTTCTATTTATGTTTTTGATATTTCTGAAAATGTTGTCATTGTGATGTGATACTTGCATGCATATTTACCATAAGCTGCAATAATGGAGATAACAAATTGAACGAAGGAAAAGTCATTTATTGTTATCGCCTTAGATATTCTCATCTTTGCTTTCCCCTCAATTGAATAACTCCATTAATGATTCGAACCATGTATGAAAGAAGATTCTTTGACGCAAATCTAAAAGCAATTATGATATGCAAGTTGAACAAAAGCAAGCTTCTTTAAGATGTGATTTTTTCTCTCTCTTATGCATTAGATGTTGGTATTATGGTTGCGAACGAAAGTTTAGATACTCTCTGATCCTAAGCTTGAATTGAAATGAAACTTATGCTTGAATACGTTAACCTCAATTCATTTCTCTTGTTGTCATAGCTTCTGCTTTGCCATTTGAATGAATAAAATCTTATATCTTGATAATTTAAGTGTGTTTAAAAAAGCATTGCAAGGAAGTGAAACGACACAAAGAAGAGACGCTCTAAATACTTCCCCAGGATGTTTCTTCCTAAAAGAAAATTATTCTCCTCCAAAACTGTTTAGAAAAAAATTGATGGTGGAGAAAAAAATGCCACCAGATAGAAAAAAAAAATTAAATGATAAAAATATGGGAGTTGTCATAAGAAGTGGAATAAATTTTGAAGCATTTTTGATTGAGCCTCTCATCATTTCATCTTCCTTCCTTCCCCGTCGTCATAATGTCACGACGAGAGCTGAAATGAAACGTAATTTATGCAAATTACAATATTGCGAAATATTCGTCAGATTTTACTTTCTCACTGTGACATTCAAAGCCAAGCAGAAAAATGAATGAAAAAGACGAAAGCTGTAAGTAGAAGAAAACAAATTTCCATCACATTACAAGTTGTTACGTAGATGGGAGAGCGACAGTTTTGATAATTCATTTTAGGATGTGATTAAAAGTCGATACGGTCGCATATGGTGCTTTGCTTAAGGTTTCCTTCTGGAATTTTCTTGTCATTTCCATGTCACTTGTTCCAAATAATAAATAAAAGCGCTCGTAAAGTGTATAAGAAATTCCTGAAAACATGAATATTTAATGAAAGCTTTTGTATTGCTTCATTTTTGTCGCCATTGTTTATGACAAACTTTTCTTAGAGCAAACAATTTATCGGGAGTTATTTCGAAGTGCTTCAATTAAATTAATGGATTTTTTTTAGTTTCCGAATCAGATAAATATTTAAAGAGTAATTTCTAAATCTAGTTCAAGTTGTTAACAACATTGAAATGAAAGTTTCTTAAGCATAAAAACATTCCCTAAAGCTAAGCCGAAAGCATGAAAATCATATAAAGTCGGTCAATACTTTAGTGAATACTTTTCCCTTAACATATCAAAGTAAAACCAGAACCATAAAAACTTCAGAAAACTTGAATCTAAGCTCATCAAATTATCTTACAGAACTTTCATGCTTTGAGTTACTTTTTTATTGGATTCTAAGATAAATAAACGACAACATCAAATATATCAATTGCATCTACTTTCAATCGTCAACATCGCTTTACATCATGATTTGGGAATTTTATCTCGAATATCGATCTCTTTAATAAATATTGATTGATGGAATTTCGTTTAATGCTTCTTCATGTTTTCATTTTTTTACCGCATATTTCTCCGTTTGCTTTCTACATCTTGTGAGTTGAGTAAGACGAGTGAAAACGATAAAAAGAAAGAAAAAATATTGCGAGAAATGAAAAAAAAATTCTTGCGTTTTCTCACATACAGCAAAGGAAGGAAAAAAGTAAAAAAAATTTCACCATCAATGACAACATTGTTAGGGAAGGAAAGGAAAGAAAAATTCTCTGTCATCTACTTTCGAATTCTGTTATCATCACAAAAAATTTGCTTTTCGTGTCCTGCTTTTGAAATGTGGTGCGAAATATGTTTTCAGTCACACGAGAAATAATATTCATTTCATGTATGATATCTGCCCTTGGAGTTGAGATGGAGAACAACCACATGAGCAAATAAACAATTCGAAATTATTTAAATTCACTTCAGAACTATTCTACTCTCTAAAGTCTTTCATCACAGACACAATCGCTTTAAAATGTTATTAAAAGGCGTCGGAGGTTTTGACGAGTCATAATAGGAAGCTTCCAGTTATCAAGTGGATTAAATTTAGACGCGTCTATCATTTGATACTTTACTGAAAACGAATGTTCTCTTAAGATCTCATTGGAATGATACTTAAAATTAGCTCGACTTCAATGAGTTTTATCGAGGGAATTAAATAAAACAAGAACGAGCAATTACATTTCCATGAACATGTAACTGGAAGCACAACAAAACGATAAGAAATTTTCTCTTTTTTTCTCATCTATTTATGAATGAAGAAAATATGTCTTTTGGGGCGCCAGGTTGATTGTTCTCGTGCCTTTCAGTCGGGTGTCGGCAGGGAAAACATAAAATATAGCGACGAGATGGAAATCTATTAAAAACGTATGACATAACTCAGTTCAAAGTAGAAAATATTTTCTTGGCGGCGTTGGAAGTATTCAGAAATTTCATGTACGAGTTTTTGTAGATGTCGACAATAATAGAAACGATTTTAATGACATTAGCAACAGTTTATGATTTAGATAATTCAAAAAACTGAAATAAACATCAGCGAAATGGTGAATATTAAAAAATAATAATCATAAGCGCCTGGAAAAGTATTTTCTTTCCCAAGATCCATCGGACGGTAAAAATTTAAATGAGAAAATATTTTTGTGTCGCTTTTAAGAGTGACTTTAAGCCCATTAAAAAGTTTTTCTCCATTTCGTATTTTTTTTTGTAACATTTTCATTTAAAAATGTTGAACATTGAATGATGACTATGAATGGTAAATGTTTTGAAAACATAAATTACATTGAAGGGATTTAACTTCATTCAAAGCGACTTACTTTAATGGCGCAAAAGAGAATTTAGGGCTAATCTTTCCCATAATAATCAGATATAAAAAGATATTTCCAAACAGATGTTACTGGTGTGGTCGACTACGATGTATGTTCACCAAATGTAGTTAATTCATTACTCATTCTCAACTCCTGCTTCCGAATAGAGTAAAGGGAAAAAGAATTAAAGATGTTTATAAACAAAATTAAAGTTATATTAATGCGTACATACGAACACATTTGAAATGACTATAACTTCATGTGTAAGCTCAAAATTGCTGTTTTAATATGAGTTTTCATTATTCCATTCTTTTTCTATGCACATGTGACACATCGATGTTGTCACGAGTGGAAACATCGCAAAACGAGCACTCACTACCAGATTTTAAAATTCATTTTGTGATATGACAATGAGTTCTGAACTTCAATGTTTTGCTAGATCATTTTCATTTAAGTTTAGCACTTGAAAAAGAAATTGAAATGACATACACAAGCTGCCGCGGCTAAAATGATGAGCAAACATGTGCATTAATAAACCAAATTATCACATCGACAGAAACATTTTTTCTTCTTTATTTCGCCTTTTTTCATGATAGATTTTCATGTTTCTGTTTATGTCATTCCGTCACACAAAGATATTTCGTCATACCAACAGACACAAACTGAAAATAACACCAGCAAGCATGTTGTGCACAAATTTGAGTGCATCATCGCATCGTCGTCATTTGTTTTTGGAAACGTTCGTTGTGAATATTTTTTCGTGGAACTTGCTTACGAAAGGAAATTTTCCAATTTTCAAATAATTTTTTTGTTAGTTTTGTGTCTATGAAATCATGATATGTGGAAACGTAAAAAATATTTGTCATTCCTCTGTGATTTATTTTCTAAAATTGAGTTAAAAAAAATGTTTCAATATCGCAGTGCAAAGCAAAGTTGACTTGATGTTGAATTTTGCAATAGTTGCACAAATGATTGCGAAGCAATTTTTACTAAACGATAAACAATTTTGTTTATATTTTCCTTCGTCCGGAAAATATTTTATCTTTTTTTTATATTTCCGTTTAGCGAACGACTCGGATGTATCAAACACAAAATTTTTCAAGCACATTAAAAAATTTTGTATCAAAAATTATCAGCACAGATCGCATTCCTTTGTTCATCTCGTGAAATTTTATTTTTCTTCTTCTCGTTCTATTAAAGAAATTGACATTCTTCATCTCATTTAAATCGTCAAGAAACATTTGCTGCGAAGTTTTTAAGAACATGAACATTCATCTTGTTCATCTGAGAATAGAGTCTTGACAGAATTCGATTTTATTTTTCTAGGTCACTCAATGTTACAATTTCGTAAGATGAAAATATCAATTTACGGTCGATTGAAGGTTGCCAATGTCTTGTGAAATTTCCTTCTTAATAATATCAGAAATTCGGAAGCAATCAAATGTCAAATAGAACAAAAACTTTTTTTCATTGTTTTAAATCCCGTGTTGCACGTGACATAAGAATTTTTATCAATCGCTGTGATTCACGTTTTCGGTGGAAGTAAAAATTTGTTTAATAATGCATTCCTTCCCTTTACAAAAAAGTATGTGAAGTAAAGAAACTACGGAAGCAGTTCATAATAAAAAAAAAGAAGAGAAGAAATCCCAGGAAATAAAAAGGTTGTTTGAAGTCAATTTCAGCATGAACCCTTTCTTCCTTTTCACATTATTTCTTTATTCTTTCGCTGCACGAAACCTCTAAAATCTGTGTTTTTTCCGTTTAAAAGAAGAAATGTGAAAGTTTTTTGCTGGTGTTTGCATAACATACTTAGAATATCGTTTGTGCTCGATTCAAAGAGTATAAAATTTAACATATCTCGGTATGCAGTCGAAAATTACTTTTGTTTAAGCTAGTCGTAAAACAACACAATCTCCCTAAATTTCAAACAATCTTCACGCTACCGAAATGAATTAATACAAATAGTTCATAAATAATAAAAGAATAATTTGTAATTTTTTGCTTTTCGGTGACAAAAGTGTAATAAAAAGTTAGCAAATAAATTGTTTCCAACTTTTCTATGCTTTCAGTTTCCTCTAACACTTTCAAAGAAATTTTATTGGAAATTCTTGAGAAATGAAATTATGCTACGCCAAATTCTCTTTATATTGAACATAAAAAGTTATAATAATCTAATGATTGATATCGAATGGAAGCTTTGAAATTTACTATATTGAATTTATGGGGTGTTAAGGGAAGTTGTTATGAAATCAAAATTATGGAGGAACGAAAGTTCTGCTCAATATTGGAATGAAAGTAAATAAAAGCGATCGTCAATTTCTCTCGACCTTAATGCAGCCCTGCCTTTTTAGGATTTATAACCGAGAACCATCATTTTTCATTTGGTAATTTATACGCATCTTATGTTTCGAAGCAGCCTCAAAAGAGCTTTAAACAGGATATTGTAGAAATCCTATTTGAATCCATAATTAAACTTCTTTTCTCTTCCCTTCGGAAAAAGCTTTTATGCTTTCGAAAGTTTGATAAACAGGATTAAAGTTATTTTGTGGATGTGATCTAGATGTTTAATGCTATCCCAAATTCTAAGTACCAAATTTTCTAAAGACTCTCAACATACAACATGAGTTTCAACATAAATACTTTTCACTCGACCGAAGAAAGGACGCAACTTTATTTGAATATTTATTTATGCAATGATTGCACAGCAAAAATTTGGGTATGTGTGAGATGCATATTAAGAACGTTTCTAAGACATCTTGCTGTTATCAAGAAAAACAACTATTTAGGAGAGGAGAAAAAAGAAATTTCCTTCACAAGTTTAGTTTGCAACTTTTGTTTGTATAAAGTTCATGCATAGATTACATAATTTATCTACATAAAGTAAGAGAAAAAGTTAAAGCTACTAACTAGACTGAATGTATACGTTTTTTCTTGTGGTAAAGTGACAGTTATTTATTCTTTCTGGGCTGCTTAATCTGCATCTTTTTTGTTTGAAATGGAAAACATGTGCAGTAATATTCTTCTTCCTGTCCTTGACTGTTGCTTTCCGTTTACGATGAATATCGGACGAATGTTTCATGGTAGAAGACAGTGAGACACAAAGGATGGGATTAACTGCAGTTGACATGATTTTCCAGAATGTTTTTAAATGGGTTCTACACTGTTGTTTCATTCCATTAGAACACATCATTAGCTAAAAATGATTTTCCTAAATGTCTTTCATGGAAATTAAGCGAAAACATATGATGTTAATTAAATTCATCATCTCGCTTTCTCAGAACAAGATGAGAGGGTTTTATGATCTTTTTTAATGTTTTTTATTCAAGAGAGAAAAACATATTTGCATTGTGATGAGAACCCGCTTATGACGGCGCACATTTTTGAATCCCTAGGCGCTATTTTTTCGTCAATTTCATATTCTGACCCATAAAAAGATTGTTCAATTTGATTAATCGTCGCATTTAATGAATTCACAAGCACGAATCAAATGAACTTAAAAAAATAAAAGGCTTAGGGGAAGCTTTCAACTTCCATTTGCTTCTCTTATGCTTTTTTCCGTATTTTTCCTCTCTACAATGATTTTTATCCAGTTGATTGTTTAAAATGAGAAAGCGATGGCATAACGATAAAGAGTCGCGGGATGTAGCCAACGATTGAATTAAAAATTCAACTTCATAATATTTTTCTTGTTATTATTGAGCAAACAGAAAATGCTAGAGATTTTAGACTCATCTGAAACCACGCAAACTCTTCGTACATAAAACTAAATTCTAATCTAACAACATTTTATGATATCCAACGAACCGGTCCACTGACTAAGGAGGGAAGAGTGCTCAGGTTCGGACTGTCGTAAAATATGTGAAAAGTTTAAATTGAGTTTAAGTTGAAGTTCAATAAATCGTTGTAGGTTTTTCCTGAAAGAGAAAAATTCAAAATTCTGATAACATCGAATGAACTTTGTAAAATTCAAATGACTGTGGTGACTGGATGCTGCCTATTTTAATTAAATATGGGGAAAAGATAGGTAGTTTGTTTATTTTAGAGCGTATGATAAATTCTTTTTTAAGTGATAAAGTTGCTATGATACTGCACAAATATGTGTGCTGCAAATAAATAAATTAATATTACTTTTCAAGTAGATATTTTCATTAGTGCATGAGAATTCAAATAAACTGATAACTTCATGAATGTAGACCACAACAAAAGAGACAAAAATTTCTGCATATTTGTATGCATAGAACGTTTGTGCATTGAGTTTGAAAAATGCAAATTGAAAATTAAATTATCAATAAATATCATGACAACAATATTTGTAGTGAATAATTTTTTTTTGAAATTTACAAACATTTTACATTATTTTCCTCTAAATGATAAAATTAAATTCTTGAAATTCTTTTTTGTGATTTACTTAATGGGAAATTAAAACTTAATTTATTTACTGACTTCACTGGACTTCACTTATCGAGGTTCTGTCTGGAATTTTCGAAAAGTTTTTAAGTGCAAAACAAAATCGTATAAAATCTTGCGAAACAACGTAAACGTGCATTAAGTTACGTAATATTTACGGCAACGCGTTGCAACGTGAGGCATACGTAAACGAACTATCTACGTAGCATCATACGTAACAGAAGAATTCCTGCAAAAATCGTTAAGTTGCTAAGCTTTTGAGCTTCCGAATATTCTTTCTTCCGTTCAAATGAAAAACAAAATTTAAAACATTATCTAACCATAAATTTTCAACCTCCTTTTCCCTCTTCAAAAAAGGATCTAAAAATACAAAACATGACGGATGGCGGCGATAATTGAATGATTTTTTATTTTTTCTTACAAAATTCAGAGTAAAATAACGAGATAAAGGAAAAGAGAAGGAAAAATAAGCACAATGGATACAATTGAAAGAATGGCAATTTTTTTTCATGATAAAGTAGAGAAAAGAAAGAAAGCTCCTCGTGACCGAATTCTCATTGTTTGATTATAAAACCTTTCTATTTTCTTACATTTCTTATTACTTTTCTCTTTACAGTTCCAGCTCGTGTCATTTGGGCAGCGCCTGACCGGGACGTTGAGTTGCCTTGTGATCTCACACCGCCATCAATCCACGATTCTGTAAAATTAGTATTATGGTTTAAGGATTCCGAAGGAATTCCATTGTACAGCTTAGATTCTAGGAATGGCGGAAGTCTTAAAGCAGCAACCCACTCAGCACTCGCAGGGATTCGAGGAGAAAGAATGTTTTTCACAGTTGCTGAAAACCCAAAAGATGCCAAATTGCGAATAAGATCTGTTCAAGAAGCTGACGGTGGAATTTACCGGTGTCGGGTTGATTATTTTAATTCGCCAACGCGAAATTTTCGAGTCAATTTGACGCTTGTGGGTTCGTATCACATCAGTTTACTTTGTTCTGTAATCTTAAATTTAAATTTGATTTTCAATCAACATTAATTACAGAAAATCCTGATGAGCCGCGTATTTTTGATGCGCAAGGAAAAGAGGTCACGTCCGTCGCGGGACCTTTTCGTGAGGGTCATGAACTCTTCCTCTCTTGTTCTGTTACCGGAGGTAATTTAAGTTGAATGGAAACATGGAAATGCTATTTACATATTTTACCCATAAAAATCATTCTCGTCTTTGAATACCGAACCCAAGAAAAGTTTTTCCTGTTTTCGTCTTTCAACCTTTCAGAGCTCTCGTATTTGCGATTTCATTTAACTTACGTATTAAGAGCTAAAATAATTGGCGTCAGCACGACGAAACATATTTTTTCAATGATATTGTTTGCTTTTATTGCTCTTTGTTGGTTTTTCTTACTATGGCTAATGTATTTAAGCTACAGTAGATTATAAAAATTAATAGATGAGTTGCATCGGAAAGCTTTCACTGCACTCACGGCTAAACATTCGATGACACTTTTTATTGAAACCAAAGACGATGCAAAAGTTTATCTTGAGAAACGTGACTGAAGATTATTGACATAAAGTCAGAGGAAAAATTTTATTGCCTTTTGACTTCTTCTTTTTATTATTTCAGTCACATCTGAAGCGACATGTAGATGACTCAAATTGATCAGAAAATTTTATTCAAACGTTCGCATTGAATAAAAGGAAGAAATAATAAAAATAAAAAACCGTCACAAATTGTCATATGAATTAATTAATATTAATTATATCATTTAATCTGAATGCGATATCGACTGTCTATTTTGCTAATTATTTATTATTGCGTCACACGTTGTCGCAAATAATCTTTCTCCTTTATATTCATACATGATGATGATGATGAGGATGATTTACAATTGCCTTGACAGTAAAAATTGTGTAACTTCAGCATGATGTCGGTTGTGTAATTTATGTGTTATTCTACTCTTCCTTTCAATTTCGATGGGTGGTAAATTTGGCTTAATGATATCATTGCGTAAGCTCAAAATATCCCAACATAAAATGATAGAACATTGCGAGATTAAGCAAAAAGAAGCAACCGCAGGGATGAGAACGGAAAAAAGCTTTTAATCTTTCATCAATAATTTGCCACACATATTTTTGTGTTTTCCTGTCGACTCATTACTTTAATTGAAGCGACGACGGAGGGCGTCAGAAATAGAAAACAAATTTTTATTCTTTCTTTCACTTGTATTCTCGTCACTTGAGCATCCCAATGACGTTGTGTGAAGAAAAAAGGAATAGAAAAAGAGCAAAAAAAGTTATCATCAGATAAAAGAGAGAATAAAAAACTTTTTTTCCTTTTCTCATCGACTGGGATTTTGTTTACGTAAAAATCAACCCAAAACATTTCATTTATGACGTGATGCATCTTATCTCGTGGGTTTTAATCAATTTGGGCTTTTCCATCTCTCTTTTTGTGAATATATAAAAGTTGAAGACAGAACAATATTTTTGATAAGGAAGAAGCATTCAGCAGATGTCCAAAGCCTTTAACCCATAAACAAACAATTTTATCACTCACGAATCCTCATATCCATTGATTAGCACACATTGTAATCTCCGTCTGCCTTCGGCTGATTTCGCATAAACAAACTCAAAGGCATTTCTTACAATTCTGCTGCTATTTTATTTTTAGAATTTATGTTGTTCATGTCATTGCCATTTCATTGAAGTATGAATCACAATACACACAAACAAACGCAAATCTAAATAAAACAAGTGAAGTAAAATATTTCATCTACTTCAAAATCTTATTTTCATCTCGTTGTATTATTCGAGGAATTTTCAATTTTCCTCATCGACCAGAGGATTATGCTGAAAACAGAGAAAATTTTCTTTCGTACACATTAAGTTTAAGCTTGTTGTTCCTTAATCAAAAAAATCTTTTTATATGTTGTAAGATTTTTCTTCTTTCTTTTGTTGATGGCGTTTTGCTTTCTTCTTATTATACTTAGATAAGTAACAGAAAAGGCGGAAGAAAAAGAAAAAGCGAAAAAAGAAACTAAAATCGCTTATTATAATAATTCTCTCAAATGGATTTATGCAAAGCACAAAATGGAAATGCGAAATTTTCCATTATTTGTTTCCCCTTCGTCTATTCCGGATTTCCATGAGATAAACATGACAATTATCCATACAATTTCGTCATGAAATCGTTTCTCTTGAAGCCCAAATAATTCTAAAGAAGAAATTGGTTTTTCCGTTTCTAGGTCGTCCACCTCCGAAGGTAACATGGTGGCGTGACAACATCGAAATGATTTCGAGTGTAAGTCATCCGTCCGCTGATGGTGCGTCGGCTGTTGTTAACCAGTTGTTTATTGGCACTGTAACAAGGGACTTTTATGGCACCCGTTTGGAATGTCGAGCTCAGGGTTCAAAATTATTGCCACCAGTCGTTAAAGAAATTACTGTGCAAGTTCACTGTAAGTTCAAAGAAGAAAAACTTCAAGTTGAAAGCAATTTTCACACCAAACGTTTTCGTTTATAATCTAATTCGTTTCGTTTTTCTTTTTGCGTTTTCAATTTTCTCCCTTTTCCATTCTTTTTATTCTCTTGTTAGTAAAACCAATTAAAGTAAAAATTGTTACACCAAATGAATTGCTAACAGCTGGTCGTCCCACTCCGATACGATGTGAAACTTGGGGTTCGTATCCACCAGCAAAAGTTACGTGGCTCATGGATGGTGAAGCTATTCGGCAAGCTGATGTAACAGTGAACAACGAAGGCGCCGAAGCTAATTTAACCTCAAGCATACTTACACTTAGAGTCTCAGCAGAAAACGATGGAGCTGAGTTAACGTGTAGATCAACGAATCCATGGTTTTCTAATGGAGCGCTCGAAGACAAAAGGCGAATAAGTGTTGCATGTGAGTGTAAATTTCTTTGTTATCATCTGCTTCAGTTCAAGCAAAATTTTCGAGATAAAAAAAGTTAATAAATCATCGTTCATTTGCATATTTTTTTTCTCAACTTTCAGATCCACCCACAGTTTCAGTTCATTTGGCAAATGAAGATCCAAGCAGAAACATAACGAGATCCGAAGGCGAAAATGTAACTTTAAAGTGTCGAGCAGATGCTCGTCCACCCGTTACAGCATTCGGATGGTTTAAAAACGTAAGATTAGTGAATAAATTACTTTCACTGATGTGCAATCATTTGTGATGACTGAGATAAACTGTTCGCTTTGCAAATAAGCTTTTTAAAGGATTTTGAGCTTAATTGCAGATCTTCAACTGCAAATTTTCCCATTGAATTTAGCGCTTTATATTCGTGAATGATTTGATTCAGTCTGTTTGTAATAGTTAAACATTGTTAATTAAAAGTTTCAGTTCTATCTGAATTATGTAAGATTTCAAAATTGTTTGCAACAAATCGACATCCCTAATCAATGAATTATGTTCCTTTGATAACTTTCATAAACATCAACCCGAACTTCTCGTTTACAAAAGTTTCATAGTTCTGCAGCTTTAAAAATTCATGACTTAAATTGAATCATTTTCAAAGACTCTTTCGTCGTTTATTGCATAAAAGTAAAAATTAACTTCATAAAAGTTTCGTTTACTCGAAAGCTCTTTAAAAAGTTTTAATAATCAAAATGAATGAGAAAATATTAAAGAAAGTACAATGCGAATGTAAACTCCAACTTTTGTCAATTCCTTTCACATAGACATAATGAATAAATGTTAAAGTTGCGTTAATTTCATGATTATTTCTTATGCGATATGAATTCATAGTCATGATGAAGAAAAGAGGAAAGTAAAAAGAATAGAAGAAGGAAACATTCAAAAAAGACAAATAAGAGACAAAGTGAAAATATGTATGATAACATAATAACAATGAAATGTAATTTTCTTTTGATATGATACATCTTCAGCTTTTCATATTATTTCTTTGCCATCTTTTCTCTTACACTTCAAGACAATAAGAAAATTGCTTTTTCTTGCCTCTTTGGAAATCACATTTTCCTCAAATAAAGAACGTAGGTGGTAGGTGTGAGACATGAATGTCGGATTCACATAACAACGCACAAAGTGAACAATCTGTTTTGAATTTCTTTACTTCTCTCATGCAATAAAGATAAAGCTTTTCTTCTTTTTTGTGTATTATACAAGAATATCCGAGAAAAATTAAAACCTGCAGGGAAATTTCATTGATATTTAAGCAAGAGATATGTTTAATTGTGACAAAAGTAAAAGTCGAACTTTTCTTTCACTTTTATATCCTTTAATGTAATTAGGGTAAGAGCGTGGGTTGATGTTTTCCACCCTTTCCTTGTCACTGTCATTTGTAATTTGAGTGATGTCTATTAGTGATTTGAATGATTTATGAAAACTCAAATATTCTGTCCTTTTATTTTCAAAAGATTTAAGGGAAGCAGATCAGGGAATGAACGATTTTTGTGACCCTCTTTCAAACTTTTGACACGTCATTGATTGTCCCAAGCATTATGATTCGCGTTTATATCTTCAAGAAAATATTATTTCATATGGCAAGCACAGTATCAATAAGCATTTTGAAAGGCATGTCATAGAATTACAAATTGGTAGAATAAATAACACAATTTTTTCTCCCATGGTTATCAAATCCAATGACGCGTTTTCTACTCAAAAGCAAGAAAAATCTCATCGTGTCATTGCACGAATTTCTAGACTGATTCATTCCCTTCTTTGATAATGATGTGGAAAAAAGGAAAGAAAAGATTTAAGTGTACACAGATTTATTTCTCTATAATCTTCCAAACAGCACACGCAAACACACACATCATGAAGAAGAAGCTTACAAATCTTCTGATATCTCACGAATCGCACAAGCGCAAGCATTTCATTGTTTCATCAAGGCGTTTCGTAATATCTCACGTTGATATTAAACACTTTTTCCTTCTCTTCCTTATTTTATTGTGTCGTCGTGATCAGGGTATGAGAATGACAGGCGAGAATACCGAAACATTACATTTGACAATGTTGGAACGTGAAAGCGGTGGCTCATATGCCTGTGCAGCATCAAATACTGAAGGTGAAACACGTAGTTCATCTTTGTATCTGAAAGTACAATGTAAGTAACAAATCATGTTTTTTTTATAAAAGAGAAAGAGAAAGAAAAACTCTTTACATTCACAACCAGTGTTGTTGTCTAGAGGGAGCATCAAAAGTTGTTAAAAGATCGTGCTCGTTATCTTGAAAGCTCAATTGAGTTGAAGGAAGGTTCTTATTATTTTTTTGAATGCTCGCTTCATTAAAATTTCTCGTAAAGCTTTGATAGAATTTGATTTTAAATATTAACTTTGTAGTCAACACTTAAATCGCTCATATCATTGGAAATTGCTTAATAAATTTGTTGAATTTCTTTTTTTATCTCAAACCTTCCACTCTTTCTTATAAATCGATTTGCTTCCTTCGAAAGTACTCTGAATGATTACTCTTTTATCGGTAAATTTATTTTTCATGCTTTGCATTTACAAACGGATTCTATTCGTTCGATTCCACTAAACTTCAACTTATGACTTGAAGAAGTTTACCTGGAGAATGATTCTCCTTTCCTTTCTTTACTTTTCTTTTTTTGTTCAAGATTGATTACATGATTCCTTCGTAACGATTCAACTCAACACACTTAATGTTTGAGAAGGATTTCGTATGCGCTACATGAGACTAGAATGAAATGAAAAATTCAATAGTTTCTCGCTTTCCTTCTTCACTTGAGGGCGTCTTTTATAAAACTTCATCTTATGGAAAGTTGCTTTTACAGTTGCAAGTTGTATCATAACGTAAATATTTGAAAAAGAATTGTTTGCAAATGTCTTCATTTTCTGGTAAGCCTTAGGTGGGCAAGAGTCTATGTAATTTAATGTATGTTTAGTTCCTTTCTTATCGACGAACTTTTTTGACAGTGAGATGAAGAAAAAAGAAGTTTTAAACTTTACCTCAGAGTATGAGATGAATGAAAGATATCTGAGAAAGTTTCTTTTCTTCATCTACTACATGTATCGTTAGAGACTCGTTTTGAAATCTTCAATTGTGATTGCATTGATGAGAAAAGTACAAAAAATTGAATGTTCGTCATGAAAGTAACATGACGGAGAAATTTTCTACATCATCGAAGACAAACTTTTCTACTTTATCATTTCTTTATAAAAAAATCATTATAAGTCTCATCTTTATTTCAATTTGGATCTCTGAAAGACCAGAGAAAAAGTCACGGAATATTTTTTTTGCTTCAAGTTTTATCAGAAAAAAATTAAAAAAAATTCCGAATGCATTAAACTTTCAATGAGCTTTGGAGCTTTCGATTTTTTTAAATGAAATCAATGAATATGCTTTAAGGAAGAAAGATATAAAGAATAACATCAAATATAAATCCCCAACTGGGAATGATTTATCCTTGAATCAAAGCTAGAAATTCATTCACATCTCTCAGCTTAACATTTACAATATCCCTTCTCGCTCGTATGATTTATGATGATATTAGAAACGAATTGTACAGAACGAGGATTGAATGACCGATATTGTAGCCAACGGCCATTAACAAAAAAAAGCTCCATCAATAATAAACACATCGAGTTGTGGGAGAAAAAAAATATTGAAGTATGTGAGAGAAAAAGAAAACATAAAGAAAATTCATTTCTCTCGAGATGAAATAAAATATTGATGTTCGCAACAAAACCCGTGTGTGATTAAGTTGACTATGTGGTGTGTGTATGTGTGAATGTGTTTAAAGAGCTGAAGAAGGAAGAGAGATTTGTTGTAGTTTATGTAGTTAAACGATGATTTCATTAAGAAGTTGATGTTGTAGGATTGACTTTAATGCCGATAAGAATTGACCAAGTCTGTGTGCAAAAGAAGAAAGGAAAGAAAATTCTCCACTTTCAGTGAAACTTAATTTACCAACATTAAAAATTTACGAATATTGTTTACCCATTTGCCTCGGGATAAATAAAGACATTTGGAATCCACACCCTAGTTGGAAGCAATGTTGAGAAAAACCTTTAAGGAAAGTGTGGAAATTTGGAGACTCGAGGGAAAAAATTCAAGAAAAAGAAAAAAGAAATAATTAAGGCAATTTCTCTTTCGGGTAATTACATTTTTATTTTTTTTTCTCACTCGTTTTTTCTTTGCCTTTTTTCATGCTGGACGCTTTTTTATCCGGTGGTGATGTTTCTGGTTGATTCTCGGATATATTTTTATGATTACTTCTCTTATAAAAACACCGCAATCAAATAAAAAAAAGTCGTCAATGGAAATGGAAAAGCGATGGAAACTTTGCTATTTTAATTTAATTGCTTAAAGTGAACCGCACGTTTAATGAAGAGCTTTAATACGCTCGAAAATTGTTATTTCTGTTGTTCAGTGATTGAGTTAATGTGAAGTTATTTTTTAATTTTAATAGAACGAATTGGTTTTCAGATTTTTCCGTATCCATTAACCATCGCTTGAGTGAAGTTTAATTTAGTTCAATTTGAAAGCAAAACTTTTACTGGGACATTCTCTCATAAATTTTTAGTTTTCTTTCCTTTTAAAAGAATGTTCAGCATAAATCACACAAAAATCTGGTTATCCCATTAATGAGAAAGTTTATTTCCACTTCTCTTGATGATTGCGAAATTAACAATCGACGTTAGCGTTAACGATTGTTGATAATGAGATATTGCTGGGAAAATGTTTTTTTCTTATACATCCAAGGGAAATCTAGCGGAAGCAAACTTGAGTTGGAAAAACATTTTCATGATCACATAGCAATTAACAAAAGCAAATCCACAACAAAAACCAATTTCTTATGACGTCATTGATTGATATCGTCCAAGCTCTTGAATAAATCTCATTTTTCACTCTCTATTCCAATTAAATGGAAAGCGAGAGAATCAAAAGTTTTATAGAAGAAGTTTTTTATGAAAGAAAAAGGAGAAAAAAAATCATCGTTTATTCATTAAAAATTTTATCACGATGTCGACTTTATGTTGAAAGCTTTAAATTGCATCCAATGAGTATGAATTTTGATATTTCAGTGTTTCATGCTTTAAGCATTTATTTTCTTTTATCCCCATACGCCTTCTTTAACCATTTCACTGTACAAACAAGCGGTCGGTCGTTTCTTTAATCCTCGAAGAAGTTTCACAACTTAAGCAATTCCAAAAGGATAATTAAATTTTCAAAGAATCTCTTCATATAAATCATTGAAGTTGGCGTTAGAAACATAAAATAAAGAAAAAGAAAACGAAGAAGGAAGAAAGCGAGCGAGCGAGCGAGCGCGAAAGTTTTAATTAAATTTATTTTCAATTTATTTTGAAATCTTTCACAATCCATTCTTTGGTCAAATATTTTTCTAGTTTCACCACGTTGTAAACCAGGCACCGAGCAAATGTCGGTTGGCGCTTTAAACATGCATTCAATGCAAGTTAAATGTGAGGTTGAAGCTGATCCAGCAGATTCTGTGAAGTTTCACTGGACCTACAATAATACGAGAAATGTTTCACCTGTAAGTATACGGGTTGGTGATGTGGAAAGTCATGGAATTATTTTAAATTCTCATGACAATGCATATTGGCCAATGTTACAAAACGAATGAGAAATTTTATTACGTAACGAATGAATGTTTGTCAGAGAAAAACTATTCGAAAATCCATTGAAAAATGGTTCTAATCTCAACAGTTGACTGATATTTATTTACGTACGTGTCCAACAGGTCTTAAATTCTCGCATTAGTTCACACGGCTTGCTTAGTGCTGTGACATACTTGCCACAAAGTGACTCTGACATTGTTACGCTTGCTTGTTGGGCGATGAACTCGGTTGGACGTCAATCCTTGCCATGTCTCGTTCACATCTTACCAGCACGTAAATATAAAATATTTTCTCTTATTAAATGTTATGCAAATATTAATTTTATTAAATGTCACTATCAGATTATTTCCATTAACTACAAAGTTTCAACATTCCTTCATTAATTTTTCATTTTCACTGCAGGCATACCTGAACCACCTCGTTTGTGTGAGCTTAGAAACGATAGTAATTTGGAAGTCGTTTGTCAACCTGGTAACGATGGTGGACTACAACAACATTTCGTCCTTGAAGCACTTGGTGCTACTTCAATGTACTTTAATAATTTAGATTCAACACGTAGTACACATGAGATATTAGATAATGAAATATCAACAATGAACGACCAAGTAAGTCCACTTACACACACAAAAAGAGGGAGAGAGAGAGGGAATGTTGTGTGATAAATGCAACAACTTTTTTTTATCTATCATCATCCTTTTAGCTTAGAAAAGCTTCATCGTAATCTTAACACAACATTTACATTTACAAAACTCTCGATGCCATCACAATTCGCATTCCCTCTTCGAGCAATGTTCTTCCTTGTTTTATTTGAGTAATTTATCATTCGTCTGACATGACCTTGTGCTGATTTATGTCTTTGTGTCTCTTTTTTCTTCTTCTCTTTCTTCTTTTTAACTTTGCATCCTTCGATCTTCCTGTGCTTTCATCAACGTTTTCCTTTAACTTCAAAATATACGAAACACGAAATAAAAATCATGACTATACTGCGTAGGCTACATTGGCTCCATTAGTGACAATTCAAGAAAATGTGCCTCAATTTAAAATACCTCCGCTCGAGCCAGGCCGGGAATACCATTTCCAAGTGTATGCTGTGAATGCAAAAGGCCGAAGTGATCCGCCGTATATCATCGAACGTGTCAGAGTCGGATCATTATTGTCACCATATGGTAAAGCGTGCTCAATTAACTTTAATGATGTCGTTATCTTAATTTGATTTTCTATCTCTTTTACCTCATCTTCGGCACGTATGTAGATGAAACGATCATATCGGAAGATCCAACACCGGCTGAAACATCAAATCAAAAGAATCGAAAAATTGTTCAACAACAGCAACATCAACAATCGCAAATGATTATTCTTGCAGCTCTTGTACTCGCAGCTGGTATTATAATCACATCAATCATTGTTGCTGGTTGTGTGGCGATCTGTCGTACTCGTCGTCCAAAGCCACCCGAACCAGAAGAAGTTCGTAAGAGAATACGGTGAGTGACTTAACAATTCTTTTTCTTTTAATTTCGGTTAATGTATTCAATTAGTATAATGGTCTCATCTAAAGTCTGTCTCATTTACCAAATTACAATAATGAAATATCATGTTGTTTATTTATTTATTTTTATCCCGTCTACTGTTGGAAATATTCTGATTATGTATGCGAACAAAAATAAAATAAAAACCTTAACAGACCCGCACGAAATGACGTGCCGTCGATGTATGCTGAAGACGACACTGAAGACGAATATACTCGACATCCAACCGATACAAGATGTAGTCGAGCATCAACAATCAGAAGCACCCGATACGTGTCTGAAGGATTTGTGCAGTATTCACAACCGAGTCTGAATGGTACATAAAAAATCTTTTATTTGCTTGTTTCTCTATTTCTCTGCCTATACTTGAGATGTTGCTGCTTATGTTGTTATTATTTTCATTTCTTTCACTTGGATTTTATTTATTTCATGCTTGATTATTTCCACTTCCAACAATATTGTGCAAAATTATTCATGTGTGAATGAAATTTCCATCATACTTTTCTATTTCTACTTTTTTATATGTATTTACTTGCAGTTACCTTCCACCCCCACACGAAGCTTTAATATTATTTCATTGCTTCCTTTTCCATACACTGAACACAAGATATGCAATCATGAGAAGTTTTTCCTTCCTTTTTCTGCTTTGTTGACTCTTTGAATGCTATTTGCAAATATCTGTGACAAATTTTGCATACAAAGTTAATTTAAAAATCAAAGTTTACTTTCCCAGAATAATTTAATTAAACTAAATATCTCAATCTTTGATATTTAATGAAATAAATAATTCTTTCCAAGTATTTTTAAATCTATTTAGATGTTAAGGCACTGAGAAAAAGGAGGAAGAGAATTATTTATTGCAGTGATTTAATTAATTGAATTTATGTGACTTTTTAAAATCTGAAGAATCATAAACATCATCAAGACAAGATTTTTAAAGCTCGGAAAAGCTTTTTGTTTGCAACTTCTTTCTTGTAACCTCGGGAACATGAAAAGAGTATTTTTTCGTCTTTATTTTTTTATTTATTCAGTTGCTCGTGTTCAGGATTCCTCGAGCTATTAAAACTGCATTCTCTACCTCCAAACCGCAAAGTCTTGTGCTTTAAATTTTCAACATTTTTATGAGAGAAGCAAATATTTTGTCATCAAAATCCTCTTGTTCAAGCTTTTTTATTTTTGTGTTGTTATAAGTCTTGCGAAAAGCTGAACGATGAATAAAATAAACGAAATTTCCATGTTTTATACATTTAGCTTTTAATGCTAAAAACTAGCAAGAAAAGCTCTTTTGTAGTAGTTGAAACAACATAAACAAATTGCTAGTAGACTACACATCAGGTACAATTTTAAATAGCAATAAATATCATATCACAGTCGTGATAACAATGATGGCAAGCTAATTTAACAATTATATGGGTGGAATAAAAGAAATAAAGTTATTTAAATTGCCATTATATTCACAAAATGTTTTCTCTTTTCCGACATTTGTTAAAAGTAAACAGTCAGTCGTATTCTTTTGAAAGAAAAAAAGAAACTTCTCTTTATTCCTTCCATGCGATTTATTTAGAAAAGGATACGAGTATCTGCTTCCTCTCATTGAAAGTGTTTCCTTTTCCAAACAAATACGGAAAATCTTCATGAAATCCTTCAAGAAGCAGAAGAAGTAGAAGGAATGAAAACCTTTTCATTCTTTAAAAAGCAGAAACAGATACGAAAAGAGCCCAAAACATTTAGATATAAATTTTTCTGTGGTGCGAAACTCTTTTTCATTCATTTCTGATTCAATTCAGTGGTGTAGGGAATGCTTTTTATGAAAAACTTTCAAGGACGTCATTCATAATATTACGTTATTGAGAAAATAATCCTTTTTTACGCTTTTGAATTCTTATGGACGAATGAAAGACAGCATCAAGTATACTTGAGCAAGGGAATGATCGGAAGAATGGAATAAAAACTTTTGTCCTTTTTCTTTGATTGCTGGTTCGTTGACTGTTTGTGCTAGCGATATCCTTCTCACTAGCTATGGATAACAATTTAATATAGAATCGTGTGATAAATCCTTAAATCCATCTGAAAATGAAATTCGTTTAAAAATTCAACATCCAACTGTGCTTCTTTGCATGCATCTGTAAAACTTTTTCATCACATCACACGCAGCATGAAAGTTTTTTTTTACTCCTTTTTTTAATATTTTTCCTAAATTTGCATCTCATCAGTGTTAAAAAGGGATCATAAAAAGTCATAAAAATTGACCGGAAACCTTCATTTCTAATAGATTTTGCTTCGATTTATGTGTGAGAATTTAATTTTATTTTTACAAGTCATTTATGGCACTTTTTTGTTGCTTTTTTAAATATTAAAATTCAATCCTAAAAAAAGCTATAAAGCAAAATAGTCAAAGTCACGTTTTCATTTTTCATTTTAATCGTTTGTAGTTTATATTGCAGATCCTGATTTGATTTTGCCTCGAGGTAGCGATATTGAATTCACAAATCTAAACATTGGGGGAGCTTAGCACACTGAGAAACGACATACAAATTTAGCAAATTAATTAAGTCCTATCACGTTTTTAATATAAATTTATATGATAAAGCACTGTAAAAAAAGGACGAGTCAACGAGGATAGGATAAGAGAAGGTGGAAATAGTAAAGCAAAAATAGATTCCAATCGAGAGAATAACAAGTTTGGAGTGCTTGAAACAGAGACTTTTGAGATTGCAACCTCTCGAACCATCACATCCAAACCTTAAATCTCTCCAAGGATGCTTTTAAAGTTTATCACGATGTAAAGTAGTTGAAGTAATTAAAAACTATATTGAAGAAATAAGAAAGAATCAAAAAGCATGTTGACTTTAATGTTGCTATGAAAATTTTTAATCAAAACATTAAACATCGACGCTGTCTCGTCAGAAACTTTTCTTGTGCTTTAAGTCCGTAGAAAAGTTGTTTCCGTAAGAAGAAAGTTTTATACCTGAAGAATATTACGAGTTTCAATTACAACTGAAAAAGAAAACTTTTCTCAAGAATCTTTTCTTACAGCAAGATTGGCAATGTTTGCTTAGAAATGTTTTCTTGTTTTAATGGAAATTCGAGTTCTTGTTTAACTTATTGTCTGGAAATTTTTAGAAATTATTTACTTTGAATTAAATTCATAACTGAAAAGGAATAACATCGATCAACTTTACTTAACATTTGACAGCCACAGAGCTGCATATTTGGCCTAAAAACTTTCATATTAAATACATTTAACTTTCTAGCTCATTCGGTTTTGTTATTTTTTATCCTTAATGTTGGAAAAGGGTTTGACAATCTCTGGAGATTTCTGAAACTTTTTATAAAATTGAATATGAAAAGTTTTCAATAACCAAATTGACTCAAATCAAATTAAAAACTTAAAACTGAAGAGAACTCAGATACAGCAAAGATGAATAATGTTTAAACGAATTTCTGAATTGCATGTAGACATGATGATAATAAAGATCATGATGATAATCATAGGAAAACAAGAAGGAAAGCAGAGATAAAGTTTTGTACATAAATAAATTCAGATAGAAAACTATATTTTAAAACTTGTTCAAATGAATAAATCGTGAAGAAATGTTATGCACGTAAAGTTTTTTTTTTTCTTCATTCGAAAAAGTCTAAATCAGTGCCGTTTTGATCTTTATAAATATTTTAGTAGCACAAATATATCTTCTTATTTAAAGTTTATTACTACTTCGTCGGAGCGAATGCTAAAAGCTGAAAGTTTTATCAATTGGAACGAGAGAGAGGGAAATGAAATTTAATAATGAATATGGAAAATTCAAAGGAAAATCAAAACAGATAAGGAATAGAAATGAAAAACAATGAGAGAGAAGAAGAAAAATAAAATATATCTCGTTGAAGCTTGTTCAAATGTTCTAATAGAATTTAAAAAATTTATTTCATGAAACATTTATGTTTAATTCGTGATCGTGATTCATCTTTATCTTCAACAGAAGGAGATGCGAAAATCTTTCATGAATTTTTATTCTGTTTGAGCGATAAGCTTTCCAATTCATCGCTTCAGATCGCAACCAAAACAAAAGAGAAGAATTTAAATGATCAGACTTTACTTTAGTGCCCTAGTTTTGTATTAATAACAAATAATTTAGGTTTGATAATTTTAATTGAAAGGCTTAATTATAATTACCTAGTTTGTAGAAGTTTTATTGCTTGATTGAGGACTGAAAAGCTGTCAACCTTATTACTATGTAATAGTGTCCACTCCCACTCAGTGCAAACTAAATAAACAAACAAAGAAACACAACAAAGAATTTATTTTCCTTCAACTATTAAGTAATATTTATTTACGAATAATTTTCATCTCAATTACATTCACATAAATTCATCAAATGTTTTTTTTTTAGTAGTTTATCACGTTTATTTCATGACATTTAGCATTCTTTTATTATCCCCAAAAAACACAAAAAAAATCTTTCATCTCAAGAATTTATTTTCTCTCAAGGAAAACTTAAAGAAAAAGAAGTGAAAAATAAAATAAAAGAAAGTTCTCAATATGAAGAAGGAAAATTTCTTCTTGTAAATATGACAACAAAACAGAAACCAGAAACAAGATTTGAGAATAAGAAAACTTATGTAAAGAGAAAGAAAAACTTTGTAAAAGTAAATAATGAAGAACTTAGAGAGAAAGAAATTTTTTTTGGATGTGGGAATTTTTCTACAGTAATTACAAATATAAAATCATTAGATATAAAAAGAGATTTATGTAAAGAAACGAAATGAGGAGCTAATTGAATAATAAACAATAATAAAATGATGAAACTTTTTGAAGAAAGAAACACTTTGGGTGGACTTTTATTTGTTAGATATTTAAATCTTGTTTTAAACTTTAAAAATTTTCTTTTTTTTGTCTCAAAATTTCAGAACTTTCAGATTCACTTCGACTCGTCAGTAGCTGTTGTGTTTTCTTCAACTTGTTTCTCATTCTCCTGATCTTTCATTGTAAAAGTTACGAGATAACGTTTGTTACTGTCGAGCTTATCGGCTGGCAGTGGAATTGATGTGGCATATTTTCTGTTGTTCGCATGACTAAACTCAAGCGAGACTTTGCTACGATTATTTGTTAGAATCTTCGGTAGATAAAATGTCCCGACACCAGCGGTCGTCTTATATGGACCAAAGCCAAACTTCGGCATTGTATGATGATTCATCATCGGAACTGAATGGGAATGAACATGAACTGAAGGGAAATAAAATTCAACAAACACATAATTCTTGAAAAGCCTTACTGTAAGCGGCACATGGAATCCCAGTATAAGCATGAGTTGCATGTAAACAACGATGAGTCTTTGTTGTGCAGTACAAAGCTTTCTCGTAGCGACTGTAATCAGGACTCAAACGACGTTCCGCCTACAATGGATTACAATTGAATTGAAATATAATTTGCATTGTGATTTTCGTCGCTTTTCCAACAACGTGCATGGGAAGAATTTTTTTTTGGTTTCGGTGATGTGGAAAAAGCTTTTGAAAGATTTTCAATTTTTAAATAAGCAAATGGAGAAGAAGGAAAATTTTTTTTTTCAACTTGAATAAACGCATAAATACCTCTCGATAAACTTCAGAAATGTTCTGAAAATTGAATGTTCCCGGCTTTTGTAAGCTTTTCAAAGTCTCGTACAAGAAGAGTTCAAAATTCTTGAAAGTATATTCACGCATTGGATATTTGTTTAATGTTCCACCCACTTCAAAGCCTAAGTCGTTAACTGATTTATGGTAGTCGTCGACAGCACGCTTTACCAGCACAGCCTCATTCGTCTTACATGAACGTATCTGAAGACTTTTCAACTCCAATAAATGTTGGAATATTTTTCGTTCCATGTAATAACTGAAAAGGAAAAAAAATGCCAAAAGTGAGTTCATTAAAAATGGCGAATATATTCGATCAACTCACCGTCTCATGTTCTTTTGAATTGATTGTGACACGGTCGTCATGTTCACGGCATTTTTATCTCCAGGTTTCCTTCCTCCAACTCGAGTGCTTTGCGGCCGATCATCCGTGACGACAAAAGAACGACGTGCTGGCATTGATGAGCGTAGGCCTGGAATTCTTGAACGTTGTGAACGTGGCGATGGTTCGATGCCAGAATCTTGATCCTTCGATTCATCGAGAACTTTAAAACCTTCGTCATCTGAGAAATTTAGTTGCTTTGCACGCCTCGGCAATTTCTCCAATGATGATGAATCGTCAAAATAAGGCTGTTCACTTTCATCGTCCTCTACATTAACAAACGCTTCATCTTGCGTCATCTCTTCAAACTCTTTCAGCTTTTGATTTGCATCGTCACCGTCTTCCAACACGGTGAAACTTCCAACTGATTCTGGTGTTTGACTTTTAGGCCTTTGAATATTTTCTGGAAGTTCATCTTCAATTGTAGGTGGAACTGGAGATGAAGCCTTGTCAGTGGCAGTGATAACGGTTGGTGTTGATGGTTTTAGTTCCTCGGTGGGTTGTTCAACAGATGCTTCAATGTTAACATCAGCAACTTTGCCATCTTCACTTTTAAAGCTGACTTTCTTACTTCCATCACTTAATAATGTTTGAGCATTACTGGTACCTTCAACTGCGAGATTTTCCTTCTTCACTTCCGATTCAACTGCAGTCAATTCAATTTTTTCCTGTCTATCAACTGTGTATGTAGCATCAGTTAAAGCGCCATCATCGACATCAGTTTGCAGTAAAGTTTCGTGAACTTCTGCTTGTGTTGTTATCTCTTTTCCCATCTTGTCATCTTCACTAACATCTTCTGCTGTTGTTGATGTTGTTGACTTTTTTGATATGTCAATTGATGCTTCATTATTAATCTCTGCTGGCTTATCAATAGACTGAGATTTATCTCGACTGAGCTTCTTTTGTACTGTCGTCAGCTTTGCTGATGGTGGACGTTTTTTACTTGTAGAACTAAGCGATGTCTTTGTCATCTTCTGATCTCCTTTGACTTTAGATGCCGACGAGGTTTTGCTGCTGTCGTTCTTTTTAGCACTTGATGCAATCTCAACTTTCTTTTTCTTTTCTTTCTTACCCTTCTCACCATTCTCTTTATAACATTCCGACGATTCACTTCCTTTCTTGCTGCTGTCTTCTTCCTTACGTTTCTTACTTCCATCTCGTTCTCGAGATTTACTTTTCACTTTCTTATAACAAAGATGTTTGCGTTTGATATGATAACAACATTCATCATCTGAAGAGTCGCTTTGTGAGCTTTCACTGTCTGATGATGATGATGATGAGATTGAATATTGTTTGGATTTACGTCGACGATGAAGTTCAGTGCTGCTTTTTGATCGGTTTATCTCGCAAGGTTCATCAACCCGATGACAAATGAACATTTCACTACAACTGCTTGTTCGTCGCTTGTGTGAACATCTTCGATGCTTTTTTCGTCGATGTTTCTCTTCAATGTCACTGTCAGTGTCAGAGGCTTTTGAACGATGTCGTCCTTTTGTTTCGTAAGAAACTTCGATTTCAGTGAACTTTAATGGTTTGACCTCATCCAATTCAGGCAGTATATTGTGCGTCGTTTTACGTCCTGACAATCGCAACTTATTTGCCGGAAGACCTTCATGTGTCTGAATGAATTTGGCAGTAGAACGGAAACCTTTTTGTAAAGCACAATCTAAAGGAGTCTTCACGACATTCTTTGCATTCCGATAAACAGCATTTACATCAGCTCCCATCTCAATAAGCATTTTACACATGTCAATGTTGTCATTGCCAGCAGCAATATGAAGAATTGTTCGACCATCGTTACTTGATGAATTAATATGATTGAGCTTTTGTTTCAAAAGCCATTCGACGAGTTCAATCCGACCTGAAGCTGCTGCTTCATGAACTGGCAAATCTCCTCGTGCGTTACGCAACCATAAATTCGCTCCACGAGAATTTAATAGCTTAACTGTCTCGAATTGGCCTTTCGCACAACCACAATGACCCGGCGACCTTCCTTTACGATCTTGTCGATTCGGATCAGCACCTAAGTCAAGTAATTTAACTGTTGCATCAGCATGTCCTAATGTCACCGCATAGAACAACGCGGTACATCCATTTGAGTCAATTAAATCTGTTTGAGCGCCGCAAAGCTTAATCAATATTTCAATGCATCGTGTATGTCCACGGGATGCCGCACAATGAAGTGCTGTTAAGCCATCTCTGAAAGAAAATGCAAATGAGTTAAATTTGTTCGTCTAATATGTGAGACTTGAAATTAGATTTATGGAATTTGAAAATGTGAAGCATAGGGAAATGTTGACGTCAATTTCATTACTTGTCGGCACTTTCGGCATAAGCTCCAGCTTTAATTAAAGCTAATATGGCATCTTCCGAGCCAGCACTTGCCGCCCACATCACAGGTTGTCTTCCATCTTTATCTTCGACCTCGACCGATGACTTTGAGTTTTTTAATAGAATATTTAAAATATCAAGTGACAACTTTTTTGATGCCTTGTCACTTTTTCCATCATAGCCACACATTTGTGCCGCATAATGAAGTGGAGTGGCTCCGTTGGTATCCGGAATAGACGCATCCGCTCCGGATGATAATAAAGCACGTAATATTTGCGCTTCTCCACATACTGGAAAAAAATGAGATGAATGTTAATGGATTTTCATCGAAATGAATGAAAAAAGTTTGTCGTAATAAAAAAAAAGAATAACCTGTCGCCCAATGAACCACGGAATGTCCTTCATTATCTAGCGCATTAACATCCACTTTATTGGCTAATAAAAGATTTACAGTTTCCAAACTTCCTTGAATCACCGCTAAATGGATCGGTTTAAAGCCGTCTTCGTCAGCTTGTTCCATAAGATGAGGCGCAGTCATGGCAATTATTGCTGCTGGCAGTAAACTTCTTTGTCCGGTACAGTAATGTAATGTATTTTTATTACTCTTATCACGTTTCAAAATTGAGTTGGTCTAGGGAATGAACGGTGAAAGAAAGAAAGAAAGAAAAAGGAATAAATTTATATATTTGTTTTATTATATTTTTGTTGAAGATAAGTAAGGAAAACAAGGATCAGCCTAAGCGAAAGAATGCGAAAGTCGGCGAGTACCTCGATAGATAAAGCTTGAGGAAAATTTCTCCTTTTAACTCGAGGAATAATAAAATAAAATTAGTATTTCTAGATCATCTTGAAAACAATGCAGACTTAGTGAAAGAGGCAAACAAACAAATAAATAAATGTGAACGGTTGAGAGTTTCAGAAGCTAAGCAACTCGTTGTTCGTCTTGACAACACATGTTACGAAACTTGGTAACCGAGAAGAAAAAGAAGGAAGCTCAGTTCGGTTGTTTACTTGACTGTTTTTGTTTGTTCAACCCAAACAAAATGTAAATTCAACTACGTTCGGTCACTGATAAGAATAAGCGGCTCTCTCAAAGGCTTTTCCACATCGACAACAAAAAAGATGTCGAATTAGAATGAATAAGATATTTAGAAATATCCAAAGACATGTAAATTGTGCCATTCTGCTGCTCATCATCAACTCAAAGTGTCTTAAATACAAATTCGCGTCTTTTATCTCATCACAGCGTTGATTGACAAGAAATTTCAAGACAAATTTTGTTTTTCATTTGTATTTTAAGAACATGAAGTGACGTCAATCAAATTTAATAGAAAACGAGAACTTTTCACAAATTCAATTTAAATAATAATTGAGAGAAACTTTATCTTTCATAGTTAGCGACACATTTTGTCTTTGCAAGTTTAATTTTCAAATTGTAAAACTTAACAGCTTGTTTTGAGTGAGAAACTGGCAAAGATTTTCTTTTTTTGTAGATTCGTTCATGAAAGTGTTGAAATGACTCAATCTTGGCACACTAAAATAATCTCGAGAATGAAAGGGAAGAAGGTTGAAGAGTGGAGATTGATGACTTGGTTCAGTTTCTTCCTTTCTTATCATCCGTTCCAGTTTTCTTATCATCCGCCATTAAACTACATAATTTTATGATTTAATGCTTTTATTTTTAGCTTTTAAAAGCACTCGGTAAGTGTTGAACATCAAAAATAAACATTTGAAGGTCGTTGAAGTTAGATTTTTAATCTTTGATAACATTCACGAACAATGAATGATAATTTACCATCTCAAAGAGTTGCTTGCACATGCAGCCATCCCAAACGAACATAAGCAACCATACAAACAACCCGTGGTGTTTTGATTGCTGGATAACAACTCGCCTTGTGAAGCTGACGTTATCGTTAACAGGTCATCTTGAACCTTTTGCTTATAAAATACTTAAATATGGACTTTTGCATGTCAGGGCATAATTTTTTCAAATTTATTTTCAACATCAAACGTACCCGAAGCTTTTGAAAGGATCGCTTTTGAAAGTTGAATGGGCAAAAGGCAAAAGGTGTCAGACGAGATGAAAATGAAACAGGTAGGAGGAATGAATGACAAGGGAAAGACTTCATGAGTCTGTCAACTTTGCAAAGGACGCGAAAATTCAATCAATGGAAGGAGAACAAAAGAACCACTTGATGACCTTCACTTCGTCTTGTTACGACTCTTTGACAAGCACCTCACAAAAAAAATAATAATAATAAAAATCCCTGAGCGCATTATTCGTTAATTACAGTTTTTCATGCTCCGAGATTCTTTTTCATTTCCCTCTTAATTTTTATGCCTTCGCCAATGGTAAAAGGAAATTGCGCCAGGTTAAATTAGCCTATATAAATTGACGCCTAAAACGAGGGTGAAAAAGAAGTTAAAAATATTAAAAAATGAAAGTTTGCTTCATCTCGAAGCTTCTTGAAACACGAAGCGCATAAGCATTAATTTATGTTGTTGGTGTTGTTGTCGTTACTGCAGCACCTTCATTCAATCTTTAACAATTTCTTCAGCAATCCATCACCATGACCTATTTTTTGAGTTGAAAAATTGTACATACAAACATTTGAAGTTTATGGAGGCGTATAATTGACAGATAAATATTTGCACGGGAAAATGCTTGGGAAGAGTTTTCCTCAAGTGGCTGTTGTGAAGGCGGATTAAATACATGTTTGATGTTTTACCTGCAAGCGAACCTCCTTTACAATTGTGTCTGTTAATCCCTGTTGACAAGCATACATGAGCTTTGTACAGCCACCTTTTAGTCGATTTCTATCTTTACATCGCTTTATATTTGTTTGCGTCATGCCATTCAAAGGCGCCAATTTTATTTGTACCTTTTGACTTAAATCCATATCGATTCTTAATCAGCATTTTACAAATTAAGTTAAATTTCTTCTACGCTTGTTCGGTTCAATTTGATTAATTTATAGTCTCGTTTGTTAAACTTATTTATTTATTTTACTGTTTCTTTGATGTTACATTGCGTGATTATTAAATGGCACGTCAATCATGATTGGAAAGCCTGGAAAATACGAACAGAAATTGCTTCGCCTTAACCCATTTAAATATCTTTCTAAATGAATTTCCAATCAATATCTTCGTCTTTTCTCTTCTTCTTAACATCGAAGCATCGGCACTCACATTGCACTTCTTATAGAATGTGTAAATAGCTCATAAATAAATTACTCATGCAAGAAAATGCAAATGGAAAAAGTTTCTCGTTTCAACGTCGGCGCCCCTAAAACAATTTTCTTGAAAATTTCTCATATTTTTTTTCTTTCTTTTGCTTCTTCTCTTGTGTTTTTATTCAATGAAGCTTTTTATTGCTTTAAACTTTATCCCTGTTACCACCCAATGATACAACAACAGACATTGAATGGGAGAAATTTCAATTAGGCAGGAATTAAGCATGAATTCCCTGAGCTTTTCCCTTCATTCTTATTCAACATTTGTTGAAGCTTTCTATAAACTTTTCTTCAACACTATTTGCCAGACAAGAGATTTTCTATTTTGTGTAAAACTTGATAATTTATTTCTAAAAATTTTCTTCTTGATGCTCGTTTTGTTGTTGCTTGATGAGTTGCTCGAGTCAGTAAAATTACTTTTTTTAATTCACTTTTGCAACTGACAAGTTTAACTTCTTCTTCGTCGTTTTGTTTTGAGTATAAACAAATCCAACGAGCTGTAGTTAAATTCAATTATCATTTTCTTCACCGACTTAAGGTCAAGAGAAGGAAAGTTTCGAAACTATTTTTTTTCTTCGTTTTGTTGTTTTAGTCCTTAGCTTTGGCTTTTCTAATGCACAACGAAGCGAGAAGTAAAATTCCGTTGTACACTCTCGAAATGTACTCAATTAATACCAATGGCAATGAGTTGATAGAATGTGTAAGTGAATTACTATGGTTACATTCCTCTGCCATAACAAGAATAAACTAAAACTTTATTGTGGTATTTTCACACATTATCAAACAACACCTCAGGTTTCAGGTTTGGCGAAATTGTTGTTTGTACCCTTTCAGATAGCTCGACAAGAAACAAAATTTTCACTTTAATGAAACTTTCAAACTATTCGGTTAGTTGGTGTGATACTAAATTTACTTTCTGTCTCACTATCAGATGCAACTTGGCCGATGAAAATTTATAAAAGGAAAATTGAAATTTGAATTTTCCTGTCTGTCAGTTCTAGTGAATGAAATTTTAGCTTTTAAAGAGTCATAAAAGCTTTTTTAAGAAACACTAAAGGCAAAGTTTTGTTCTAAAGAAATTTAATTAGATTAAATGAAATGTGACGACAAGAGAAAGATGAAGAGATTTTCCAGAATTTCATCATGTTAGTGACCACACTGATGTAACAAAAAAAACATTAATTACAGCACTTTAATTGAAATTCTTCCACATTTAATTGCAATATAACAACATTAATATTATCACAACAAGTTTTGATATTAATTACAATTAAACAACAGCAAACGTACTCGCTTCGCTCATTTTCGAGCGATTACTAAGTAAGACTCTTTGCACCCACATCGACGTCCGTGGCAAAGAATTTATTTCACCTAAGAATGAATGAATGGAGAACAAGTAGAAATAGGAAAAGTTTTCGTATGTATTTGGAAGAATGAAAGGCATAAAATTTGTGTTATAGCCTACATAAAACCGCTTCGATTGATTACATGAAAACATATCAAACACTATGAACAAGTGTACATAAAAGTAACATTACTAGGCCATCGTGGAAACTGTTTCAAGTTCTAAACATAAGCGTAAATGTTTGATGAACTGTCTAGCTATGAAAAGCCTTAAAGTATGTCAGCATTGCGTAACATAAAAAAGTTTTCTTTCTTTCTTTTTAATTTCATGTAAAGCTTTCGACAATTGACGAGAGAGTTGAGATTTCCGTTCCACAGGAAGCAAAATCAACAAACAATGCTCTGTAATATAATTTACTATTTCTATACATAAATATCATCTGATATAAATATTCAGTAAATGAGAAATGAATATTCTGTTAACGTACCATAAATCTTCATGTGACTGGCTTTGGACAGGGCTTAGGTTGCAGCTACAGATGAAGGGGATTTGCATAACTTAAACATGCATCAGCATTCTCCCTCTGATCTCGTTTATTGCAACATCACATTACAGAATGAAAAACTATTTTTTTGTCTCCATTTACGACCGTAAACAGTGAATTTTTCTGCATATATTTTTGATGTCAGATGGAATATGAAACGTGTATGTTTATGTCATGAGATGGCTAGTGAATGTGTTCGTTAGCTAGAACGGATATTTAGCCAAGGATTTCGACATCGTGGTGATTTTCATTTGTATCACGAACATTTTTCGGTGAAGCTTATAAACGATGCCCAAGTTTTAGCCTTCGCGGATTTCTACAAACAACAACATTTTATAAATGACGTTATGCTTCGTGAAACAATTTGCTTTTCTATCGCTATCGAGAACAGCTTTAGGCGTAAGGTTAACATCGACAAGAATTTCACGAAAGCATAATAACAAGGGAATGAAAAAAGCGGGAGAGATGAAAGCGTTTCGATAGAATAATAATTTAATCGAAGAAAATTTTCAAGGACGCAGCATATTTCATTATTTCGTTTCGGTAACTTTCCAACATTAATTATGGTTATCATTAAAATAAATGGATTCATGAAAAGAGAAAAGAATTTGAGATTTTTCACTTGATTAGACAATTAACCTTGACATCGTTGAGTTGTGAAGTAAATTTGCCTTAAAGAAAACTAAACTAAATTGTTTATTGTTTAATAACTAAAGGTTTACAATGCAGCTAAGGTTAAAGCGGATATTTCACGTAATTAATGTGATTTCAACGCAAAGTTTAGGAGAATTTTCGTTTTATTTGTTAAGCTACTTTAATGTTGGCCCTCGATTTTGAAGCTTAAAATAATTTTGGTAAGGCTTTTGAATCTCCAAATCTTTAAGCCGCTTATTATATTCACAAAATCTGGAAAAGAAAATAAATAAGGAACAATGTTTGCATTAAATTTCAACAGAATTCTCAGAAACGCTAAAGGGCATTTAGAAATTAAGCGATTATCCTCAACTATCTACATTCGTCCTCATTAATTTTCACTTTCTTTAAATTAAACGTAAACTAATTAGGCACTGAAATAATTCATGAAATTCTCTCAAATTAGACAAAATGGCATCAATTGCATTGGCATACATTTTAGAATTTTACATTAAACCTGAAGATAATTTTGTTGCTTTTAAAATAATTTTGATGAAATGGGACTGAAACAAGTTGAAGACCTAGCAGCGAGGTGTGTTTTGATTCATTGAACTTTGGACATTTACGTCAATTCGTGCTAAACAAAAGATTATAAGTAGCAAAACTCCCAACCCTGACCTCACTTATTCCCAACCCTGACTTCATAGCATCAAACTGAATCACAAAAATCTTAATTTAAGTAGATATTTAGACACAAACATTTTATTCCTTTTTTCAGACAATCCCATTAATGTCATGTAACTTTTTTCTGTTATTCTCTCACTTTCTATCCAAGAAAGTGTTTGAAAACTCCGCATGGATTCATGTATGTTAAATTACTTTTCCAGGAAATGTTCTGTAGTCACATTGTAGAGAGAATCGTGTCAAGTTTAATTTGATTTGAAATCATTAATAGAAGAATAGAAAACCAACAAAACAAGAGAACAAATAGTGGAAACTGAATAAACTTTTACCAGTTAGTTAGTTACAGGAAAGGAATTTAAAAATTAACATCAGTTGGGAGAAAACAACACAGAAAAAAAAAAGTTTTGCAGTTTTTCCTTAATGATTACAATATTCCGAGTTTCTCTTGGAAAACGACGAAGTAATGAAGCATCCTTGTGTCAGCAAACTCAGCTCCTTTTTTATGGTTATCATTATCATTCTGACACCCTTTGAAAAAAAAATGTTTTCTTTTGATTAACCACACCGAAAGTAATATCATTTTTATTAATAAAGGTCACGGGAAAAAGGGAGCTTACAGAAAAAGCACTTAGCAAGCATTAAGCTCAAACACATCCGGAGGCCATGTCGAAATTTGAACTTCCACTTGTTCGGTTTTGAAATTCAATTTCCTTAAGAGAGAAAATATAAATAAAAAAGGAAAGAAAGGAAAAATTGGGGAAGTCAGAGCAGTTGTAAGCTATTTCCATTTCAGCATATTTTATTCAAATTTGTGACATGCTCATGTGTATGAAGATTATTGTACGAAATTAAGGCATAAAGTGTCTATAAATATTTCAGAAAAGAATTCTTTGTCTCCCCTAAGCTTGCATTTTACCGACACTGACATCGAAGCGAAAGGGAAAGCGCCTGACGGAACTTCCGACAAGATTTCTGTCTTCAATGACGACATTTCTATTCCTTACTTTCCATCTGTCGCACAGTAAACGGAAAGAGAAAAAGAAAATCAGAAAGAAAAATATGATTTTCGCGTGACAATAGATTTCTCAGTTAATTTTATTTTTTGTCGTCAAGGGACGGAGGAGAAAAGATTCTCAAGCATGTCACTTGAAAAGCGAGTGAAAAAGATACGCAAAACATGTATGCTTTTAAGCTTTTTCTGCTTTTCCACCTTCTACAGTGTGGCATTGAATTTATGCCAAGTGCTCTTTTATTACATTTTATCGTTTAAAAGATTTTTTCAATTTTTTTCCACCCACCACTTCGTTTTCTTCTTCTTACTTTGCTTTCCAAAGCAGGTTTTCAATGTATGGAAAAGCTTTTCTCGCCCTCAATGCTTCCAAGTCTCGGTATTGACTCTGAATTTTGAAAATCGAGAGGTAGCGTGGAAGTGGAGAAAACAGATGGAAAATGCTGAAAAGCACTTGAAAATGTACGCTTTGCTTATTGATTGCTTAATAAACCTTGCATTATGCTCCACATATTAAAAAAAAATTCTTCAGCAATTTTTTCCTCTCGTTTTATTAAAAACTTTAAAGAAGGGGAGAAGAAAAAAAAGTTGCAGGCATTTTGTTAAGTAAAAACAGAAATAATCATTTGAATATCCGGAAATGGATTTGTGATTTAACCATGAATATTTTTCTTTTCGATAAAATTTCATATTCCATTCATATGGATTTACATTTTACCTCTCGGTTTTGGCTTTTAGAAGGTTTAATTGAAACGTTTTATTGCATATAATTTAATTTGAGAAATGGGATTGCGATGGGAAAAGAATACGATCAGGAACTAAGAGGCTATTTATCAAAAGCAGAATGTGTTTAAAAGCTTTTATGAGTGATGAAGGTTGACTAGGTAGGTAGATGAGGTTATACGCATTCAATTATAAAAGTTTTAAAAAGTCAACAATGATAATAGCGACAAGATTTTATCACGAAATTTATGTCGGTGAAGTTCAAATTTCTTCCTTTTTAAACGATAAAAACAAGAAGAATGAAAGTTAATAATAAAAGAAATCTCAAATCCTTGAAAATTTAAGAAATTACTTTCATGATAGTCAACCACAAGACGCTTTTCCTTCATCTATTTTCTCGCTCATACAGAAATATGAGAAATTATGAGGTTTTTCAACAAAAACACATTTTTCATTTCTCCTTCTCTTTCATTTTAAAATCATTTATCAAAGAGGGAAATAAAAATGAATATTTTTATGCCTTCCGTTGTTCTTTTCACGATTGTGAACTTGAGATGGAAATTATGGGTAACTGAAATTCTAAAGCTTTTAAGTAAATGTCAAGTAGGTATCATGTTTATGAATCAAAGGTCAATTAAATTCAATCTTTTCTTGTTCCATTTCATATTTTTTATCATAATTTCCATGATTTAGAGGAAAAACCTTTATAAAAGATCTTTCCATGCCCGAATGTATATCTGTGAAGAGAGAGAAATGATTTTTCTTCGTTTGCTATGCATAAACAAACTGAAATTGAAATGTTTACTGTCATTGTGCTGAATGAGAATTTATTTCTCGTCTTTCCATTTCAATGCTGATTTCTTTTGTTGGCCAAAGACGCAAAGCTTATCTGGATAGCCAGAGGTCAAGTTCGTTATGTAAACTTATTCAATGAAATGTGAAAAGTATGTATGATTGTTTCGACCTTTCTTCTTCCTCCTCGACTGACCGCCTTAAGCTAAATTCTCATAAATTATTCTAAAGAAGAACTCAACTCCGGTTGTAAAAATTCGAAACACATTTTGTTGTTGAGTTTTATGACTATTATGGAACCTTGTCAAAAGCTGTGGTTCATAAAAAAAGGCTTTTCTTCTCTACCAAATGATCTAATGGAATATTCATGACGATTTCCACACCAATTCTCAATCCATCGTCTTAAGTATTCTCTTCAACATTCAACAGTAATTATGAAAATGATGTTGTTGAGTGTTCAAGTGAACGATATGAAAGATAAGAAGCAATGAGAACTTTTTTACGTTCTTCTCGTTGATTGATAACAATTTTTTAAAAAGTAAATAAAATATTTACATCAGAAACATTTCAAGAATGTAAATTCTTCTTTTACCGCAACACAGTTTAAACTTCAAGTGAATGTCAGAGGAGTTTCAGAAGTGAACTGAAACTTTATAAAATTCAATGTTTTTCATCTCTTATCGCGAGACTGTGACAAAAGATGTGGGAAAAAGAAAAAGAAGTCAAGTGAAAGTTTTAATGATAAAAACTGTGACGATTTAATTTAAAACCCAACTCAACTCTAAAGCCAAAGTTGGATGGAATGAAAAAGAAAATTTCTTCCTTACAACATAATTTTATGCATTCTGTCAACAAGTTACAAACCAATTTGTGCCTTTAATTAATTAATGGAAATTAAAGAGTTTTCGTTTATTTCCATAACATTTTCTACCGTTGAACTTCAACCATGAATATTAAAACATTCAAAATGGTTGGATATAAATACATGAAAAGCTTTCGACAAAACCATCAAAATAATCCTTCGTTGATTAATGCAAATGAAAACCCTTTTTCGAAATGTGTCTTAAGCTGTGATAACAATTTGAGTTGATTCGAGTTTCTTCGAAATCTTAAAAAGTGTTTTCAATCATGAGAAATGTTAAAGAATTTTCCAATTAAATTCAATTGAAAATTTACTTTTCATTCCTCAATGCTAATTGAATGTTGACATAATTTTTCAAGTGTAACAAAAGTTTTCTCCCGTCGTCTCTTCAATTTTAACTTTTAAATGAATGAATGAATGATTTTTCCGTTCCCCTTAGAGAGTTTGAAGTTCGCTCACTTCTTTTGTCGAAAGCGCCTTCTTGATAGAAGCAAATTTTCCACTCATAAGCACACGCACACCCACCCACCCCCGCACAGCAAACCTTGACTTGTCTTCGATTATCTGATTGATACAATGTGAATACTTATGCATATATTTTACGGCATCTGCTATTCACCTTCCCTCTTGCCTCTATCCATCTGTCAGGGGCTCGATTTTTTTTCCTTCTCTTATTGACTCACTCAATCATTCAACAGACATTTGAATACACATATATTGAGCTCACATTACTCACATGAATAGAGAAAGCTATTTTTCCGTTTTTCTTATTTTTGCACCCTTCTTCCGTATTTCTTTTTTATAATTTCTTTTCTATCTTTTCATTTGAAAACACAAATTTGACTGTAAACTTGTAACAAATCCTTTTTCTATTCTTTCAGACCTAAGCAAATATTTACGGTAAAAATTGAAGGGTTGTTAGCACTCAGAGAGATTAAAACCAACTAACTGACCACCGCATGCACGGACTAAAGGAAATCACTGCTGTTTCTTTTATTTTATTATTGTAAGCTAAAGAAAATACTTTTGCAAAGGACACGAGCCAAAAGAAAGTAAAAAAGGTTGATCGGGTTTGAAGTAGTAGTGAGTTAATAATGTATACAAAGATTGACGATATGAGGTCAAGAACAGCGACGAGTGAATGTTAGAACCGCGTTGGACTGGAAATTCCACTGTTTCATTAATAAGTGTGTAGGTATAAACGGTTTGTAATGTGGCAGAAAGAAATGAAATAAAGAAGAAGGAAAATTGAATTTTCATAGAGTATTTTAATCTAGAATTACTCGAAATTTAATGTAAGATGTGATGATAATCATTTGATCTAATTAATCATCTCAAAGTGTTCTTAATAAGAGATAAAATCTAAAGGAATAAACTCTATCACTTTGTTAATTGCATAGCTTTAAGGAGCTTAAAAAGCTTTTAAACTTTAATCCAAATTCTCAAGTACGCTAATAACCCATAAAATATAAAAAGTAAAAGAAATTTTCTTTCTTTCTTCATAAAAGTAATAAAAGTTCAGGCAAAAATAAAAAGAAAAGCATTTTAACCATTAATTTGTTGTTTATTTGTATAAGTAAAGTTCTCCAGTGAAAGTCGTTCAATGCCTATCGCTTGAAGCCATTAAAATATCGTTTGTAGGAATTTTATTTACCTTTGACATAACTTGACTTGTGATATGAGACCAATATCCGAAAGAAAATATAAAAGATTTGTACACGAAAATTATTAACGATAATCTGTGTAAAACCCAGTAATCAACGTTGCCAACTCAAGGTTTTGCTTTTAAAGAAAAAAACATGCTAAGAACTTTCATGATCAATGAGTTTATGTCGTCAAATATCAATCATCAAAAGAGAAATTCCAAAAGCTGTAATTACTTCCCGTAAGTATAACCACAAAGCAACAAATAAATTGCATACAAAAAAGCTTTTAACTACCACAAAGAAGAAACGAAAAAATGAAACTCAACTCAAAAATAATTGGGAAAGTCCTTGAATCAACGAGTTTCGTCTTTTCTCTTCCTTCTCTTTCACTTTCATTTCGTCTTTGATGTGTGTGACTTTAACTTCCGAATAAATTTGTCATCCACGTGTACGTACAACATAAAGGAAGGAAAATCACCTCCAGCTGATTTCCGTTTTCGATGATGGTTTGCAAGGGCAATTTTTTGCCGGCCCTGTCACGCTTTCAATCCACGGCACGTCGACACGCTCGTAACTTTTGACCTCGGGAAAAATACGGAGAAGAAATTAATTACAAAGTTTAATTTCATTAATTAGCCAATTCGCTTCTACCCGCCAATGTTTTATGGTTTTTTTAAATGGAAAATTTTTGTTTTCTTTCTTCTCTTGTCCTTTGGCTTTCATGTTCTCGTTATGAATTAATCTCTTAATTCATTAAGTACTTAGACAATAATTGATATAAACAAACGAAACACGTTTTCGAAGAGAGAAAAATTATGAACAATCGCATAACAAGCGTGCAAATCACTTGAGAATGCTTTCATTCTATTGACACTCGCTTTTGCAGATCAATAAACATTTTCAAGAGGAATGAAGAAGATTACATTTGTTAATTCTCTTTCTGCCGACTATGCACGGAGCAGGATTTACGCGTAATTTATTTTATCGACATCAATAAAAGAATATTCAGCTGGTTTCAATGCTTTCGGGGGCTCGAGGGTGCCACATAAAATTATGCGATGTTGGTCGGAAATTGTTTCTCTTAATTTTGATTTTACACAAGATTTCTTCTTACAAGACTCTTCGCTGTTCTAAATAGATAAATTCAAAGAAAAGTCTTCTTCTTCGTTGTTTCAGATAATTTCAATTGAATAAATTTGTTTTAGATAAAAGTCTCTTGACTTAATATTAATACACAGCAGCTGAAGAGCTCTTGTTAGTGGATTTTGAATGAGAGCTGTAAGGAAGATTTAACGAGTATTTTATAAACCATTGAATAATGCGCATAAAATTCATGCGTAGGTGTATGAAATCATTTAGTTTAATGTAAGATTTTTTTATGTACTTACGATAACTTTGAGTTTATAAAACAAAAACTTTATGAAAAAAAGAGAAAAAAGTTTTCATGATGATATAAAAGTCTGGAAATGAACTTTGTTCAATCATAAGCTTTCTGTTTTTATTATTCATTGAGCTTTCGAGGAAACAACGCTTTGCCATTAAATTCCACTTATTTTTCGCTTTGCTGCTCTTATTCTTATGAAGTTTCTAAGAAGATTTGGCTCAAAGATGTATTTATAAATCTTTTGAAGCTTTTTGTCGCTTCCTTGGCCACTTCACTTATCGCGAACTTTCCTTTATGTTTCTAGCATTTTTTCTCTTTTTTCTTCTAGATGAAAAAGTGTTTCATCTTGAGTGAAAATTTGATATCAAACGCCAACAACGATCAAAAAGGAAAACTGTCCAAATGGGTCGCCTTCATTTGTATTCAAATTCTTGAGATTAATGTTCCGAACGACATGTTATGAATAAATTTTCATCTTTTTGCCTTCTCGTTCTCTCGGATGTGTCGTCATTTAATTAAATTCATTTAAAAAGTTATGAAGCGTGAACTTTTCTACTGTCTGGAAGAGTCCAAAAGACAACATTCGACCTGCTTGGCTCACACCCACTCGAAACAAAAATTGTGAAACATGAAAAACTGTCATGACGTGAGACAAGACGCAACGTAAAATTCTTCCGTAAAAGCACGTAGATGAAGTGAAGACTTCACGAGATAAATGTTGATTTTGATTCGGGACAAGAAGGAAATCAAATTAAGAAAGTTGACGTTGTTCAGCGAGTTTGTTAATAAGCAAAAGAAAGAGAAACCTTCACACACCGTTGCTAATTTTCTTAAATGCTTCATTTGATGGGGAGAGGAAAGACGATTTTCCTAGTTCGTGATGAGATATTTCTGATTACAAGAGATTTTGTGGAAATATAAGGAAGAATGCTTTAATACAGTGAAAGTTTCTTTTTCTTCTTCATTCAATTCTTACTTCAGTAATTTCATTTATAAACATGGATGTTCATTAAATCATTTTTCTCAAGTTACATCTTTGATCAAAGCAGGGATGGCGAATAATTTGCAAATATAAATTGAATTTCTCAATCATCATTTACATTTTTTTTCTTAATGAAAATTGGAGCCTTTATAAAGGAAATCTTTAAAGCACCTTGAACAGAAATCTGATTGATGAATGTGAACTGCGTTCAGGTTTTAGGAAAAAGGAATTTTCTCCTTTCATGTAACTCTTGCCACCCACCTAGGAAGAAAGAAATGTAAAAGAAAAACAGAAAATTGATGAAACCGTCATGTGGCGTTTCTCCCTCAACAAACGCTCAAAGTGATTTGTGACTTTCAATTTCTTTTCTCGTGAATTGATCGCAATTTATGACATCCGAAACCTGTTGTAGCGACTTCTCTAAATTGATTTTTTTCCTCTTGTTTCTTCTTAACTTTAAGCGCAATCCACCAGACCTTGTCGCCTAAATTCAAATTGAATCATGTCAAGTCTCTGCCATGTCAGATGTTATCTCCAAAGTCAATGGAATGAATTGAAATGACAATCACAAAAGCCTGGAAGTTTGTTTTTGTATAACCTTCTCGCATATGTAAGTGACATGTAATTTTCTTTGGCAAGTCTTAATATTTATTTCGTAAAAGTATGTTTGTGTAGATACTTAAGTATTATGACGTTAAACAAGAAATTTAGCTGCCAGTAGCATCGCAAGTTGCGAGTTAAGGTGCAACCTCAAAACTCGAAGTTAATGAGAAAAGTTGAAAAGTGTCAAACCAAAGTTTTGTAACAAGAAGAATTCTCAAATACAAAGCAAGAAGAAAGAAGGTTTTTTGATATAATTACTCGATTACAAGAAGTTAAAAAGTCATAAGTAAATGTACTGGAAGAATTTAATTGAAGCTTCTAAGTTTTCTGAAATTTCTTAAACATAGTTTCATCATTGATTTCGTTCTAATGACTGAAGTAATGAAGAGAAAAACTTTTCCAATCTTCTTCTTTCGAAAGTTAAGTCGAGGGTATAAAAAAACATTTTTAAGTCGAATCATCGAATCGATAAAATTAAAATTAAAACCAAGATTTGTTTTCAGATAAATTTGGGTGATTGAAATTTTCTATCTGCTTTCATCAGATTCTGATGTAATTTCAAACTTAAATCTTACTTGAGTTGAATTCAGGGATTTCAACTGAAACGTTGAGAAAATAGTTGGAAAACTCAATTAGTTCCAGTCCCTGTTTTAAATGAAGTTTAAATGTTGTTTCTGAGATCCTTTCTCAGATCTACCTAGTAGATATTTAATTTATTAATCTTTAAAGTGGATGTGCTAGTCTTGAAAGTTTTCCTTCATATCAACGTAATTTATCATCGTCGTCTTACAGGAAAATTGTTCACCTTCTCATCTGTAAAGGACTCAAAAGTTACGAACCATAAATCGATATACTCAAGTGAAGCTCTCATCTGTAAAGATTATCAACTGCAGAAAGAGATGAAGCATTGTTTATGTGAAATAATTTGCATGCTTCATTAAGGCTTCCATGAGTTACTGACGAAGCTATTGGGGATGAAGTAAAAACGAACCTAAAACGAAAGGGGCGTTCAGAAGAAATTGTTTTCAATCAATAAACATCACAAAGAAATAAGTCGAGCAGAGTTTTCATACCAACTCTCTAATTAACACTAACTACAGCTCTCATCCGTAAACTGTGCGATGGTATTTCAAAACGAACATCAAGCGAGGGTGTCAGAGCAGAGAGATAAAAGACATCAACAATTAAGCGCTGGTTTCATCGAACAGAATAAAGTGAAGCGATAGATAAAAGTTTTTTTTTTCTCCTTCATCATTTCACTCTTCATTCTTCTTTTCATCAACAACAAAAAAAAAGGGTTGAAGAGAATTTTTATAGCACTATATTTCAACCGCCTTTGGCCATTGAATCTCTCCTTTTTTTCTTCCCAGTTTTCTTCAGCACTTCGCTTTATGTTGGTGCATGCAACTGCCACAATCAGAATAAAAATTAAAAAAAATTTCTTCTGTTATTGTCAAGTTTTTGTGCTTTTCTTTTTACCGGAATAAAGTCAACGCTAACAAACTCATGCCACTTCCAAATGATGAGGTGTTGAAGGGTACAGTTGATAAGATTACCGAGGAAGGGTTAAAATGTACAAATTGCTGCTGGATTTTTATTCCTTTTTTTTAGTGATATAAAAATCATGCAGCCTATTCGCACAGCTATAAATTTTGTAGAATAGTTTTTTTTAATAAAAGCTTGGGAGGAAGTGGAATGAAATGCATTTTCAATAACCAACAACTGTCATTTGTAGGCTTTCGATATAACATTCGATGTTTCTGTCTGCACTCAATGAGTTTCATTTCTATAAAATTTATTCCTCACAAAGAATATTGATAGGGCAATTATTCTCTGCGTAACTTTCAAATTGATATTAATTACCCCGAAGCGATGTAAATATTTATTAAAAATCCATTTCTCATAGTCGGAAGGGATGCTTGATAATAAGTTTTAAAGCACAACATTATGAATTTATTGTGAAAGTCTCACTGAAAGGAAAGAAAAAAAAAGAATTGTTGAAAATTCGATCGAACAAGGGATCACAATCAAATGCAAAGTTTAAATTTTATAATGAGAATACTTTTGTAACATGATTTTGAGCATCAATAACGTCTTCATTTAATATGTTGAACTTTGAAGCGTTCTTCGAAAAATGATATAGATACGAGATAATTAAAAGTAGAAAGCTTTGTTATTAATGGAAAACATTGCTTTTTGTTGTAAACATGAAAGACTGATGAAAATATCTCGAACATTTTATGTGTAACGTTTAACGGCATTATAAATTTCAAATAAGTAGCGCCATCTTAATGAAGCAAGTGATACTAATTTTGAACTTCATGACGTATTCAGACATTTGAACTTAAAATCATAAATTTCTCTAACGAGTTTGAAAAAATCTTTTAATTACACTTTTAGTGTTTATTCTGAGAACAACTTGTTAGATATTAGTGCTGTAGTAATTAAAATATTTTAATTCCTTAACGTAATGTTCAAAAGTCTTATTAAAATCTAACATCTTCTTTTATTAAATACTTTCACTACATAAATATCGCAAGTAAATATTTTCTATGCAACACATGTACATATGTGATTATCCATTAATGATTTCGCTTATGATCATTTTTAATACTTTGTCGATAAGTGGACTTTTTTATTGTCGAACAACAACGCACATATTAGAAAGAGTGCAATTAAAAATGACTTTTTTTATGGCGTTTGTAATTATTTTTAATGATAATAAAATGGAATAAAAGTATCGAAGTTAATGTTCAAATCCATATTTCATCACTATGCGGAATTTTATCGTCTTGATTTAATCTTTCTTGTACTTATTTGAGACCATTACTAATATCTTGCTGAATGATTTTATAAGTAGCTTAAAAAGTGTAACGACAACCATAAGAATGAGTGTGAAAGTGATAATGACAGATAAGAAAATATCATAATAATGGTACTGATAAAAAGGAATTTCTTTCTGTGGATATCGCAAATGTTTGGCGCCTTTATTCCGTATCACATATTCAATATACCATAAAGCTTTTTCGGGAGACTTCACAGGAACATCTTCGACGAGTTTTGCTAGTTTCTCAACGTTAATCTTTAAACTTGATATTCAAAAGATGTAAATTGAGTCAACACGGATTGCCTTTAATGGAGAGTAATTAATCACTTTCTCACCTTTCATCGACGATAACTTCGTTTATAGCGTGCTTAATTTCATCCGAATCCAATGAATTCAGAATATTTAATTGTCTTGCGATCTTTCTTTCAACTATTCGCTCGGCATTAGCAAACTGATCACCTTGGAATGGACAAACAATCATCGGGACTCGTCGCAGTATTGCTTCTTCGATTGAATGTTGACCCTATTAAGAAATTAATTTAATTTTCTTATCAATGTTTTAAATCAATAAACTGACTCCATGAGTTATGAACAGTTTAACATTTGGATGTGCCAATAAATCTGATTGCGGAAACCATTTCCTTATGTGAACATTTGATGGCGTTGAACTTAAGTTTTCCTTCTCAAATTTCCATAAAACATCGTAAGGCAAACCATCAAATGCTCTCAGAAATGTCTCAAAAAATCTTTCTGCCATTCTTGATGTCATAGCAGTTCCAAAACTTATATAAATGACTCCATGCTTTGATTTGTCTAGAATATCTTTGAGATCATTTGGAAGTGGTTTCGGTGGTTTTACATGAAGGAATCCTAATTGAATTGTGTTAGGAAGAATCGGTCGAATGAAGCCTAAAGCAGGATGTGCGTTGACCAGCAACAAATCAACATTACTTATTAACTCCGTGTAGGGTTTGTTGACATTTGGAAAATTCTTTTTCACGACATCGTCAAATTCTTCCGAAAGCTGTAAAGTCACAAAATATCGGAGAAAAATATTTAAAAAACAACTTTTGAGTCGTTGCAGAAATGTTCTTGCAAATGTGAATTTAGCCATTCGATCTGGATGTGAGATTAGATTAGCTTCATTTCCCATCACTTCGTGGTGGATTGAAAATGCGTCAGACGAAGTTATTCCAACAACTGGAATATTGAAATACTCTGCAAAGGCATGGAGCGGACTCGCACCGCAAATCTCCAAGATCAATAAATCAAATTTTAAAGTTTTACTTCCCAACAAATTTTGAATTTCTTGTGAACTTATTTGTTTAGTTATCATAGACACTTCCATGTCTTTCATTTTACTTGCAGCTTCTTGAATTGAAAGTTTTTCTGTTTGGAAAACTTCGAGAGCTTCTCGAAAAATTTTAATTGTGTATGAGACGTCTATGAGTGTAACATTCTTGTGATTTCTTTCACCTTCTGTAGGATGAGTAGAGAGTAAAGTGATCGAATGACCAGCTTCTAGTAGCTTTTCAGTTACTGCTCGAAAGACTTGTTGGTGACTAAAACTCGGGCGTGTAAATAAACAAAGAATGTTTGCTAATGACGAAGGTCGTACACAAAGAAACAAAGTTATACAAAAGAAAACTTTCATTATATTTAATTTATATCACGTCTGCTTCAAGAATTGCTTATATTAAAACTGATACAAATTATTCTCTTACATGTAATGTTTAATTAGATAAAGAGATTTTTTGTTTGCAAACTACGTACAGGGTTTTGAAAATGTCACCAATAACTGTTAATTTTTTTTGAATTTAAACATTCCTAGTTCTTCGCCCCTCGATGATTTTGGGACCCGCTTTGAAAGCTTTTTGATTACAAACGTAACTTACGAATATCCCAGATAGTAATGAACGATAAGAATTCGCTACTCACTCTAATTATCTCTCGTACTGATTGGAGTTATTATCAAGTTACTTTTTAAAGATCAAGCTATGAAATGAATTTAATTGCACATTCTGTTATTGCTCAATATCTCAATTAAATTTTCCTTATAAATCTAATTTTTTAAAATTCTTATTGTTTCATTGTTGATATTTGTCTTCTTAGCAATGCCTTGTGGAATGAAATCCACTTTATAAATAAATCAAATCAAACTGAATATCATCGAAAATGTAATTTTGGAAACAGTTGCTAAACATTCTCATATCTTCCTGAATATTCTTACCAAAACACTGTGCGGAATGCTACACTGATGGTTGTAATGATGGATCGAAGTTGAATATGTCAGCAACACTCTTAATCATCACGTTCTTGTCCTTTGTTATTTATTTAGTCACAAGTGTAGGTGTGTCGTCGTATTTCTCAATAAATCACATGAGATGATCAAAAAAATGATTAAATCAAACTTTGACATTTAAAAATCAGAAATAATTTAATGAATAACTTTTGATATCAATAAATTAATTTTATGTCAAAACTAATCAGTATTCTCTTATTTTTTCCTGACAAATTTCATTCTTTCTTAAGCTTAGCAAATTTCATAATCTTTTTGATAAACTTGATTGTTATTTTGAGAGAGAAATAAATAAGAAGTAAGATGAAGGCTAAGACAGCAATAATTGCTGACATGATGTCGTAATAATGATACTGATAAAATGGAATCTTCTTTTGCGGATATTGCAGATGTTTGGCGCCTTTGTTGCGGATCACATACTCGATGTTCCAAAAAGCTTTTTCTAATGAAGTCATGGGAACATCAGTGATTAAATTTGACAGTTTCTCAACGTTAATCTTAAAACTTGAAATAAATTTAAATAAATACTTTAAATCTCTTGTTCTTAATGACTTCAAATTTATCAAAATCTCACTTCAGATTGCTGATAACTTCTGTGATAACACGTTTAATCTGTTCCGAAGTTAAATCATCATAGATATTTAAAATCTCAGCGATTCCTCTCTCAACTGATCGTTCTGCATTAGCAAATTGATCGCCTTGAAATGGACAAATCACCATTGGAACTTGTCGTATGATTGATTCCTCGACTGAATGTTGGCCCTGAAAATAATTTATGATGATTATTGATGTTTTATGTTAGAAAAGATTAACAACCGACACCGTGAGTGATGAAAAGTTTAACATTTGGATGTGCGAGAATATCTGACTGCGGGTACCATGTCATGAATTTTACATTTTTTGGAATTGATTTTGGAAGTTCGTTATCAAACTTCCACAACACATCGTACGGAAGCTCGCTTAAAGCGTCAAGGAGTTTCACGAAATGTTCATCGTCTTTAGTTATTTTAACGACAGTTCCAAAACTTATATAAATGACTCCATGCTTTGATTTGTCTACAATATCTTTGAGATCATTTGGAAGTGGTTTTGGTGGTTTCACATGAAGAAATCCTAATTGAATTGTGTTCGGAAGAATTGGTCGAATGAAGCCAAAAGCTGGATGTGCGTTGATCAATTGTAAGTCAACATTGCTGACTAAATCCATGTAAGATTTTTGAACAGTTGGAAAATGTTTCGCCACAATTGCATCATAATTATTTGCTGCCCTTGGAATAATGAAAAAGTTTACCATCAACATCAACGTGCAACTACCTAGTCGTTGGAAGAAAGTTTTGGCGGAAGTAAAAGGAAGAATTCTGTCAGGATGAGCGACTGGGTTCATAACATTTCCCATAATTTCATGACCAGGCGCAGTAGCATCAGACGAAGTAATTCCAACAACAGGAATGTTAAATAATTCTGCAAAAGCATGCATTGGACTTATCCCAGATGATTCTAAAATAAGCAAATCAAATTTTGCATTCGAATTTTTAATCAGATTTTGCATTCCTTCTGATTTTATTTGTTCTTCAACTAACAACGCTTCAGAGTCAACCATATTGTAAATTACATCTTTAAAGCTTTGTTCCTTGTTTTCTGAAGCCTTTTTAAGAATCTCTTCATGAATCTTTACACTAAATGACACATCAATAAGCGTTAAATTCACATGTCGCTTTTCACTTTCACTTGGATGGGTTGTCATTAAAGTTATTTTATGACCAGCTTCAAGAAGCTTTTCCGTAATTGAGCGGTAGACCAATTGATGACTGTAAGCAGGTTTTGAGAATAAACAGAGGATATTTGCTGCTAAATTAACTTTTAAGAAGCAAAAGGAAAGAAGAAAAAGAAGTAAAAGTTTCATAATGTTGACTTATTCAGCTTAAATCACGAGGAGAACTGACAATAATGAAAAATAAATGTTGATAAGATAAGCGAAGTTGTTATCAAGACACGTAAGTGGCAATACGCTTTATTCACAATCTATTTAAACTTTTTTTATATGAAATGTTAACGATATAGTTATCAAAATTTACTAATA